CGCACGTATACCGTCGCGATGTGCTTTCGAGGTGGCAATACGGCGCTTATAGGTGAGTACATTGTCCTGCTCGCAGGAGTCATTCCGCTTATTGTTACTGAAACCGATTCATCCGTATGCATTCATACACAACGCTTTCCACGAGCTGCTGTGACTGGACTATAGTTGACGGGTTTGTTTGTTTCCTTTGGCGTTGCGTTACACCGGTTAGACGGAAAGAGGCGTTAGTCGATGCGGACAACGATGCGCGAACGTGTCCAATTGACGCCTTCTGGCGTGTGCTTGTACGGGAAGTATGTGTGTGCTTGTGGGCGAAACGTGAAAGGAGAATAGCGTGGAAACGAGATACCGACGGCTGACTATATAGTAAAGCGTGGCATGTAGAACTTGCAATGGAATGCTCCCAACGGAATCGGTCGTTGCGAGGCTGGTCGATTTCAGAAATTGGAGCAACAAGTTTGCGTTGCGAGCCTGCGCCTATTACGCTCACAGAGAGAGCGATGAACGCGCACTACTGCAGGGTTGTTGACGTCGAAGTTTGCCGTGTGTCGTAGACAGAAATCATTATTACTAACCGATAGAAATCCTTATTACCAACCGACACGTGCTCAACCACCCCCAAAACACGCGAGTATAGGCAGCTGGCTAAAGAGACACGCGGAAAGTTGCAGTTTTTCGCCGCCCCTGTGTTCTCCTGTTAATTTTTTTTTTTTGTGGTCGAGTGCCGCGAGTCATGTGATTTGCCCAATTCTGGTGGCACATTCGATTTATAGGCGCTTTAGAGCAGGTTTAGGAATGGAAGAGATCGAAGGACTACAGAGAGAGTAAAAAAAGAAATACTTAGAGAGAGAAAGGGTAGACTCGGAAAGATGTAGACGAAGAAACGAATCGACGTTGAGAATAAGAGAAAGACGCAGACTAGATAGATAAAAGAAAAGAGCAAACATAGCCATGTATAGCATAATGTTGTAAGGACCGGGAAAGATAGAGGTGAGAGGCTGAAAGCCTATAGCCTAGCCAAGACCAGCTAGGTGCCCATCAGCTCTGGTATATATTACCCAGCATTGCAACACTTAATGCGAGCAGCCCCCCCCCCCCCTTTTTTTTTTTCACCTGTTTTCATCACTTTTTTCCCCGTGACCTGAAGTGCGAGGGTTCCTTCGTCCTGAAACCCTATGAATAGCCCCACCCGACGACCCGAACTCTACACATGAGGGTGTGTATGCGCATGCAATACGTATATAAAACGCGTCTTTTCTTTCTTTCTTTTTTATTAACTGGCTCGCGGATACTCGCAGATGTTCCCAACGTTTTATAGATTCTTAAAGTGCCTATAAACGTTGGGTGGCGGCGTTCATGGCTACAATTCTTTTTTTTTTTTATTATGGCACTACTGCTAGCTGGCAAGCGTTTGTAGTGCTGTTTTGCTAGAAATCTGCTCGCGGGCTAGTGCTTTATAACTTCGTCTAATATGTAGTCGCCCCGATGCTTGCCCAACTCGACAGATGACACTTCACATCCGCGCAGTCTCTGTAATGTCAAGGTTTAGTAATAATTATTTCTAGGAAATGGTCGCTGTATGCGTTTCAAAATATTTTCGTATATCAATAGGTGCTTGCGGCCTGTTTGGTGCAGGCGCTGCAGCAATGATTCAGCGATGTCCAGCTATAAATTCATCTGGAATACACCGTTTTAGTTTGGCCTGCCTCATCATGTTGAGTCGCGTTCACGGTCGAAGAGGCTCCGGCGCAGTGGTCTAGTGGCTAAGGTACTCGGCTGCTGACCCGCAGGTCGCAGGATCGAATCCCGGCTGCGGTGGCTGCATTTTCGATGGTGGCGGAAATGCCCGTCTGCTCAGATTTGAGTGCACGTTAAAGAACCCCAGGTGGTCGAAATTTCCGGAGCCCTCCACTACGGCGTCTCTCATAATCATATGGTGGTTTTGGGGCGTTAAACCCCACATATCAATCAATCAATCAATCAATCAATCAGAAAACGCTGCTGATCGGCACACGACGCTTCTGAATGCATGCGAGCCAAACGTTATAGCGCAGCACGTGGCCTAGAATTTAGTTGATCGAGCTAAAAATTGCTCGCTCTTCTCTCTACAAATCATGCTGTAAACTCAAATGACCGCGCAATAAACGCAAAGTCCAGCGGCCGTTGCCAGACTTCAGCATTGTGAGCTACATAGTTGCCAGGGCCGCCGCGGTATGGCGCGACGTGCTAGCGCGCTCGCTCGTGATCCCATGTGAAAGTAAGTCGCGCATCAAAAAAAAAAAAAAATGCTCATGGTCATGACGCACACGTGCACGTAATTCTTTCCCTTGTGCCATCCCTTCCTGTTTAGGCTTCCAGTGCGTTCGTCGGGATGAGAGAAGAGATAAAATGCTTACAGCGTGCTACAAATCCTTATGTTAACTACAATATTACTTGGCAGATTAAATAAATAAATGTTGCTCGTGAGGCAACATACTGCTCTAATGCTTGGCGCCGTTGTGCAATGTTGAAGCCACTTCCGCCACGGATATATCGTTGAAAGTTACTGCGCTTTATCAGTCCTAAAGAATTAACAACCACATATAAAAGGCGACGAATGTTAGCCCATAAACACAGGTGCCTGACTCCTCGAACACGCTTTGTAGGGCTGACACTGGCACATCTCCAGGCGCATAGAGAGAGAGGGGCGCCCTGTCGTGTTCTCGCGTCTGTGCCTCCAAGCTTGAGCTGTCTGCCTCGGCTGTCGTAACAACTCTTTTGTCGACTTTCAGTGCGCGTGGTCTCCCTTCGTCTGTCGCCCGTTCGGGGCGAAGCCCCGACGTGCGTCCCACTTCTCCGCGGTGGCAAGCAGACTTCGTGCACTTGACCTTCTCGCGTCGCCGTCAGCTTTCAGCGGTCCACTCGTCGGGCCATCGTTTCGGCGTCGGTGACAGATGTTTCTCGTACGTCAGATCTGCGAGTGACATCGTCGACGCTGAAGGTCTGGCAGCGTCCTGGCCGACGAAGTGATGCGAAATTCGCCACCGCGCGGCGCAGTTGCTCAAAGCGGCGAACGAGCTGTGACGTGTTCGTTGGCCGTTTCAAGAATAATGGACTTGAAAAGGCCGGAATACCGAACAATAAAGAAGGAATGTTTAGTAAGCACTTAAGATTACGTGCTTACAGGAGGTTTTCATAAGCCTAGAGTGGGAACAGTTAGGGATAAGAGTTAATGGAGAGTACCTTAGTAACCTGCGCTTCGCCGATGACATTGCATTGCTGAGTAACTCAGGGGACGAATTGCAACTCATGATTACGGAGTTAGACAAGGAGAGCAGAAAGGTGGGTCTTAAAATGAATCTGCAGAAAACGAAAGTAATGTACAACAACCTCGGAAAAGAGCAGCGTTTCGAGATAGGTAACAGTGCACTTCAAGTTGTAAAAGACTATGTCTACTTAGGGCAGGTAATAACCGCGCAGCCGAACCACGAGATTTAAGTAACTACAAGAATAAGAATGGGGTGGAGCACATTTGGCAAGCACTCTCAAATTATGACAGGTAGATTGCCACTATCCCTCAAGAGGAAGATATATAAAAGCTGTATCTTGCCGGTACTTAGCTACGGAGCAGAAACCTGGAGACTTACAAAGAGGGTTCAGCTTAAATTGAGGACGACGCAGCGAGCAATGGAAAGAAAAATGGTATAGGTGTAACCTTAAGAGACAAGAAGAGAGCAGAGTGGATTAGGGAACAAACGTGGGTTAAGGATATCATAGCTGAAATCAAGAAGAAGAAATGGACATGGGCCGGGCATGTAGCGCGTAGACAGGATAACCGCTGGTCGTTAAGGGTAACTAACTGAATTCCCAGAGAAGGCAAGCGGGTTAGGCGGAGACAGAAGGTTAGGTGGGCAGATGAGATTAAGAAGTTTGCGGGTGTAAATTGGCAGCAGCAAGCACAGGACCGGGTTAACTGGCGGAACATGGGAGAGGCCTTTGTCCTGCAGTGGACGTAGTCAGGCTGATGATGATGATGATGATGATGATGATGATTACATCACTGCATACTTCTCGAACGCCTGCGTGTTTTGTACGGATACCGACATGCAAGTTTGTTTTGTTTTTTCGCTTGACTTCGATCTTGCCCAGTGCGTCACGGGTTTAAAGAAAATCGAGCGATTGTGCCCTGGGAGTATTCTTGAAAATATATGTTTTCCTGCACGTATTGACATAACCCTCCAGTTTTTGTGTGCACCTCTGGTTTTGTGTACAGTGCGGCATGCATAATGAATGAATAAACTTTAAATGTTCGGCAGTTTCGGGCGAGGCGAGGATTAGTTGACCCTCGTTCCGCGAAAATATTTGACCTCTTGTAAGAAATCGTTGGAGATGTGCAAAGGATACGACCGCTGTTGGAATCACCATGCGTATCTATGCGTATACACTTCGCTGGGATAGATATATTAGCCATTACTCAGACCGTGTGGCCTCTGCAGTTACATAAATGACTTCAGGAAGTAGACAATACGAAAGTAGTAGCGGAAGATTATCTGCACTTGCTGCAAGTCGTTTCTTAAATTATTATGCCCTGAGGCGCGCTCCTCGAAAATAAAAGAAATATATAAAAATCCTCAGCTCGCCGGACTCATTATAATGTCGTGCCGTCTTTATACTTTCCTACTATGGATTATTGGCCTTACGAGATGAAGTTGTCACTGTCAGAAAAAAAAGTTTTGGTGTTCACATGATGTTGAACGGAACCGCTGTTTTCTCTGCAGGTGAATGAAAATAAGCTTGTACGTGTGAGTATGCTACGGAATGCACTATCTTGTAGCTCGTGCAATTGTGAAGATTTGGGTTCTGATTGTGCACGGTGTTATCGTTTACTGTAGGGTCTTTGACGTTTATTCATGGACTATTGCAGACACCGTCTTGTATGTGGATATAGTACACGATTCTAGCGTGCACATGCACATATCCACGGGCGTGTGTCTCATGTGTGATTATCTCCCTGTTCGCAGGCAATGTGGCCGCTATGTGAAGACTCTGTGGAAGCACGTCCGTGTCGGGGACATTGTCCACCTGTCCTGCAACGAGGTCATCCCGGCGGACATTCTGGTTCTGCGTTCGAGCGACGACCAAGGGTTGTGCTACATCGAGACAGCCAACTTGGACGGCGAGACGAACCTCAAGCAGCGGCAGGTCGTCCGGGGATACGCCCAGCACGTAAGCTTGTATACCGCAGGGTCACTTTCACACGTCCCGGCGGTGATAGTGGCGGCGGCAACAACATTGTTGTGAACTCCGGGAAATCGGTGGCCTGGGCCCCAGGAGGTCTGGAGAATGTGTGCCCGCGTCGCCTCACTAGCTTGCTGGGTGGCCCTGGTTGATCTTGAAGGTTGTGAGCTGCGCAGCGCGGCCGCGTCTGTACCACACCTCAGCCTCTGGGGAGACTGCATTTTCTCCGCTTGTAATTGCGCATTGGCAGAGATATTTGTCTAAACTGAGAGATAAGTGAGCCCAGCCGCGTAGCTATCTTATCGCTGTTGAACACATATCTGGATATATTCTGGCCTGAACTTGGTTGAGTTTATTATTGCGATAGCAATTATATGGACACTCTCGGCTGGATTTTGCCGCCGGCGTCGATGTCATGCACCGTATATGTATACGTATCTATATATATGAAAACGCAAGAAAGAAAAAATCCAGAAAAAAAAGCACTCTGGCGCGCGGAATCGGACGTGAGACTTCTCTGTCGTGAAAGCGAGGCGTTAGCCGCTGAGCCACCCCGGAGAACGTTCTTCGTCGTTCAAACGGCAAGCTACCACTTACCGCTGCTATGTTTTCGGCATTACCAGAAAGATCGCGCAGCATCGCCCAACATCGCGCAGCAGCGCCTGCTCTAATCTCCTACGCGTACTTTGCCCGGCTCAGAGAAGGGGAGCTACGCTCCCTCGCGCGCCCTTATCTCGCGGTGGCGAGGAGGGGAGGATTTGACGCCTTGGCTGATTTCGGGCTTTACGTGTAACTATTCTGCTCTAGTTAGCGAGCGCACAAAGGTCACTGCAATCATTGCAGTCTCCGTTCGCGGAAAGCGCGCGCTTTTCAGACTCAGCGAAGTAACAAATGAGACGCTTATTCGCGTGCATCCGTACTTGTGAGTACGTTTCGTGCGTAATTTGTGTGCGAGAAACGCGGGGCACGTTTTGATCTGCTTTCCATTCTGCGCGTGACCTTTCAAATTGTTGCTATCGCATTCATTGCTTCGCCTTTGCAGCAAAGCTGTGACTTTTTATTGAATTAGCAGTGCTTGGTGTCGGGTCAGTTATTACATGATTGAAGTAGAATCGATGGACCAAATGCTCGGGTAGGGACTGTATACGTGTCTGTGTTTCTTTGTCCGTGTGCGACCGAGCATCATCGCCATAAGTTCTCTCAGTTGTTTATTAAAACTTTTTGTTGTACGCCACAAATACTCGTGAGAGGCAAGAAGGCTACCTTAGTACACAAAAATCACAGCATATCCAAGGAGGGAATGATGATGAGTGGGGCGAAGCGTTTGTCTGGCCGTTCGTTCTTGCTTCCGTCCGTCCGTGCGTCCATCCGTCCGTTCATCCGTCCGCCCGGCCATGCGTCCGTCAGTCGGTCCGTACTTCCGTCCGTCCGTCCGTTCATCTGGAACGGGCGGACAAAAGCACGCACGGAAGCACGGACGGATGTGCGAACCGACGGACTTCAGGAAAACTTCAGCCTTCAGCCGAACCGACGGACTTCAGCCTGCCCCCCACCCTTTGCCCCCCGAGAGCAAGCATTTTCAAAACACAATGCATATGTTCCCAGCCTCCCTGCCCCCCTGAACAAACTGACTTGTCGTGGGTACTCCCCCCCCCCCCCCCCCCCCTGGGGGCAGCCCTAGGATTCACAAAGAATCCTGGGGCTGCCCCTGCTTCGCTTCTTGGAGACCGAAGCGGTGCCACTAAGAAAGCTGCAGTGCAAACACCCTGTGGCGCCTATCGTTATATGCATCTACTCATATTCGCTCATGGCCAACGCACTTTTCACTCACAACCTAACATGTTGCTGATGCCACTGACACAGACTCCGGTATTTCTACTAAACAAGCCCTTTAACACTACACATTAAATATGGTGCAGTAATGAGAAGATCAATAAAAATTAGTGGGTTGGCCCATAAGCAAAGCATGCATATGTCAATATCGGTAAATTAGCTGTATAATGCAAAGTTCATAGCTTTATTGGCTTCTGTACCCTAGTGAACAAGAGCTTAATTACATTAAAAAATGTTGTGATATGCATGCTTAAAGAAACAGCAGGGTAAGACAGCTCACCCAAAATCACTATGCCATCTGAGCTTTCCCAGCCTTTTCAATGCACTCATCCGAGAGCTGGGGGTCTCTTCCGTTCTACCTGAAGGAGACGGTCACTCACCCCTGCCTCTCTGACCTTACCGCATGGACGTAAAGTGGCGTGCATCAGTTCTTGACTAAACATCGCACCGTTTTCCTCACTCTCACAGCTAGTGGGTTTTGGGTATCTTATCACTCTTGAACTTTATGCTGAACAGCACGGCAACGGTGAACATTCATGTTTCCATTTTATGATGTATAATTGAAAATAAAACCGGCAGGTTTCAATTTTATGGAACTGCCACAAGTGTTGAAGACTGGGCGAGTTGGTTCGTCATACTTGAACTGGTATAGCGCATTACGGTAAAGAAGAAACGACTGAGCGGACCAACACAAGAGGACAGAGCGCTCTGTCTTCTTGTGTCGGTCTGCTCTGCTGTTTATTTTTTATCATAATGTGGTATACCAGTTCAAGTAATCAAACTTCCATAATTAATACATGTTCTGACCACAGTGGCAATGCTGTCAAGACCCACTTAGAGTTACTGTATATGCTACCTTTAGCATATATAGTAACTCTAGACCCACTGACATGTGTGCTTTCATACCTTGATAGATTTTAGTGCTTATGAAAATTTGCCTATTTGCTGATATGCACTGGTTCTTTTCTTTGATACAGAGTGATACCTTTCATCCGCTGTCATTTACAAGTACAGTGGAATGTGACCCACCAAACTGCAAGATCTACAGATTTCATGGATTCATGTAAGTTTTTTTTTTTTTTTGGTGAGGCGTGCTACCGACATTAAATTCGGTAAATTTGACCACCACTGCAGGCAACAATGGCCACAGCATTCTGAAGCCAAGCATGAGGTCGCAGGTTGAATTCTTGGCCACGGCAACTGCATCTTCAGAATTCGAGAATTCATTTGTACGCATTAGATGAATTTACATGGTAACAAAAGCTGCACCGCTTGCACTAACGGCACAAAGCTGGAGCCACCAGCAGAGCTAGTGTTTGACACAACTAAGATTCGCTTGTAATGCCAAGCTTTTGCTAGAGATTTTAAATTTTTGCTCGTAGTACTAAGTATGGCTAGACATGGCCAGACAGTGTCATATGACTACCTGTCACGTGATATTGTGGTTTCAGTGTTGTGGTTAGCTGTTACGTGGTTTTTGGAAAGAACATGTGAAGGGACCAGCTGTTATGCTGCCCAGGGCAGGAACATGCCACTGTGACTATAGCTATTACGCAATGTTTTATGATTTCAGTCACGTTAGTAATTTTTACAAGATCTTTAGTTATGTGACTAGATCTTGCATGTTTTTATGTATTTTTAGTTACGAGAATGTTGTTACGTAATTTTTTGCTATGCGAGTAGTTTTATGTGATATTACATGATTTTTAGTCGCATGACTAGTTGTTACGTGGCATCACACCATTTCAGACCCAATGATTATCTGCTTCATAATAGTACGTGACTTTTAGTCGCGTAATAAGACTCGTTCATCATAGTTCTTGTATACCACGTTGGAAAAATTGGCACACGTGTTGTGGTAGCGAAGCAGAGGAAGACGAAGCAAGCACATACCCGTTCATGGTGATGATAATCGCTGTTCACACTACCGGGCACAACGACAAGCTTCTTAAGGAGCTTCGCTCTTGAAGTAATCAAAATTCCACCACGACGGCAATGTTTTATACTGGCATATGTTGTTTTGAAACATTGAATTTCGTGAGTTGATCTATCGCACTGATGAATTCCATACAAGTCACTTATCTGCAGCTATTATATTTGGCTAAGACAATACTTTTTATTACACTAGCAATTATATGGACTCTCTCAATCGTTTTTGTTCATTGGAAATGCCACCATGTTTTCCATATAGCCCAAATCGATAACATGCCTCCTGCGCATCATGTTCTACCCACAGCTAAACATGTGCGAGCGAGAGTGATAAATATGTCTGAAGCAGAGATCAAACATGTCACAGCTCACCTGCATTCCTGTAAGGGCACATGAGATAGCATCCCCCACTTGTTAGTCCTGCTGTTAAATGCTTAACCAGCGAAGAAACATCCTGCCCATCTTGAATGAGCATGAAGGGATGCTGGGAAGCTGCACGCTGTGAACTTTGATTCTAAGGGCGTGGCAAGATTGCTGGAGGGTATGCTATCTAGGCAGGCATCAGCGGTCGGCTTGTATGCCCTTCTAAGTTGCTGCACTTTAAATGCTGACAGACTGTGCAAAAAGAGCATCTCTCCCTGGAGTGGCCCAATTCTCTTGCATTAGCATTTTGTAGAGTTAAGCAATATCAGATCCAAAAGAGTTAGCAGCCAGCTTTAATTCATATGATATAACAACTTGCTGCTATCGCAATCATTCACTGCTTCACCCTTCTGCTCAAACTGTGATTCTTTATACAATAACCGCTGCACCCAAGAATCATCGCCAGAGATATTTACATGTGCATATGCAAAGGCATTTGCTGACACACATGCTGCTAACTTTATTTCATGCAGCTGCCATCCTACCGGAGAAAAGGTGCCAATCACTTCTGACAACTTACTGCTTCGAGACTGTGTTCTCAAGAATGCGGACTTCGTCGAAGGCATTGTTGTGTATGCTGGTATGTATGCCTTAGGACTTCATACTATTTATTATAAGGCAACTGCTTGACATGCTGTGTGAAAACATTGCATATTATTTCACTTCAGGGTTAAATTTCTTCCAAGTCCTTGCAATGACCTTCTTTAAATTTGTAGTTGTAAGTGCTGATGCATTAAAAAAGGAACATAACTGAGGCACCATAAACTATAGTTCTTGCCATCTGTTAGTCAGTGTTTAATGTCTGGACTGTTGTATCATACGAGTATTTAATGCTCAATAGTAGTTTCATCGTAGCTGCAGATTCTCCCAGCTTTTTCTGATGGTATTTTTAAAATCGGAACAACTTTTTGCAGGATTTGAGACCAAGGCAATGCTCAATAACAATGGGCCAAGGTACAAACGCAGCAGACTGGAGCGATTTATGAACAGAGACATCGTCTGGTGCATTGTGATACTTCTCGTCTTGTGCTCTGTTGGTGCAATTGGTAGGTGCTTAAACTCTACTCTCATGTTTTGCTACAAAACAGTGAATGTATATAATGTTCAAGTAGGCATCTAAAACAAAACCTGCCGCTACTCCACTGCTCAGAATGTTCAGCGAGTTCAACTGGTTTGTTCCCCAAGACGAATATGAACCTATCAAAACTAGTGCTCATTGGTGAAGATCATTTATGTTTTATGTCATATAGTGAACTAACTCCTATGTTCAAGATATTTTATTAGAAATGGGATGTTTCGGTGCGTTCCACCACTTCATTAATTTCAATAAGTTTTTCTGGTAGCAGTTCTTCTATGTGGCAGTGGCAGCTCATAGACTGTGATATATCCCTTGTAGAAGTTACCATGCACGTGCCTATTGCACACATCCGTACACAGTTCCTCGGACTGCATGCAACATGAATACTCATGTCCAGAATTCTTTACTGATGCCTAAAAAACTCGCACTTTTGTCGCTTACGCAGCTATTAATTCATTTTAGATGCTGGTACTACGCATCCGGACACCGGCATTTTCACAGCACAAGCTCATGCGATACTTGCGGCCATTAAACAGATTAGACAACTAAGATTACAATGTGCAATAATATACACAGATTCCCCGAGTGTGGTAAAAGTCCTCAAAGCACTCAAAAAAAAAAAAGTGCCGCCATATCCACGAAGTGAATGATGATGAGTGGGCGAAGCTCCGGAGGTAAACCTGGTAAAGCATGAATCCTCTGTACATTTTGCCCACTTGATTTTATTACATCGCTCCCCCTAGCGTACGTCGCCGCACTAAATCGAACGATTCCCTTCAACCAATGACACGCACCATATGTGACATCATTCCTATTTTATAAGATCTCGCGTCTTTCATCAACTACAAGTACCGCTTTCTAGTTTATAACATCTTGCATCTTTTCATCATCAGCTACAAGTACCACCATCTAGTAAACACTACAAGAACTAAACGAGAGGTGGCTACATACAGGAGACGGTACCGCCATCTAGTGAACACTGCAAGAACTAAACTAGAGGTGGCTGCATACAGGGGACGCACAGCCCACGCCCTAAGGAGCTTCGCCCCTAAAAAACACAACACCCTATTCTTGTCTCGCTGTACTCACCCAGATGGATGCACGGTCTACACATTAAAAAAAAAGTATCATTCGCTGAGTGCCAGGGCACCGTTATATATGAAAAAAACCTATTGGTGGACCTGCTAGCTGCATGTGCCAGCGAAATCACTGCCTATACATAAATAGCTATCCCCGCACTTCACTTAAAGCGATTCTTTAGACGAAAGCTCAGGGCTCATTGGCAGGGCACATGAGATAGCCAAACTCAAATCAAACTATTCATTATCAAGCCGCAACTTGGTCATTCACCGCCACTTTTAAAATCGCGTTGTACAGAAGTAACATTTACAAGGCTATAAGAACAGGATGCACACACAGTACCGTATTTACTAGCGTAATAAAAGCACTTTTTTTCTCTCGAAAAACCGGAGCAAAGTGGGGGGCTGCGTTTAATACGCGGGGTAAATTTTATGAAAACGTTTTTCGGGAGGAGAAAAAAAAATGCGGTAATGCAAAAAAGAAAAAGTTAAGGTTGCTTAGCCTTTCGCAATTTACACGCGCGTGCACTGTTTAGAAACAGCTTCCTTGTTGCACTTTACTCATCTTCAATGGTTGATGGCGCTATCTTCTGCTTGCTGTCCCCAGCCGCCCGAGCACGCCATAAAGACGTTTTGCGACAATCTTTCTCCGCAATCGATCGTTTAACCGCAACAGTGGTATCTGCTTGTGATCTCGAGGGACGCTCTTTTAAAAGCGAGTACTCAGGGTTGAACGGGGAATGAAGAGACAGTTAGAGTGAAGGGAAAAGAAAGTAGGCTAAAAAAGAAAGGGGGAGAGGGGGGTTCGCAGGAAGCGACCGACGTCGGTTGGCGCGGGCAGTTTGGTGACCTTCGCTCACTGTGTGCTTATCAGCTGCGACGTCTCTACACTCGCAACGCCGGTGAACCCCGCTGTGGCGCACAGATAAGACGGGGGACGTGCCGCTCACGGAAAGAGAGAAAAGCAATAGGCACGCAGCAACGGGCGAAAGGGGGGGGGGGGAGCGAGCCGAGGTGGTTGAGGGGGGGTCGGCAATGTAATAAAAAAAAAACGGAAGAGAGCCAACGGGTGAAGAGGCGCCAGGTGTCGGTTAGCGGGACTGCAGGGGATGTATGTAGGGGTTGCGTTTATTACGCGGGGGGAAAAAAATCCAAATTTGATGACTGAAGTTGGGGATGCGTTTATTATGCGAGCGCGCCCATTACGCTAGTAAATACGGTACTCACTCGTACCTCTTGTCTGGTGGGAATGCTTCACATTTTAATTCATTGTAAAGAATTGGACATGCTTATAAGACAACACGCTACATTACCCTACCGGCAGCAAATACCGTTTCACCTATCAATGTTCAATGGGGAACTGCTTTTCAAACACGAGTCATTGCTGGCACTTTTACGGGACGTGCGCATTTTGCACATGGTATATCCAGAAAATTCATAGCATAACCTCTTAAGAGATATCGCTGCTGTGGTGGCTATGTGGAACAAAGCTGCTGCCTTGTGGCCCTTGGGCTCCAGGGCTTTGACGAGACTTCTGTGCTAATGTCATGTAGCTGCACCATAGTTATATTATCAAGACCTCTTGGCATTTATTATCACTTGTACATTTCACATCACTTTCGAGATTTTAATGCTTACATGTTTTACCCGCCATAGCGCGATGAATTTCAAAGGGGCACATGGTATATCCAGGAAATTCATAGCATAACCTCTTAAGAGATATCGCTGCTGTGGTGGCTATGTGGAACAAAGCTGCTGCCTTGTGGCCCTTGGGCTCCAGGGCTTTGACGAGACTTCTGTGCTAATGTCATGTAGCTGCACCATAGTTTTATTATCAAGACCTCTTGGCATTTATTATCACTTGTACATTTCACATCACTTTAGAGATTTTAATGCTTACATGTTTTACCCGCCATAGCGCGATGAATTTCAAAGGGGCCCTGCAACACTTTTTCAAGCAACCGTGGAATGAACTCTCTGGAAGAGCTTGTTGCCACACGAATTAAATGGCGCAAAAATTTCAAAAATCCGTCCAGTGCGAGTGGAGTTGCAAAGATTTGTCGCTTGCTGCAATCGCATTCTCTCGTCCCGACGAAAGCGCTGGAAGCTATGCAGGGAGGGTTGGCAGGTGCAAAGAAAAACGTCACGCGCGCTTCGTGACCTTGAGCACTTTTTTAATTTTTTTCTTCGAACGCACGGCTTTTTTAGTGTGAACTTGCGCGCACGCGTGAACAAGTCGCGGCCTTCCGCGGCAATCTCTGTAACGACCGAGCGCGCCATGTTCAAATCAGCCAATGGCTGATAGATGGGCGTACTACCAGTGACTTGTTACGAGAGATATTCCGTGACTTGTCAAGAGAAGAGAAAGCAATTTTCAGCTGACTTTGGTTAAATTATTGTGAATTCCAGGTCGCATGCTGTGCTCTATTTGGCTCGCGTGCTGTCGGGAGCCTACATCTACCGATCGGCAGCGCTTTCTGACCATGCTCAAAAAGTGTTGCAGGGCCCCTCTAATGTCCTTATATAGTCACTTACCACAATCACTGCCCACATCTCACTTCCCATGACCTGGTGCTCTTTGGCCATCAATTGGCCTTTGCACTTAAAGCAGTTTTTCTATGTGGCTGAACAGCATTGAGCTGAGAGTACTTAGTCTACGTGACTCAGCAGTTGCAAATGGTATTGCACATAACTTTACCATGACGGTTGACTTTGCAAACTGGTCGAGCTAGTACACTTTCCTGTTGGAACTTGCATTCTTCCATATTCCGAGTGAATTCACTGTTTCAAATCTGCAGCTACACCCCTCTACATTGGGTCCCATTCTTTATAGTCCCTAAGTTGCTGTAAAGTGGACGTCTGCCCTATGACTGCTGATTAATGTTATTTTTTCTCAACAGGTTGTGCATTATGGTTGAGATCATTTGAAAATCGAAAGGAAGTCATATTTATACCTTATGAACAGGAGAACAGGTACATACCAGCTGTTGAAGGATTCATTGCATTTTGGACATACATAATTATTCTGCAGGTGAGTGCCCTATCATCAATGTATTCTTAGATTCAGGGACTTATTACCATGAATCGCTATAGCATGCGAAACTGCTGTTCGAACTTTTTATAAGCTTCAGTAGTTTTTGGGAGGGGATCGTAATTAGCAGATGATTGGCACTCTGTTATCTCGCACCACCTTGGTTCTTTTTTTCACATTGCAATCAGGTGTGTTGCAGAGAGGCACTGCGATTGCTTATAGGATGTGATGTACATGTAATTCTATTATTCCCTAGGTCACTGAAGGCATAACTTCATTCTGCACTGTAGAGTGACTAAAGCTTCTAGCACTTTTCAAATTACGAAAGTACTTTTGGGACATTTTTGCTACCCTAACACGCATACGTAAGGCATATTCACAATTCATCCGTCTCTGCTTGTGTCTTCAGGTGATGATACCACTGTCACTGTACGTCTCAATTGAGATCATCAAACTTGGCCAAGTTTTTCACATCCACGAAGACATAGAGCTTTTTGACTGAGCGATCAAATCGGCGCCTCGAGTGCCGTGCGCTGAACATTCCCTGAGGAGCTGGGTCAGGTTCAGTACATATTTTCAGACAAGACGGGAACGCTCACCTGAAAATCACATGGTGTTTCGCCGCTGCACGATCGGCGGCAGGGACTACAATCACCACCACCCCAGTGTGTCTGAAGGTATGAACAGACATACGTTTTCTGGATTGCAAGTAGCTGGCGTTAACCATTTTGAACAAAGCGCACAGCTTAGTGCACTACGAACAAAGCAGTAATGAAACTAGTGCTATCATAAGCCTTACTCTGCATGTTTTTAAGTAGTTTTCTAAATTTTAAAATTTTTTCTACAGAAGTATGAGTGCTAGGTTACAATTACATTGCGTAAATGCAAAATTAAACCTTTCCTACGCAAGACTGCCACTTCTTCATGCCCGATATTGTATTGTCACATAAGTTTGCGTGTATAGGGTAGTGCTACGGATAACTTGTGCACTCTGCCCTGGACAGCATAATTTGCAAGCTCTACAGCACTACCAAGAATAAACTGGCTGTAAGCTGATCATTCCACATTCACTTTTTCACCTTGAACGTGGTCCCCCTCTGTGATCACATTCGGTGGCATCGGCGCTGGCAGCCTATGTTCAACAGTTCATCATCAAGGTGTTTGAGGGAGAAAGGGATAGTGAAGGCGATGATAGCCATATATTAGGCTTGTACGAATATTCAAACGAATAGTAGAGTACATTCAAACGAATATTCAAACGAATAGTAGAGTGTATTAGAATTTGCTTCGATTTGAATTAATTATTGAAAATTTCGAAGCATTCGCAATTAACGAATAAAAATATATTAGTGCGCATGTGGCTGCCTGTAAAGGTGGTTTCACTGCAGCGTAGGGGGTGCTAAGCTGTGAAAGCATTTATACAGGGGAACTTTGGTCTGCCTCATTTCAAATACTGGAAAAAATTTCGCGACTGAGATAAACTGCGGGATCGATTACGGGAAACATGTGTATATAATCTGAAAAATATCAACAGTGACAATTGCTTGGAAGGTATGTAAAATTAATTTTGAATTTAGCATTGAATGTGCAATCGACTCCATTGTGCTATGGACACCCTCACAGGACTTCTCTCACGTGATCACAGGACTTCTCTCACGTGGTGGACTTCACTCATGTGATCACGCCGCCCCAAGTTATGACGACATCATAGCCTCCATTTTTCTTTAGTTACGTTTGCTCCAGCAGACTATTACTCAGCAGCTGCTCACGAGTCCGAGGCCGCGGCACAAGAGTTGGAAGTTTTGTGTTTGATGAAATTGCTGTCCTGTTTCCCGTTCGAAAAAACTTTTTTATGCGCAACACATGGAGGTGCGTCACAGTTCTGTGTGCTGACATGGTCAAGCGTTGCACCCGGCTGCTAGGTGGTGATAGTTTCACCTTGTGGCTTGTTTTTTTTTTTTTTTTTGAACTGAAACTGACACTGGTCAGGAATAATTAGCCTGTAAATAATTATCTGTTCCACGCTGCCGAAAACCATGTATCGTGTTATGACTAAGAGACCCTCAGGAACACATTGCAGCAAAAAAACACGAGGTCAAAGTTTTTGTGTCAGTATCTCTATAAAGGTGCCCTGCAACACTTTTTGAGCATGATCAGAAAACGCTGCCGATCAGTCGTCGAGGCTACCGAGAACACACGAGTCAAAGATTATCGCGTGGCATGTGGCCTGCAATTCACAATAAATTCTCTAAGTCAGCTAAAAATTGTTCTCTGGGAAAATGACGTTACAAGCTCAAAAATTGTTCGTCACAGCATTTGTATCAGCCATTGGCTGATTTGAGCACGGCGCGCTCGGTCGTTACTGGGGCCGCCACGGGAGGCCGCCACTTGTCTATACGTACGTGCGTGATCCCACTGAAAAGCTGCGTAGAAAATTCTCAAGGGTCACGAGGCACGCGTGACGTATTTTCTTTCCCCATGCCATCTCTCCCTGCATAGCTTCTAGCGCTTTCGTCAGGATGAGAAGAGCGAATGCGACTTCAGTGTGCTACAAATATGCCCATTTTCTTTTATATGCCACATATATACTATTCGAATTCGATTCGAAATTATTTGACCAAAATCACTACTCGTTTCAACTTTGCTGTGAACCTAAAATACACTATTCGCACAAGCCTAGCAATGACATAATGCTACTCCGCCTCAGAAGCTGTGCCTCCTTCTGCACGTTTATTTGCTGTACAGTTGTTTTCTCTGTGAAAAAGGGCACACACTTAGAAGTTTCAGCAATGTATTGGACAAAAAATGATGCCCTAAATACACAATATTGGAGTGCCTAGATATCTTGCTTGATTGAGTAAGATTGGTAGAACTTGATAACAAAAGCTCTCACAGTTTCGTGACTCACATAGTCTCTTTTCATTCACTTTCCAGCTGAGGAAAACGACATCAAAATACGCAGCTACAGCTGTGGTTCCAAGCCATCTAAGGCAAGTAGTTACATTAATTTTTGTTATTGAGTTGTTGTGTGTGTTCTGCAAGTGTAAGAAGAACACACTTTCAATATGTGTCTCTGCTGGGCAGAAATAGGTAGATAGTTATGGTGCTTGGCTTTTTATGGGCTTCTGCAGCATTTGCAAGTGGTGCGGATGTCGGTAATTACTGTAGAATTAGATAATTCATGACTCTGTATTGTGTGCCTTAAAGGATCTCTAAACCACCTCCGATATTTTTTTTTTTTAACATTTCATGTATCATTAATCAACATTTCATTAAACATCTCAATCGATTTGCAAAGTGCACATTGATTTCAGAATGCTGTAATGATCGACAGTGCCGAACCCGACTTCATTATGTTCTGCGGGCACATTACAAAATAAAAGAAGCGTATTTTCTCTGGGCCCTTCAGTTCTTTGGGGTTCGTCTGCTTGCAGGTACGCACGCTCCCTGTTTATCCTCCTCACAAGGTCTTGTGGGGAAGAACACTCTACCAAGAGAAAACAATGAGCTAATGAATGGAGCATAGTGAAGTGAAGGAAAGAGAAATGAGCGAGGGCTGCATTTCAATTATCATATTCGTGTAGCTCCATGATTAAATTACCATTTTGAAAAATTCTCCCGGCCATGTGTTCACTGTATATTTGTCCACAGCTACGACATCACAACTGCATTTCGACCTCTTGGTGGTTTAGAGACTTTTTTTAAGTATTACATGTTCAAGAGTAGCTTGTTTCTGCTGAACTGCCCTTGATTGTGACGTATGGAGAAGAATCGGTACTGCTGCTATCAATGTGCATCAGTTGCAGCGCTGCATATTGAGATTTCCCATTTTTATCCTGCCGTGCGATTGTTCTGAAATGCGTGGTGTTGAAATACAATTGCCCTCTCTTTCACCCAGGATGACACAGTGTTCACACTGAACCCTCAGCTGCAAAGGGAGCTGTCCAACATGGAGTACCAGCTACGCATGGATGGCAGTGGCCAGCAGCTGTTCTTGAGCCCCGAGAGCCAGCGGGTGCAGGAGTTCTTTCTCCTTATGGCCACCTGCAACACTGTCATTGTTTCGAAATACCCCCACAAGGACATAGTGAGTTTCAGCCTTAACCCTTCTTGTCCCTTTGATCCAATACTTCTTTGTTGCAGTCTATGTTGTTGTACAATGGCACAATCATAGTTTACTTGTGCATTAGAAGTGTGGCAGTTTGGACTAGGTGATATGACATGACGATATTTATAGGCCAAAAAGAAAACGACGCCAAAGAGACAAAAAGGAGACAAGCTCTCGTCTCCTTCTTGTCTCTTTGTCGTCATTCTGTTCTCGCGCTAGAACTATCGTCATCGTTACTTGTACAATAGTATTTTGTGTATCTTAAGTGGTGACTTTGTTGTAGTTTATGTTTTTGTACAATGGTACAATCGTAGTTTACTTGTACAATGGTAATTTTTTGTATCTTAAGTGGTGGCAACAAGGTTGCATGACATCTTCTCCTGAGCTTTTAACAAGCTGGCAGGGTTCTTTGAATGCTTATGCGTAGTTCCGTTGACCAATGAAATGCGAACGCTTTGGTAGAAGCACCAAACATGCGAAAATACAATAGCTTTATTTGCATCCTTCACATCAAAGAGAAATATTTATTAATCCTACGATGGACTGTGTGCTGTTCACTGAAGTTGTAATCAAGCATACTGGAGTGTCCCATATACTATCGCGGTATCTTTCGACCGCTTCCAAGCTTCAATTTCGAGGAGAATCTGATGCCCTCAGGTTTTTTGGTCAGTGTCGGTTATTATTATTATTATTATTATTATTATTATTATTATTATTATTATTATTATTATTATTATTATTATTATTATTAAGTATAGTCGTCATTTGTCCATGCTGGCACTTGCAATTTTCTTTCGTCTATCTACACAACAGGCTCACCCAGTGAGGGCCGAGCTTCTAGAGTAATAGTACTATGATTTTGAAGACACAGCACCATTCTCGGCTTTTATTAATATCGGCTTGTTTTCTTGCTTTTTCTCTATACTCTGCTGTCAACCACATTGCTTCGTGTGTTTTCTTGTCGCCTCACTCTGAAGCTGTGCTCAAGAGCAATCTTGCAAATACATTTCGGACTTTTGCAGAATTTCTTTTTTTTTTTTGTATGCTTACAGGACAAGATGACTTTTGACTAACATGCCACATTATTGGCTGTACTGTTACAATGTTTTAAGTTCTTTCTTTCTAGCTGTGCACTAATCTTGATTAGTCATGTACTAGTTGCTAGACTGCCAGTGCTTCTCAGTGTGCTTTGCTTGTGCTGGTCCGATTTGTAGGTGTCGGTGCTTACTATATCCACCCTTCTTTCTCTTTTTTTTCTTTCAGATGAATAGCAGTGGCTTGTACCTAAACAATGGTAGCACCCATGCAACATCTCCCGATGGTTGTAGGTCACCTCTGAAACCGTCCTGTCCCTTGCCTTCCTCGCTGCCATCACCCGTGGCCCGCAGTCCTGCCGTGGCATCAACTCCGACGGACTCCCGTGCTTCGACACCGACGCGGCCACACAAACTGGCCCTGCCTTTCCTGAACTTTGTCACCAGTCCCTCGAGGCGGACCATGACGCCCTCGCCTACACCAAGCCCTCAGCTCCAGCCAATTTACGAAGCCGAGAGCCCAGACGAGATTGCACTGGTTGATGCCGCTGCACGTTATGGTTGCAAACTGCTTCGTCGTACACCGGATGCAGTCACGCTCATGCTGCCTGGTATGTAGGAAGCTGGTGCAAGCTAGCATGCAACTAACAAGGAGCTAATCTTAAAGACTAATTCTTTTTGCTTTAAACTAGGGTTCTTACTAAATGATTTCATGAAAACTGTGTTACAAGTGAGGAACTGTCAGCCGGCCAAAAGGTGTTTTCCCCTCCCATTCATAAAGTAAACTAAGTATATTATTTTACACCAGGAATCGTTACTACGTCATCAGCTCAGTCACAACTTGAGTGCGTCCATGATTTTTATCAAACTGTTTGTGCATCTCAATTTATAAAGGCTGTGTGTTCTATCCGCCCAGAGATATGGTAATTCTTTTCCTTAGCCTTCTGTTCGTATTTATGTTTTCTGATACATTTCACTGACATCTGTTGAATTATTTTCATTTTTGTGTAATTGCTTAGCTGTAGACCTCTTCTCCAAGCAAGTACTACGATATCCAGTTTTTGCCAAAGTCTCAAAACTACTGTGCATGACGCTACAATTGCAAAAGTGAAAAGTGGAAATGAAACCCTTTGACTCTTCCACTGCACAGGTGAGGGGCTGATCGAGTACAGAGTCTTGCATCTGCTGCCCTTTGACTCATTCCGCAAGCGCATGTCCATCATTCTACAGCACCCCATCACCAAGCAGAAGGTGCTGTACTGCAAAGGGGCAGACTCTGCCATCCTGCCACTGCTAGCCCCTACCAAAGACCAAGGTGGGTAGCCCGATGTTGCAAGATTCGTTGCACCATTGTTTCCTATTAGACCTCGTCACATGCTGGCCTTGAAATACACCATGCGGCACAAAAACTCGCTTGACATCATGCACATCAGAAATAAAAACCAGCATTTGAGCCAGAATCGAACCCAGGCACTCTGCGTGGTAGTGGAGCATTGTGCCACAGATCCATGCCAATGCTCGAAACTTCTTCGAAAAGAGACCCCATACTAGTGGCATGTCTAATAATTGTTAGCGTTTAACATGCCAAAACCGCGATATGATTGTGAGTGACGCCATAGTGGTAGGGCTGTGGAAATTTCAAACACCTAGGAACGTGCGCCTAATCTAAGCACATGGGTTTCGAGAATTTCTGCCTCCTTCGAAAATGTGGCCGTCGCAGCTGGGATTCGATGCCGCGACCTGCGGGTCTGCAGCTGAGCACCATAACCACTGCTCCACCGTGGCGGACAGTGAAATCAAGCAAATGCATGAACTGTCAAATGTATAGCGCCGGGGTAAAAAATCCGTTGCATGACATTTATGGCTAGTGCAGACTGGAACTGTCAACCCATTCATGTGCTTGAGCACCACGCATACATTATGCATATGACTTATTTAAAAAAAACTGCCAAATTTTTTCAATTCTAATTAACTTATATTTCTCAATCTCAGACATAGATGAAAACATGTATATAAGGACATGCAGGCATCAACAGCATGGCAGAGAGAGTTGTAAGAAGACTCAACTAATTATATTGAAGATGTTGGTAGCCCAACATTACGGGTATAGTTTTCAACATTTACCGCATATGCTTTCAAAATTTAAGTGAAGCAAGGGGATCAATATCATTGGTGTGAGGAACAGATGCAGCTCGTGCTTTACTGTGTTCACCTTCCATAAAGCACGCGTCTTCACTTTTCTTTCCTCATTTCATAAGTTATCCAACACATTTGACATATACCAACCACAAACGAAGGTAGAAATGAGTTAGTGTGCTTAAACCTCTCGATCCTCTACCATGAATAATTTAATGAACAAAGTTATGGGTCTCACATCCTTAAGTACTCCTTTCTGTCAGTTGTATACTTTATGCACTTTATTGTAATACATTGTGTAGTTGCCTTGTGTCCATTTGGTCAGTGGCTTGAGCAAGTTCTGCTTTGCTTCCGTATAAAAGCAAAAGTCGCAATAATGCGCTTTCATAAAGCGAATACATAAGTCCCCCCTCTTTTTTTTAACAGTCATGCGTCAAGTTATACTACGCACTCAGCAGCACCTGAACCAGTACAGCAAGAAAGGCCTCCGGGTACTTTGTATGGCAAAAAAGGTGGGTGAACAGCTCATTTTTTCACGGTGTCATCACACCGATGAAAATTATCATCTTGTACTGCAGCTAAAGCTATGAATAGTAATTGCACAAGACAAAGGCATGTCTCGGTACTCTCTCATTATAGGTCCTGGGCTGATCACTCTGTACTTCTACACTGGCTGCTTTGTATAGCTTTGTGCATTTTAATACTACTGCCTATTTGTCCTCTAGTATTTACAACTATGCACTTGAAAGTCAGACTGATGTTACCAATCTTCTGCTTGATATTGTTTAATGTATTATCATCTTCTGTTTGTTCTGTTCTTTACCAGTCTCCTTATATTATTTTTCTAACAATTTCTCACTGCACTCTTATGAAAAGCTTCCCATATTTCTAATTTGTCAGGAACTTCATTTCTACATGTGATGGAAGCAACTCATATTTTTCTCAAATGCATGCTCTACTCTACATTTATTTGGGCACATACCTGTAAGAGAACAATTGTGAAGAATTTTTTGTCTTTGTTTTTATGAGGAGCTCTAAGTGCACAGTTGTGGTACCAAGTGGTTCAAGTGGATTATTATGATGCCGGTGTAGTTGCAACTAGTTAAGATGACTGTTTTGCATTTCATGAACAGCAAGGCATCAGCCTGTAATACTCCAGTATCTGAATTGTTTTTAACGTTTACCACAACTACATTGTAGTCCCTGCCACTTTCTCCGAACACTTCAACATTATGCATTCTTGTTACTGTTGCCTTCTCCTTGGAAACATTATATATAATGCAAATAGTCATCGAAGCATTTCCCTTAGGTAGCATAGTGATGTGCACTTTACTACTTCAGGTGCTGGAGGATGAAGAGTACGAAGAATGGTTGGAACAGCACAAGGCCTCTGAGCTCAGTGTGGGAGATGCTGAGGAGAGGCTTGTCAGCTCAGCTCGCCTTATGGAAACGAACCTGGAGCTGCTGGGAGCAACTGGCATCGAGGACAGGCTCCAAGAAGGAGTTCCTGAGACCATAGCTGCACTACGGTCTGCTGGCATTGTCATCTGGGTCCTCACAGGAGACAAACAGGTAAGCTTTAGACATTGCCTCATATGTAGGGTTTATTCATGGTGACGATTGGAAAAAGGCATGGGACTAGTTACAACTGGCAATCGAGGAGCTATGTGCAGTGACCACATTGAAATGCACTTTTCTTTCACAGTTCATGCAGTTAGTCTACTCATGCAGTCATCGGCTTGCCAAATAAGCATGCATGCTCTAATGCATCCAACTTATCATCCATGTGCACTTCAACAGCAGTGTCTTGACCGATAAATCTGAGCAGCAAGTGTCTGAGCCAAAACAGTGTTTCTGTCTTGCAAAGTCGTTGGGCGGGTTAGGTTTCTTTTTTGTTTTTACTGGTCACTTTTCTGTCAATCTGGCCATGCTGTCACTACAAGTCGCTTGTGTGTGTGAGCTTAAAGCAACAGCTCGTATCAGCTCATTTCACCCGACTTCTATCCATGTCACTGCATAAAAATTTACTGCAGAATCTTTGGCTTGTGCTTATACGTTTGCTCAGGGGTGCATTGCAATATACAGACCATTGCTTTAACTCTATTTTGCAGGAGACTGCCGTCAACATTGCTTACTCATGTCGGCTATTCTCAACAGACATGGAAGTTATAACACTCAACGCTCGTTCACAGGTACGTCAACCTTGGCTTATTTTTGAAGGGTTGAAGGCCGTTCTGGTACGTGTACACTTGTTAAACTCAACAAAATTACTGCGGCTTAGACAGCATTTAAGTATGGACTAGATGTGGGGTTACGTATTTGTAGTTATAAACTTGTTATAGTAGTTATTCACTTGAAGTAAAGCTGGACAGGCATTGATGTTACAGTGGTTAACAGAAAAGGGGTAAGTGGATGGGTTGAAAGAGAAGCTGTTGTATGTGTTGGGCATGGAATAGAATCTTCATCATTAGCATGAGGCACACACAGTTGTGCTTTATCACACTCGTAGGGACGCATCTCAGTGGCACTCCTTGCAGAGGCATAGTACATTGTGTAAGACTGCAAACATGGCTTTCAACTGCATGGCCTGTCAATAGCTGATGAGTTGGATTGCAGTGAGTTGCAATTTAGGCTGTTTTGTTAGTGAGAAAGTTATTTGCTTCATCTTGTACAATTTTTATTTTACACTTCGACTTGGTGAATTATGCACATGGTATGTAAGAGCAGCATCTTTCCAGTATTTATGTACAAAGCAGAAGCCTAGAGGCTTACAAAAAGGGTAGAACTTAGATTGAAGATGACTCGGCTAGCCTTGGAAACAAAAATGATGGGTGTTACCTAGAGCTATGCAAATAGCAATATTTTGAGTGCGAGGGATTTTTGAACATTGAAGTGCAAGTGCAAATAAAATTGACTATTCATCGAAGATTTCTAGAATATTTTTCATATACTTTGAAGCGAAATAGCAGAAAAAAAATTTACAGATGATTTTCAAGCATGTTGCTATCTTATATTCTTACGAGATAGCAACATGAAACTGTTTTTGTTTTTCGCTAGGTTAATGAAACACTGGCAGGTGGGTGTTTCAAAGTGGTCTTATCAAGAATGAGGCAACACAGAGGCATAATTGCATTGATGTACATGATTTGGTGCAACCAGAGTGTTGCCGACACTTTACAGCTGAAAGGCAAGATCATTATCTTTTCAGCCTCTCCTCCTCTTTCAATTTCTGTGAAAACCCAACTGATGTGGCGGACGAGGTTATGCTCCCTTCAACTCCAGTGTTTCAAATTGGCCTCATATAAATCTGTAAATAAGAACATCTCAAATTTTGGGTGCTCAAAATCTTCAGCGTCCAATTTATTGCACTTGCTGCATAAATATTAAATCCTAAACATCATTGAGTCCCCACCTCTGCCACATTTATCATCTCCATATTGGAAGCAGCGTTTGCTTGAGCAAATAAATACATTTGCGACCGCAGCAGAGCCTGAAAGGCAGCTTTGCCGCAATGCATTGTAGTGAGGTGAAGCGTGCTGAAAATTTGAAAGAGTCACTGTTTGAAGGGGTCACTGATTCGTTTTTGCGAAATTTAGATAGTCATGAATAGCAAATTTTCAGTGCACATCGAATCAAATAGCAAACGCTACTCGAAAAATATTTGAGGTTTAGAATAATCACACGCCCCTAGTGTTACCTGAGCAAACAAGTATAGAGCATTGTTCGTCAGTAAACAAGCAAGTATTAAGGACATATTAGTTCAAATCAAGGAAGGAATGGGCACAGACAGTGCATGTGGTGAAATGAAAAGCAACAGACTAGACTTGAAGAAAAGTCTAGCGCACGAGGGGAAGGCTGTGAAAGTTAGGTGGGCAGATGTGATTAAGAAGTTCACGGGTATAACATAACAGCAAAAGCACGATACCAGCTTTATATGCAAACCTATGAAGGGGCCTTTGCCCTGCAGTGGGCGCAATGTGGCAGCTGATGATGATGATGCAAATGATGGTGCTTGCAGGAGGCCACTGAGGAAACGATCCGCTTCTACCTCGAGCAAGTTGACCGTTGCTTGACCTGCTTCACGGCAGACATGGAGGAAAGCCAGAGGCGGCGCTCTTTCTCCACGCTCCTGTCACGACTTGCCAACTTCCTTTTCGGAAGGCGTGGCCCGGTCAGAAGTGAGCCGGTTGACGACACACAGCCGAAATTCGGTGCCTCCCTTCGACACCGAAAGAAGCGGGCACTGGTCATTGATGGTCGCACACTAAGCTTCATCCTCGAACACTCTGCGGATCAGTTGTTTCTTCGCCTGGCGCAGCAGTGCAGCGTGGTACTGTGCTGTCGGGCCACTCCCTTGCAAAAGGTAGGCAACTCATTGATTCATCTGATTGATCCATCAAACAACTGAAATGAATTGATCTTTTCTGATTATGTTCTTTTTTTTTTTTTCTAGGCGTGTGTTGTGAATCTCGTTAAAGACCGGCTGAATGTGTTGACCCTTGCCATTGGTAAGTGTCAGCTACCTTACATCTGTTGTGTTTTATTCATTTTTTTCCAGTATTGAAGCACTTTTTCAATAAATATTGGCTATAAATATTAGCAAAGACAGTAGCAAAAACATTGTAAATCTACCAGAACGTTTTTATTCTGATTACTAGTTCTAATTTTTTTGAAAATAGTATGTATATAGTTGTTTTACTTGTCTGTGCTAAGTTGTACTTGATTTCGTCTTAATAGTCTCTCATGTAGAAAGCAGCAAATTATTACTGTGTGGCCTTGACATAGCCAAGCAAGGTTTGATGCTTTCCTTAATTGAAATATTGTCGTAGTCTTCATCATCTCCATGCCGCGACAATATATGAAACCTGTGCCACACATATATTCTCGCTCATAGCGTTAATTATGCCAGCTAATTATTGCACTACACTTGAATTGCTCAGCACAGCCAACCTCTTTGCTGTGGCTTTCAGGTGATGGTGCCAATGATGTGAGCATGATCCAGGCGGCTGACATTGGTGTGGGCATCAGCGGCCAGGAAGGCATGCAGGCCGTCATGGCAAGCGATTTCGCCCTCGCCCGTTTTCGCTACCTCGAGCGACTGCTTCTAGTCCATGGACACTGGTGCTATGACCGGCTGGCCCGGGCCGTAGTGTACTTCTTCTACAAGAATGCTGTACGTCCCTCCTGATAGTATTTTATTTAAAGAGTCCCTAAACCACCCAATTTAGTTGTTGTGTTTCAGTTGTGCACAAGTCTACTATGAATGTGTGGCTGCAAGAATTGCTTTTAATGGTGCTGTAGTAGCAGAGGTACACACATATGATGATTGAAATGCATACCTTGCTCGTCTTGCTCTCTTTCCATTCCTATGCTTCGTTCGTTGGCTTGTCTCTGTTCTTGACTGACTGTTCCTTTTTGCCGTGCGAAAAAGAGGGAGCGCATGTACCTGCAGACAGATAAACAGGTTCTTTCTGCTGCTGACATGACCAGACTCTCCTGGTGACATTGTGACCAACATCTGGGATACCAAAAGGCTTATAGGAAAGCAAGGAATTGCTTTTTTTATCTTGTGGTGCATTCTCAGCACATATCGTTGCCATGTTTGGCACTGTTGGTCATGATGGAACTTTGTACGTGATTTAATACACACATTTAATTGAAATTTAAAATAAAAAATATCGGAAGTTATTCAGGCACCTTTTAACATTGCAATTTTTTCCTGATAGTTGAAGACCAACCAGAGCAAAATTTCACTTTAGCCCAATATATCACGAATGGGTACCTAGTATACACCTCCCACTCAAGCAACCTTTACAAATCTGCAGCTGGTACCTGCATTCTTTTTTTTTCTTGGCGTCCTTTAGACAGCACCTGAGCAGATCTCGGCGATCATGTCTATGGCGACACGTGTCCAAACTCGGGCCTTTAAATTTGCTCTTTTTGTTATTTTGTTATCAAAAACAGCCACCTTGGTGAGCTATTCTTGAGGTGTCTACACTATCTGAAAATAGGTATTTTCTACACTATCTTTCTCTATTTCTGCACTATCTGAAGTTAAAATGAAGCCTCAGATTTTGTTGTGGGAAATTGGCTTTTGACAACTTTATGCTTAAAAAGCTGCCCAGTTTCGCTATTGTTTTGATTTCATCATCTCCCCGAATGGCGCTCTTGTAAAACTTCCTTAGCTTTCACCGCACATTCATTTCTCTGGAACGCAGAAATCGGTTCTAAGTCAATCAGCCGAGTGAGAACAGTGGTAAGCTAGCCACTCATGAATGTAATGTTCCTGCAGCTTCTTTGGCTTGCAACATCTTATGCCCGGTTTTCGTTGCAGGCGTTTATCTTCATCCTCTTCTGGTACCAGCTGTACTGTGGCTTCACGGGAGCGGTCATGATAGACCAGCTCTATCTGATGCTGTACAATGTGCTGTTCACCTCGCTGCCACCGCTCATCCTGGGCATCTACGACCAGGACTGCCCTGCCCATCTGTTGCTCAAGAGGCCAGCCCTTTACACTCCGGGCCGAAAGTCTAAAGTGAGTGGTTTCACGCTAGAACTCGACAACTCCTGTGCGTTACTGGCCTAGCGACCCTGAACTGCTGCGATGATGGGAAAATATGCAGTTGAACCCGGGCTTATAGCATCTGAAGGGGATCACAATATAGTTTTATATATTCTTATGCTTCCTATATATATAAGCTTTTAGAGTAGCCATTTCCAGACTAAAGTGTGAAATGCCATGTTACATTTCTGATTTCACATCTTTGATGTGTAATCCATTTTTTTTTCATTTTCAGACGTACACCAAGTATTCCTTTTGGGTCAACATGCTTGACGCATTGTACCAGAGCATTATCATCTTCTTTGTGCCATTTTTTGTGAGTATAGAATTTGCCGATTCCCATACACTCTCACGGAAGCACAGTGTTAGCAAACTCATTTTTCTGTGCCTGCTTTCTTCGTGTTCCAACTAACTACTCTCAACCCATCTTTTTCTCATTCTGTTCGTTCAAGAACCCTCTCATGTCTGTAGTTTGGACCTAGCTGCAATTACTTTGCCCAGCTACAGCTCATGCTTACATTTCTGCGTTATAGCAAAAAAGTATTTCAAAGCTTTCTTGGTGTTGTGCACAGCTTAGTTCAGTTTTTCTCAGCTTTTTCTCCTAAGGTGAACAAGTCCGCAGTATGATGCAGCACGTGCAGTTACTTAGAACACAATGGGTAGAGGTTGGGCTGACCGAATTCTCATGGGATACACAATCAAGATAGTAAGGTCTTATCTTTTCTTTGCACAATTTTAGCTCTGTAATTAAATGTTACATTTTGTAAACTACTAGAAGAATGTGAAATGTATTGTTTGAATAAAAGCCATATCTATCTACATGCTTTTGTGTTCGTTCAGCAAGCTTGCACGTATGGCTGTTGAGCAACCTGCATATTCGAAAGGAAGGCCCATGTTTTCACTAACTGCTCCTTTCGTTTGAGACTTGTAACACAGTGCATTCCCATTTCAATTATTTTTTGGCTTTTTTTTTTGTTTTTGCTGCCTCAGTCCCACAATGCTTTTGCTGCAGCAACAGCGACCTTGCAGTAGAGAACCTTCTTTAGTTGACATGCGTTTCCTTTGGTTGTCCTCTCCTCCTCGTCCTCCACTCTACAACCTTCCCCCCCCCCCCCTCCCACAACCGGCACCTCACACCTCCTTCTACACCCCACCCCCTTCATTTTGTCCTCTGCCACTCCCTCCTTCACCACCACATGTGCACTGCAACTACATCAACGTCAACGTCTCAAGGTGTACTATGACAGCGATGTGGACATCTGGGAGTTTGGGACCACCATATGCACCGCCTGCTTCTGCGTCCAGATGCTGCACGTTGCCATTGAGTGCAAGTCTTGGGTGAGAGGACCCTTTCTCCTGCATTGCACGCACTGAACGCTACGTGTCTAAATGTGCAACACGGTATGGTAAATTATTTGCATGTTCATAAGTTAATAATAAGTGTCGCTGTGCTGATCAACAGGTGTACATTAGAGGACACGAATATTAATACCCAAGTATCAAGTCTTAAAAGATTATTTCATATTCGATACAAGGATGCTGCCATCTTCAGCTGCTGCTCAATCGTTTCCCATTTTCTACGATGCAATGTGAAATTAATAAGGTCATAAAAGATTGTATGCACTGAGCCAGCTGTTCTTATGCGTACAAGTTGACTGAGCACTAGGAGTATGCGAATAATCTAAACTTCAAATATTTTTCGAATATTTTTTGCTATTCGATTCAATTTGCACTGAAATTTTTCTATTCGTATTTCCCGAAAACAAATACAGTCTAGGTATGGCAGACTGCCTATGACTGCTTAAGATTTTTAATATGCTTCAGCCCATCACATTCTCGTAATGCAGCAAAGCTGCCTTTCAGGCTCTGCTACGTTTGCAATTGTAATGACTCGAGGAAACGCTGGTTCCAGTGTAGGTATGATAAATATGGCAGAGGTGGGGACTCCATCAATGCTGCTTTGGACCTGAAATTAGGGCAGCAAGTCCAAAAATTCAGGCTCTGAATATTTTTAGCATTCGAAATTTCAGGTGTTCGTTTATAAATTGACATGTACGTGGCAGATTTGGAGCTCCGAACTTGGAGGGAGCACATCCTTGTCTGGAACAGCAGTTGGGCTTCCACAAAAGTTGAAAGAAGAGGAGAGGTTGAAGTAATAATGTCTTTGCCTTTCATATGTAAAGTGTTGTCAGTAACATTCTGGTTGCACCATATCGTGCACAAAAAGGCAATTCGACCTCTGCTTTGCTTCATTCTTGACAAGAGAGCTATGAAATACCACCCCGCCAGCGCTTCGTCGACCTAACCCAAAGAAGCACTTTCATGTTGTTATCCCATAAGAATCTATGCTCGGGAATCCTCTCCAAATTTTTTTTCTGTATTTTCACTTGGAGGTATTAGAAAAATATTTTAGAAATGTTCTAGAAATATTCGAAAAATATTCGATTTGCATTCACACTTCCACATTAAAATTTGCTTTGTGCCCTAAACATCGCTATTCGCACAGTTCTACTGAGCAATGTTCATTTATTTGCTACTGTTAGAAAAGAACTATGTTAACAGCCCAAAGTGTGGCACTTCAACACATCAAGAAAATAGTCTAAGTTTGCTGTTTATATTCTGTAAAGTAGGTCAGTTTTGTCATAAGCATAGACCTTGTAAGCTAGATTGCAAGAACATGAAGGGGGCAGGTATCGCTTTCCTTGGTGAACCTTCTTAGACCTTCTTATACTTCACTTGCAAGCATTTGAATGGGCTTTCTGTCTGAACAAATGCTTAGCATTTAAAATTAAGCAAGCCTAGTGAGACTTATAGCACTTAGGAAGATGTACATGCACATAAAATAAATTATATCTTGTTGCACTACATATATACATAGCGTTACAATTTGGCAACTCTTGAGCAAACTGTGTAGGTATATTTTCTTTTTCGTAGTGTGCAGTATTGTCTTTTTTTATTCAGAAACGAGTGTTTTGTTTCACCTGTGTTGTTCCTTTTGCTTGCAGCAGCTTTTTGAGCTGGTTTTGGACATAGCTGAGTATTTCAGTAGCATACTGGTTCTTTCATGGGGCAGGGCTTGTTTGATATGTTGTTATGAGACTCAGTGAAAAGAACGATTGTTAGAAGCAAGGCATAAAATAGATTATGTGTAGCAGTTTGTTATATGCTTTATATGTTGTAAATGCGACTTCAAGCAAGTATACACAAAGGGATACAATTTAAAATGACAGGCTTTTCTATCATTATTAGGGATATGGTTTGTTAAACACCATATATATCAATCAATCAGGTTTATGGTTCCTGTCATAGACATGATTTGATAATAGTACTAGTGGAAAATGTTCAGTTCTGTTTGCATCGTTTTTCTTGCCTGATGTTATCTCCATATCAAAGGTAAATTGTGGATTTGCTGTTAAGTGACAGTAATGGTTGTTGAAAAATAAAACAGAAGCCATACTTTTCATAGCTATTGCTACAATTTAACTATGTACTTGTGATCATGGGCATATGTTTATGGTATTCTAAAGCTGCAATTATCAGCTCAAAAGTGTGCCATTGCCCCTTTTTACTGACCATTGCTTTCTCACTTCAGTTACTGCAACATTTGGTTTCACAAGAACATACACTATACGTTACCTTTACGAGAGGTCAAGAAGCCTTGCTTAGTAATGTACATACAACAGCATCAAACAAACATAGACAGAAAGGCACATGTACTGTGCACAGCAGAAGTTTTCATGTATGTTGTTGCCTTTGGTCATTTTGCACCACTGCTTTTATATTAAAGTACAGTCAAACACCTTTATAACAAGGTTCTTGGGACTTTCGTGATACTTATTATACAGTGAAATTGATTGTAAAGGTGGCACACCGCAATGTTGGAATGTAAGCAATTCTTTGTTATACAGGCGATTTCATTGTAGAGATGCTTGACTACACAACTGGCATAGGCCGCAATACAACTGTTTGTTCAATGTGTGTTGCCTTTAACTGTTGTCTGCAAGTACTGTCTTTTCATGGCATCTTTCCAGACCCTCATGCATGGGATGTCTATAGTGGCCAGCTTCTTTGTCTACTTCGGATTCGCCCTTCTGTACAACAGCGTGTGTTACGATTCCCCGACGCTCCAGAACCCGTACTGGGTCATGCAGCATGCCATGGCCACTGCCAACTTCTGGCTGTGCCTCTTGCTCATTCCTGTGATTAGCTGCCTGCCCAGGTGAGAGTTGCTTGTTTCTACGCCTGCACCTAGATAATCGCCTGCTGGACTGATAGATGTGGCACTGTTCAAATTGTACTTGCATTGTTGCTAGCGTCACTCGCAGGCAGTCATGTGATTAATTTTAATCAAGGAAAGTCGTAATATAGTCCATGAGGAGCCACAAAAGCAGATGGATTCAGCGACTCGTTTTGCTTCGTAGGTGCCTTAGTCAACAATGTATCTCATGTATACAGTGGAAGCTCGGTTGAATGTTGCTCCCAGTCTTGCGACGACCCGCATTTTATGGTATATTGGTTTGGTCTTGGCAAAAACCACCAGAGAAATAACCTATGAAAAACCTTGATTACACAATGCAATTTTACACTGACCCTGCATCACGCTCTCCGATACCATCCTAGAACAAAATAACCATTTTTACTTTAATTTAGTGCCTCCCAAATATTCGCGGGTGCGAAAGAAGTTATGTGTCCATAGGTTGACGATCAGAAAAAAAGACATTGAGACAGCTACAGTATGCTTTCTTGGAATGGAGCAGTTAATTCTCCTGGCAGTTAATTTTGTTCCACCATGATCCAGTTTTCATGTCTATAAGATCACTTCTTGATATGCCTTGATCGCAGGTGTATTTGCTGGCCATGACCTACACAAGCTCAATCAACACAAGAGCAGCTTTAGCTAATCGACAAGCTCGTTTCCAAGATTTAGATATCTTCGCGTTTTCATCCGATGGAAACATTACCTGGTTGACATGTAGCTGAAGAGCTCCCCTTGCTTGCAGCACCTGCAGTCACAGGCCTCAAGCATGCAAAAAGGTCGTGGCACAGCAATCTACAACATGCAAAATAACTATCCGTTGATATGAGCATTCATATTTGTGAAACATCACCTATTGCACTTCACGCGGGAGCAAATGCGGCACACATAGCTTGTAGAGCGCTAAATCATCTATGCAAACTCGCAATAAAATGTCCTTTGCCATTTTTGTGATGGCGATGGCACTGTAACTGAATTTTCTTATGGGAAGCTGTTGCCAATGCAGTGTCAGCTACATCCTTTCATGCAAACTATTTTCAATCTTGTTTTATGGGAAAGAAGATGCTCATTAGATTAATTTTTCAAATGTCAACAATGAATATTCGCTCATGCTTCTTACAGTTAAATGCACCTCTTTCATGTGTGTTACAGTTTTTAGATGGAGCGTGCCCAACATGCATAGGTTGACGAGTTGGTCTTCACATCGTAAACATGCATTCCGAGAGACACTAAAGGCGAATGTTGCCGATATGAATTGTTAGAAGAGTGTTTTAGAAACTTTGTTGTGCTTTTCTCATGCCAAGAAAAAGCTAAATTTGAAACGAAAACTTGTTTTAGTAATCTTTGTACCATTAGCACAATTTAAACTACCCGCTGCCTAGAATGGCCTCTTGATGTAGCCATACGTGCCTTTTACCCACTTTACTGCACAATAGCCAGCCCGACGGCACAACGGAGCTAGGAAATTTAGCCGAGCACAGCCTGGTGATAACAAAACAAGGATATTGTCAAGAAGTTCTTTTTATACTAATCAGGTTGGAATGCACTAATTGCATTTTATTTCATCTTGTAGTGCCCTGATATGTTCTCCTATGGGTAGTTTGAGCATTACTTGTGATTGTTACTTGTGATTAACTTTACCGAGGCTCTCCTACATCATCTTATGTTCCAGAATGTCCCAATGGTTGGTGCAAATTTTGTCCTACATTTACTTTATGTTCTTATTTACTATAGCACCGCTGGAATCCATGTACAGTTAAACCCCTTGATGAGAGGCATGCCCCCGACAGCAATTCTTGTCCATTATATGAGATGTCTCTTATAAGCAGGGTACCTAGTATGCATTTTCTTATCAACCTATATTTTAGTGTAGGTACACTGGTGTCTCTTGTATCCATTTGTCTCTTATATCAGTGTCTCTTATACAGAGGTTCAACTGTAGTGACGTGATGAATTAGCAAGTTAGCACTATACCTGGGGGGCGCTGAAGTAGGAGGAAGAAAAGAAAGAAGGAAAATAACTCTATTTCAGTCCTACGAAACGCAACTGGGTCATGCACCCTGCTCTAGCGAACGTTTATGAGTTAAGGCCATACCCGAGTCGGAAGTTTCTTTAGTCGAGACCGGCGACGGCTTTAGTCTGACTTATAGGATAAGCCCCCACTTCTTACTTCAGGAACATTCTCTCCACCTTTAACGAGGTCATCAGCCACTACCAGATGAGCCACAGGACTCTCCCCTTGCCACATCAAAATCTCGCGAGGCTTCAGACTCTCAGGCTCATTCAAATAAACTCGTATCCCACACTCCCAGTCTTCAGTAAGTTCTTGGAAGTCATCCCTCTGTGTCCAGACTGTGGTGCAGCGAGCATTTTTAAGCACATGCTCAGGGAGTGCCCTTTTTTACAGCACCCCATAGACCACAGATTGATAGAGGAAGCATTTTATCCATTGCTCAAGAGCCACAACTGGTTTGATCAAATCCGGGCTGTCTAGAATGCCCACGATGCAGCGATTAGGTTTGACCTTTGTCCCAAAGTGGGAATGGCCAGCAGTCTTCCCCTATAAAAACAGGGGAAAAAAATCGTTCAGAACCGAATAAAATTTACTTTCTGCTTACCTACTAAAGCACTGCTGCATATTGTCACGACGTCAAAGCAAAGGTCTTGCAGCAGAGATTGCGACACCAAAAGCAGGTTGGTCTTTTTCATAGAACGCGCAAGAGAGTTCTTTTTCGTTCATTTCATAGTCTTTCATGGCACATGCACAACTGCCACCGTGAGAGACTGTCGGCGTCGGTGTGCCCCTTTCCAGATTTATAGACGATGGTCATGTCGAACTCTTGAAGCCTTAGGCTCCAGCGCGCCAAACGGCCACATGGATCTTTAAGGCTGGTGAGCCAGCACAAAGAGTGATGGTCGCTAACAACCTTGAAGGAGCGGTCGTACAAATATGAACGAAATTTGATGACCACCCACATCACGGCGAGGCACTCCTTCTTGGTAGTCGAGTAGTTCTCCTCTATGTGAGAGAGAGTTCTGCTGGCATAGGCTATTACTCTTTCACAGCCATCTTGCCACTGCACCAGAACGGCATCCAGACCTACATTGCTGGCGTCAGTGTGAAGTGCTGTAGGGGCTTCTTGGTCAAAGTGCGCAAGGACTGGAGGTGTTTGCAGGCGTTGTCATAGTTCATTGAATGCCGTTTGCTCCTGTTCACCCCCAACAGAAGGGGACGTCCTCACCTGTAAGTTGTGTCAATGGTGCCACAATAGACGAAAAGTCCTCGATATATCGCCGGTAATGTGCGCACAACCCTAAGAAGCATCTCAAGGCCTTTTTGACGCGTGGTGCAGAAAATTGCGCTACGGCGTCTATTTTGGCCGGGCCAGGTCGAACACCCTCGTGACTGACGACGTGGCCTAGGAAGCCGAGTTCGCTGAAACCAAAATGATTTTTCCGGTTTTAAAGTAAGGCCGGCCGAACGTATGGCTTGGAGGATGGTGAATAAACGACTGAGATGTTCCTCGAATGTTGCTGAGAATACAATAACATCGTCCAGATAGACCAAGCATGTTTGCCACTTCAGGCCTGATAGTTCGGTGTCCATGAGACGCTGAAAAGTGGCTGGCACTGAGCACAACCCAAAAGGAAGCACCTTAAATTCGCAAAGGCCATTGAGCATCACAAAGGCCGTTTTTTTATGATCTCTCTCGTCGACTTCTATCTGCCAGTAGCCGCTTCGGAGGTCTATTGAAGAGAAATAGCGTGCATGGCGCAGCCGATTGAGTGAATCGTCTATGCGAGGCAGTAGATAGACGTCTTTCTTCGTGACCTGGTTCAACTTGGATAATAAATACAGAAGCCCAAGCTGCCGTCTTTTTTCTTGACCAAAACCGCGGGGACGCCCAAGGACTTTTCAAAGGTTTTATGACGTGATCCACGAGCATCTCGTGTACTTGCTTCTGAATTTCCTCGCGCTCTTTCGGAGCCACACGGTAGGGGTTCTGCCGAATCGGTCGCGTGTTGTCTTCAGTAATGATGCGGTCCTTAGGCGATGGTGTTTGCTGGACCTTTGACGTACGTGAAAACCAGTCTTCGAATTGGTGTATAAGTTCAAGCAAGCGCTTCCTATCAGAAGGCGGTAGTGCGGAGCAGATGTCCACCGACAAAGTTGTCGAGGCAGGGACAGTCGCGTCGTCTGATTGCAAAGCAATACAATCCCCGGCTTGGTCTACATTGTTGTAGTAGGCAATTGCGGTACCCTTCGGGATTTGACGACGCTCGTTGCTGAAGTTTGTGAGGAGCAGTTCTGCCTGTCCACTAGTAAGCGGCAGGACGCCTCTCGCGATGGAAATGCCTTGCGTAAGCAAAAGAGCGACTATGTGCTCCGCTATCACATCTTTATAGCAAGGCCACCCACTGGACTCTGACACAAGGCAGCAGGATCTCGGTGGAAGCGTCACATCGTCAGCTATGCGCAAACGGCCGCGTGGTTCGTCGCTGCTGCTGTCGACATATGGATGTGCGCAAACGTCACCATACGTTGAGGGATGTTAATAACAGCGCCATGATCTTAAAGAAAATCCATGCCCAAAATTAGCTCTTTACAGCAGTCTGGCAACAGGACGAAAGTGGCCACGAAGCTAGAATCCCTGATGCGAAGTCGAGTGGTGCATTTACCCGTGGGAGTCATCAGCTGACCACCAGCATTCCTTATGTGCGGCCCTGTCCATGGTGTCTTCATGTTTCTAAGGTGGACTGCGAGCTCTTGTCGCATGATTAAGAAGTCGGCGCCAGTGTTGACCAGTGCTGTAACGTGATGTCCGTCAATGAGAACACCAAGATCGGCACGTACAACTTCATCGGCATCAATATTCGCCGTCGTCGTCATATCTTTTTGCCATGATAGGGGGAACTTTTCTATGTCTCAAGGATTGGCAACCTTGCCCCTGGAGGTCGCATCGGTCAGTTTCCCCGGCGCGGGCTATGCGAACAGCCTCTGGTGACGTCCGCGTAGCTCTGAGAGAAGCCACGGTGACAACCAGGTGATGGAGATCGCCAGCGACGCGGCGGAGCTGGTTTGCTAGTCGACAGTTGATCGGCATCATGGGCGCGACGGTTTTTAGAGCGGAAAGAAGCGGGACAAGAAAAGTTCCTAAACCCGGAATCGCCATGACGGCAATAGCGGGCAGTGACCTGGTTCTCCGCAGCGGAAGCAAATAGGTCGACAGTCGGCCATGCGCCATAAGTCAGTTCGGCGAACTGGTGGTTGTCTAATAGAATCTCGTTGCCCCCAAGGTACGGCAGCAGGTCGTGGCTGGAAGGGCGTCGAGACAAATGACTGTGAAGGACGACGGACCACATCAGCGTAGCTCGCTGGATATGGCTCAGAACTTGGCGCGGGTGGTGTAACGGCGTGCCTCAACTCCTGGCGGATGATTTCGGCTACAGATGCGCAAGCGGGTGGGTAGGAGAAACGCAGAGGGCCCAAAGTTCCTTGCGCAGTATTTTTCTAATCATTTGTCCCAGGGAACTTTCGCAGACGGGAGTGTTCTGAGCTGCAGCACTTACTGCCGTGTGGTTCGGCAGGTGTGGTCTGAGATGGAAGGATAACCGCGGATGTCGTAGGAGCTGCCATGCTGATAAGAGGCGGAACAGGTGCGGACTCTGGACTTGGGAATATTAGGCGCCGACTGAATCGGTGCACCGGAGTTGTGACGAGGGGTCGAGTCTCTGGACTAGATGAACGGGTCCGAGAAAGACTGTCCTGCGTCAGGTTGTAGGCTCCAGCACCTCCACCAGTGTCATGACGTCAAAACAAAGATCTTGCAGCAGAGATTGAGACACCAGAATCAGGTCGGTCTTTTTAATAGAACGCGCAAACGAGTGCTTCTTTTTCGTTCATTTCATAGTCCATGGCACATGCACAATTGCCATCGTCTTTCTTGAGCAAGCACGTGACAATATAATATTGACATTTCAGACATTCTCAAGCAGTGACCTTTCACTGTGATATAACTTATTTGCCTTCAGTGTCCCTTTTAATTAAAAAATGATAAATCGAGTCTGAACTACTTTATGTACACCTTCATGCAGGTTTGTGGTAAGAGCATTGCAGACAAGCCTGACTCCAGGAGATGTCATGCTTACACTAATTGAAGAGAGGACACGCAAAAGGTGCCGCGATTCAACCCGTGGGTCAGTGTCGTGGTCGAGGAATTCTCGAGGTGTAGCAGTGGTGTTTCAGTCGGCGTGCCGACTTCCCTTGGACGACTTGCCATCTGTGGCATCATCCGCGCCAACTACGTCGACACTGGCATCATCACACTGCCTCCAGGCGCGGCCCTCATCTTCCATCGAAGACATCAAGACCGCGTTGCCCACATAGCACGTGGAAGACGTGGAACGTTGTTACTTATGTTGTACTGCGTTTTAGATGGACAGGTGTGTTTTTTTTTTTTCATTGTTTGTGGGCTGAGTGTGCCTTCTGTTTTATTTATTGTGAATAGGTATTGTACACAATAGCACTGATGCTAAGATGTTGCACGAAAATTGGGAACCGAGTCTTTTGTGCTTGGAAATATCTTGCGCATATAGGTGTGCCTTCCTGCTGTATCTCGTGAACGCCTGCACTGCTTAGGTGCAAACTTGCATTTTCTGAGTCGTTTTCATAAGCAGTTGTTATTGTTACGTCGCGCAACATAGCTTGCTTATATACAGTGTTTGATCACATGCCATCTCAAATAAGAATGCATTCTGCGCTTTCGCAAATGTTTGCAACTGTACCCGAATTAGGTCTTGAACTTGATGCAACAGCCAACTGTAGCCGAAAATCGGATAACGCAGGTTGAGATTGATGTATTTTTATCTAGCCGTTGCGATGAGTGTTCTGCAGTTTGTAAAAAATTTGAATGATATGCACCTAAAAAAGAGCAATTGGAAATTGTAAACCACGGACATTTGTACGACGTTCTTACATCAATCATCTCTTAAACTGATTTTTCAGGCAATATTCATAAGTGACGTTATGTTTAAATTATTCACATGATGTGCTTAGCATATGATGCCAAATGTCTCGGCACAATCACCATTTGACGGAGTTTTATATGCAAGTTAATCACAGCAACGAAATAATGAAGACACCCAAATTATTTGTGGTGCAGAAAAAAAAACTTTCATATCAAACTTAGCATGCGCTTTATCACTGGCATTTGCCACTATTAAATAATTTGGCAAGGTTAGGTGGTTTTGTGTTAATTTTGTAAACGTTTTAAGATGCGCAAAATGAAGGCTGCAACTTAAGAGGCAGCAGTAACTGTGTGAGAGATCACTGCCATCAATGTGTGGTTTGCAGAAGTGCTGCATAACTTTGACATGCAGTCACGCTAGTCATGTTTCTCTCGTTGAGCTATTAAAGTGGTACAAGGGGCAGTTGGAGACTGCTGAAGTGCCATGACTTGTATTTTTTATTGTTCTGCCAGCCGGTTTTTGTCACCCCGATGATTATTTTTAATACACTGCTGCATTGTTTGTGGCACTTACAGCTTGATGACTTGTGTGCTGTGCTGTGTGTGTTTGTGCATGTCTGTGTGCTTGCTTCATTCGCATGCGTTCAAAACTTACATTCATACTGGGGCCAAGAGTCACTCTTCAGAATTGAAAACAGCAAAAGCTATGTCGCATCATCGTCATGCCTATGTCGCAATTTTCATTTTAATCTGTGTTGAAAAACCGTGATGTTGTTGTCTTCCAAACTGAGGCATTGTGGATGTACTTACGTCAGTGAACAAAACAGTTTTCATTTTTTCCGAGGTACACATCTTATGTAACATTCCAGTCTTTAAAAGGTTTTTTTTGAGGGGGGGGGGGGGGGCATTAGCGCCGCTCAACTTCGCTCGTCTTTTTCCCTCATTACAACTTGAGAACTTGCCGTCACATGCCTACGTCTAAGGTAAGGAATGAATGTGAGTTGTGCAGCAAGACCACTACCATGATCTTTTGGTGCCACGAGTGTTCTTAAACATAACAGGGTGTGATGCTCGGCATGATACTTTTCCAGTGCCTGAAGCCTCTACAGCATTTAGACTACAATTTCAGCCACTCCGGCAAGAAGCGAATTCTAAAGTCTTTGATCGAAATGCAGAAGTGGAGAGTAGTATAGCGATTTCTGTGCATTTTTTTGCTCTCTTGCAAAAAAAGAAAAAAGAAATCTTTGTAGCCTGTGGTATCATTCAGAATGAATGCTTCATCAATGTGTTGTCCCCTCACTTTTTTTCGTGTATGTGACAATTTTTTACCTTTTTGTACTTAGAGAACTCTGTTTATATCGTCGCTTCATTGTTCACTCACCGTGCCATTGTTTGCCACCAGAACTTCGACATGTTTTCAGTTTCATGCACTGCTTTAAGTAGTTTATACACTATATAATGAAAAATGGTTGTCACGGCTGTTTTGCTTCAGCAAAACACACCACATCATTATCTGTTTCTTTATATAACACTCAATAGTAATGGCACAGAAATATTTATATAAAGTTGAATCGCTCGTTGGCAGCACAATGTGAACTGACTGCCCTTTTCCGAGTACAATGTACATTTTGTACATAGAACAAATGCTTGTCAGCCATGTAAATACCTGTGTTCTCATCAACCTCTTCAGGAAGAGGCGTTTTTGTAAATGTGCAGCAGGGTCCGGTGCTTCCACTTGTCTTCTTTCTTATCCTGGCACATGGACAACAGCCATCAAATTGTGATAATGAACACATCTTCAGCACTGCGCGTATGAGTACCCGACATGCTACGCGCACTTTTTTTTTTAAACTATAAGAATGGTTATAAAGCAGCGCCTGTCGGAACACTTACTTTTGTTGAAATTTAGTAATTCCTCATTGCAAGAATAAACGGTTGCAGCGTGTTGTGTCACTATGTTGCCGAGAGTCCTGATTTGCATTGTAGAGGAAGCTACATGCATGCACTCATTCATTTTTCCGTTAAAGTTTGAAACACAAGCACAAAAAAATAAAAATAAAAATGGTGAATCAATTCGTTGCACAACAAAATAGCTGATAAAGGCATACATTTTGTTAAAGGCAAACACTTGACAGACGGAACTGGAAGCAATGTATTAACCAAGCGTGTGGAAATTGCTCGGCATCTTATTGCGCATTCATAGCTTGCACATGACGTCGTGGACGCAGAACACAGCTCCAACGCGGCAGTTTAAATGGTGTCAAGGCATCATAACCGTGTGGCAGTTAACCTGTTTCAGTGTGATAGTGATTTTGCTAGAATGTTATTGGGCCTCTGTACATGAAGAGAAAGAGAACCAGCATGTGATGTAGTGATAACGCTAACATGACATCACAAAGTTCCCGTCCCATCATGCTGGTTCTCCAGCTTTATCGGTGATGTCAGTGCAAGGCAGTTATAAAAAAAATCTATGCATCTTCATGAAGTGAGTCGTGAGGAGTGGGCGAAGCACTGGGGACTTAATCAACTGCCTATTAGCGCATGTAAATGAGTGACAATGCATGTGTATCATAAATACAATGTTTTATTGTTCACAACTCGTATGTTGTGTTGAGTTCTGCATTTTGTTTTGCCTTCATTATCAGTGCTCTGCGGTCTATGAAATGTAGAGCCAATGGTTCTTCGATGGAATCTAGTCTGAAAATGGTAAACACGAGCTTTATGCATGTTATATTTATATCAAGGCATTTGTGGTCTTTTAAGTACTTAGGCGAGTCTTAAGTGCTTCAACGCTTGCGTGAATGTTTCGGTTCTTGACTAGGCTGGACTTGTACGAGGGCTTGCTTATCAGCTTTCAATTTATGAGCTCGTTAGTGGCTGCGTTGTTGGGTTTGTGTCTAGGAAAGCACTGCACCGTTTTCCGAGTGTCTATCGGGAAGTTGACCACTTGGACCTTTGCTTCATTACTTCCCGTTGCGATGTGTTAAATGCGTGTTGGTCATGAGTGAGAGCCGTGAAGCGATTGCTTGCTGCTTCCCGGTCTCTCGCCTACGGGGTAGCTTGCGGTCACATATGCATTGAACCACCACATAGCATGCTCTCTCCTACGGATCATCAGCTTGTTGCCGCTGCTTCCCGAATTGTCGCCTCCAGGCTAGCTTGTTTTCTGCATCTGCGTTGCCTTTTGATGGGGTCAGCATGTTCATGTTTGTCTTCATTCATGGCAGAAAGAGAATGTGTGGTCTAGAACGCGCTTATTCTTTAACGTTGTCAGCCACAGTGCGAAGAAAGTGCACCCAAAGCCTCACGGATGTGCAGCGGGTACCTCGCTTATCAGCAGAATGACAAATGGCATAGTGGGTACTTCCCTACTTCATGAAAGTTGCGGCGGGTGTATGATGGTTACCTTGCAGGTGCTAGGCTGTGACAGCCATATGAGCAACTTTTTTTTTAATGGGCCAAATCCAGAACCGAAACTAGCTCAAATAAGAATGGGCCTAATCCAGAACCGAAGCTAGCTCAAATAAGACTGTATTGGCACATAAACACTCCCAAATTTTCTCTAAAACAGTAATAACAAACTATTAATTATTATTGGGCACTGTTATGCCAGCGAGTCCTCGTCAAACGTCCGTGCCTCTGAAAAAGGCAATCTGGGTCAAGGCCAGCCCGCAGTCCGCCTGACGCGAACAACCCAACGGCGTGAACACGCGCGGCGCCTCTCTGGCCCACGTGCATTGAGTCAGCGGCGCACGTGACAGCGAGCCGGCGTCCTCGTGTCTGGTGGTCTGACGCATTGCGCGGCGACCCCATTGGAGGAATCTGCCCTGACGACCAGCGGCGCTTCTAATTGGACATTTTGGTTGGACCCGGTGCCTATAAAAGAAGCCCTGCGGCGCGTCGCGATCGGCGGTCCTATGAGAGAGGAGTCCCCATGTCGGAGAGCCGACATGTGTGTGAGTCGGCGGTCTTAGGCGAAAAGCTGACCTATGTGTTAGAGAGGAGAGCTCGGCTCTTCGAGTCTCTGTCGGCCCCAGTGCCGAAATTGTAACGCCTCTGTATATATGCTGTACATAAACCTTATTTAACTCACCGTCGTCTCGTCCGCTCGTCTTATCAGCTCTGCGCAGAAGCAGTCGCGAGCTGAGAAACATACGCTACCAAACGGCTGGTGACCTTCCCGGCGGAGTTGAAAGCAGTGGCGCCTTCGGGGCCATGTTGGCGTCGCCGTCTTTCGCAACAGTGGTGGCTTCGGTGGGATCGGTCCGTCTTTCGCAACAGCACCCATCATACGTCAACCATATTACAGTGGGTGTGTAATAGCTACCTTGCATGTTCTGTGCTGAACAACGCAGAGTGGGCCAGCCTAGACCCGCCAAGAACTGCCAGCGCAGATGGAGCGGTGGATCCGCTCGACGGACTGCCAATCTCGGAAATGGGCGATCCAGAGGCTCGAAGGGGCCTTGGCCAGGCAGAGGGAATTCGTGACCCGCAAGCGCGAGGCGCAGGAATTGAAATATCCTCTGTCGGGTCAGGTTCAACCCTCTGAGTTGTTGGCCCAGTGTTTCTAGGACTGCATATACTAGAACATTAGAAAGGTAGACTGCGCCCTGCGAGGCCAGCACCTACCCCTTGCAGGATCCTGTGAATAAAGTCTTTTCTCTCTCTCTCTCTCTCTCTAAATCCTAGGATGCTTTACCTCTTTAAGCACAACCAAGCTTCTTTCGCCTTTGTGAACGAGGAACCCAACGTGATCATCATCAGCCTGACTATGCCCACTGCCGGGCAAAAACCTCTCGCATGTTCAGCCAATAAACCAAGTCCTGTGCTTGCTGCTGCCATGTTATGCCGCAATCTTGGTAAATTTATCTGCCCACCACTAATGGATCCATAAATGTCATATTTTTTTAGTGGTGGGTGTTTGCTTTCGTCCTTAACCTGAGAGAGAGAGAACAAAATAAGGCAGGGAGGTTAACCAGAAATCGGAGCATGCGGTTTGCTACCCTGCACTAGGGGAAGGGGGAAGAAAGATGGGAAAGAAAGCGAAGAGGGAAATAGACGCGCGCAAAAAAGGGGGGGGGGGGGGGCTGGGGTGCTACAGTCTATACAATAGGCCGCTGCCACGCAAAAAGTTCAGTAAGGCCTTCACTGACTTTTTGTGTCTTGAGTCCAACCCTCTTCAACCTCGTTCTCATTGGTCTTGTAGAACGACTACCAAGTACAGTCAAGTTATCCATGTACGCTGACGACATCTGCGTCTGGGCATCTGGCGTGACAAGACCTCAGGTACGCGCAAGACTTCAGAAAGCTGTGACGTTGGTATCAGTGTACCTCAAGGACCAGGGTCTGAAAATCTCGCCAGCGAAATGCGTATTGATTGCTTTTAGTCAAAAGCCAATGAGACCATACGCTATATCTATCGAAGGCCAAGTCATACTCTATGTCAGGACGCACAGATTTCTAGGCGTATTCATTGATAGAGACCTCTGCTGGGGCCCACATGTGGCCCACTTGAAGAAGAGGCTGACAGAAATTGCTAACATATTCAAGTATCTTGGAGGAAAAACCTGGGGGACTTCAGTACATGCAATGATGCAATTGTACAAGACGCTTTTTCTTGGCTATTTGCGCTACAGTTTGCCTGTGTTGACCAATACCTGTAGAACCAGCATTCGGACTCTCGAAAGCATCCAGGCTATGGCTCTGCGAGTTTGTCTGGGGATACCGCCATGTTCATCAACAGCTGAGACAATCGAGATCGCTAATGACTACCCGCTCAAGGCGCATATCATGATGGAAGTGCTCAGAGCACACGTGAGGCATCTTACTCGTGCCCCTGCCCATCATCTAGCTTTACTGCCAGAAGCTCGACCTGGTGCCTCATTTTGCGAGACAGTCTTGTCATATTGCACACGCATTTCTACAGGATATACAACTCCATCCAGAATTTCAACTCCCCCATGGAGTATGACCTATGCACATGTTGAACTCACGGTTCCAGGCATAGAGTCGAAAGCCCGGCTCTCGTCTCCAGCGCTAAAGCAGCTTTCTTTTCTCTTGTTATATGAGAAGTACAGTGAGCATACTCATCTATATACTGACGCTTCAACTAAAGTGGATGAGCCTACAGGGTTGGCGATCTTTCCTGCAACAGCGACAACGGTGAAGTTTCGGTTATCCCACCAGACATCGACAGCTGCGGAACTTGCTGCTCTACGTAGCGCAATTAAAGTCATTAAACACCAAGAAGCCAAGAAATGGAGCGTGTTCACGGACTCTAAGGCAGCACTACAGTGTTTGATATTCGCCTTACGCCGGGGACCTCATGAACAACTAGTGCTTGAAATTAGAGAGCTGCTTCACCACCTTTTCGACGAAGGACACAGAATCAAGTTTCAGTGGCTTCCAAGTCACTGCGGCATATTGGGCAACGAACATGCCGATGCAGCTGCTCGATCAGCGCACGAAGATGGTGAAGAAGAATCTATACCATTTTCAAGGACTGATGCTGCAGTGAGAATCCAAAAAATCGCTATTGCAGAATTAAAATCCCTGTGGAACGCCAAGTGCTTACGGCACTAGCGACTGCATAGACTGGACTCGTCTCGTTGACTACGGCCTCCATCTAGACTCTCTCGACTCGAGATAATGGTGCTTTGCCGACTATGGCTTGGTGTCGCCTTCACCAAAGCTTTCGCCTTCCGAATCGGCATGGAAGATAGTGCTGGTTGCGGTCATTGCGGCAGCGATGAAACTATAGAGCATGTTCTCTGTCACTGCCGTCGTTACTGCGTGCAAAGACGGCAACTAGCTGCTGCGCTAGCTCGCCTTGACGACAGACCTTTGTCTGAACAATCAGGGCTAGAAAGGCTACATGATTTGTGTGCTCCTTAACCTGAAGAATTGTTAAGGTAATGCATAATATAGTAGAGTGCAAGCTGTTGTATAGGCGATGTCTAAACATAAAGCCATGATGTTTCAGGCTCCTGCATTTGAGGAGGATTATTGCTTTCTACAGGGAAGTCTATTGTTGACCTTACATGTAAAGTGTTGCACCACGCCAACAAAAAAAGTTGCTGCAAATCAAAGTGAATGCTGGTGGTGGAGCGAAGCTATGCCCTTAGGTCCTCAATATCTACGTTGAAGTCGCCAACTACTATAAAGGACGAAGAAACGGACAGATGCATGGATGGTCGGACAGGACAGAGTATGTTTAAACCATATGCACGCTACCAACGCTCTCGTTGCGGTATATGTAACACCTGTGTTTTGGTAGGATGGGTACCTACGATGGCGACAATGAACATCGTGAGAGGCCCTAATTATATTCACCTTTAAGAAGGCTCTTCAAAGGGCAGAGATGCTATTGTAAGCCATTCCTCGTCGACAGTGCAAACATTGTCTTTAGCACAACAGCCATAGAGATACAACAGCCCTGTGTTATTGAGATTGACTGAAGCCACTCTGATTGCACACTGATAGTACATGTTGAATTATGAATACAAAGTCCTTTTTGGAAGCAGTTCCAGAGAGTCTAGTTTACATTCAAAATTGGTTCTGGCTCAACTGCCGCGAGATTGATTGTTCTGTGCTATGCGCGCAATACCGTCCACGCAGTTCCATAAGCTCATCATAATTTGACGCAAATGGCGACACCATGCGAGTGTGAAGTTGACATGATATGTCCTCTCGGGTCTAGTGGATTTCTTACACAATAAACAGTTGCTGTATTACATGTTGCATTCTAGCCAAATAGGTACTGGACCTTGGCAAGCTCCCCGATCATTTAGTGAGGCATGCAGGAAAAGAGAAATTTTTGGCGTGCAAACCGGGGTGAGCACTGAGCCTTGATCCGCAAGGGGGCTACACTCAACACGTTGGCTACACTCAATCGCAGCGCCCGTTCCTACGCGCGTCCAGCTGTCCGTGCTTCGGCGTGGAGAATTTCGGACACAGAACACTGGACAAAGCGCATGCGGCGAGCGCGCGGACCTCCAAAGCGACGACCTTGACCTGTGCACTGACGTTAGCGATGCTTGCGGATGACGTGAGGGCATAGCCCTTCCCCCCCCCCCCCCCCCCCAACGCCAAGTTCAAAAAACGTCATCCGAACTTGTTTTTCTTTTTTTAGCGCTAGTATTGGGCCGATTACCTCTTGACCAAAGTATACCTACTTTTTTTTCTTGACGTCATATTATAAATGCGCACTGAACACACATGCGCATGCACCGAAAGTTAATTAGTGCTTTATTAATACGAGGGTTCAAATAGACACCTGTACTAACAACTGCGGAATTGTCTTCCACAGAACTACGAGAACTTGCACACAAAAGCGGACGGCGGTTGCAATAACAAATTATGCTTACACACGTGTACTGCGCTACGAGTCGGTGTTCGCCGAGAGAATATCTCGGTGAAAAGTCCCCTCGCGTCCCTCCGGTTTTCGAGGTCAATTGGACGTCGGTGATTTTCAGATCTCTGCTCGCTGCTTTGCACATATCGTAGACGGTTAGTGCCGCGACCGTAACGGCGCTCAGGGCTTCCATCTCGACGCCAGTCTTTCCCGTGCATTTCGCATAACTTTCAATTAGCACCTCGTAGGTGCTCTCCACGAGTGTCAAGTTCACGTCCACTTTGGTCAGGAACAACGGGTGGACACAGCTGGAATCAGCTGGGAAGTCTGCTTGGCGGCACCGATTCCCGCTATCTGGGCAACGGTCAGCACGTCGCCTTTCTTCAAGTTGTTGTATTTCACGAGCTCATACACGTGCTTTCCTAACAGGACGCGCCCAGACGCAGTTGCTGTGCGCACCGACTCCGGTTTTCCCGCAACATCGACCATCCGTGCGCCGCCTTCTTCGTCCACGTGCGTCAGTTTTCTGGTCCCGTGTGTTGAGAGCAGACGACGACCAACGCACGCGCTCGATAGACCAAGTAGAACCACTTGCCTCCACGATGCCGCTGGATAACTCGCACTGCCAAAATGTCTTGCTAACGCGGACGGCATCATGACTGCGTTTGGAAGCTCCTCGTACTTGACACTTTAGACCCAATTCGTTTTGACGGCGCATAAAAACAACTGCGGCAAAGCTGTCTAAGTGCAGCGAACTATGCATTTGCATAAAAACTACTCGAAAAACAGCTGGAGCCAGGCGCAGAGGCAATACTACCGCGATAGAATCATAGCGCTGTCGTCGGCAACGATTTTTTATGATCGCCGCTAGGCGCCGTGCCACAGCCTAACCATAGAAACCCACCTGAGAGATATGGAGGAGCCACCAGTGATGGATGATTACGTATGGGTGGGGTGCAACAGGGCAGCGGGAGAAAGGAAGGGTGGAGGCGTGGGCATGTTGATTAGGCGAGGAGGGAATTGGCAGAGGGAAAATCAGGGCTGTAAGGAGCACTTATGGGTTAGTGGAACGGTGGGGGGAAAAAAGACACGGTTGGGAGTGGCCTATCTGTGGACAGGGAATGACGCCAGAGAACAAAATAAAGAGTGGGTGGACTGCCTCAGGAAGGACATAAAAAATTTAAAGAATCTGGCGAGGTGATATTAGTAAGAGATTTAAATGCCCACATTGAGGATCTGGATGGATATACAGACTATAACGGTGCAATGGTTATCGATATGTGTGAAGAACAGCAACTGGTAATAGTTAACCGGGAACATAAATGCGACGGGCAGATAACGTGGCAAAGTGGCAGTAGACAGTCTTGCATAGACTACGGCCTGGTCTCAGAACACACGTACGAGCGGTTGAACCAAATGACGATAGATGAAGAAGGAGAAAACAGTCTGGGCAGCGACCACAGGCGTATAATCCTGAAATTTGACAGTGGGAGGGCTAGGAAGAAAACACAGGAGGTTGGGCTCCCGAAAGTAAGCGAAAAGCAGATAGCAGACATCGTCAATAGCATCGAAAGAGAATTAGAAGCACAGCCAACAAAGGTGTGGGAATATGACGAGGTTGTTAGTTGTATACAAAAGGAAATAAACAAAGTAAGGAAAAAAAAAACCGCTGGAGGGGTAAACGGAAACCACGAAGCTGGTGGGACAAGGAAATTAAACTGGCTATTGAAGAGCGACGACGGGCCTCTAGACTGCACAGAAAAGCAAAGCAAATGAGATATCAGGATGATGAGGTGCAGTTACGGTGGAGCCGGTACCGAGAAAAGAAATTTGAGGTGCAGAAACTAGTACAAGCGAAGATTAAAGCTGCGAGTGAGAAATGGGTATCAGACATACGTAAGAAGGATAAGAGCGCCCCCCCCCCCCCCCCCGAAAACTCTGGAACCATTTAAAAGCATTGGGAACGACGACTAAAGAGATGCAGACTCAGATACAGGACGGGGACGGCAACGTTCTCCTGGGGGACAGCGCATTAGAATACCTACATGGAGTCATAGGAAATACTTTCGGCCAAGCACGCGAGAGGTCGGCTAACTGGACACAGGTGGAAAATAAAAGAGTGGCAGATGAAAAATTTAATATCGAATTTTTGGACTGGAAAAAGGCAGAACACAGTGTTCCCAAAAGTACGGCAACAGGACCGGATGGGATCCCGATAGAGATTATCAACCATTTGGGACCAGCGGGACAGGCGCACTTGTATGGAGCCATCGAGCGCGCTATAAAATCCAAGAGGATTCCTGCGCACTGGCGCGAAAGTAGAATGAGCTTGATCTACAAAGGCAAGGGAGAAAGGGACAAGGCGAGCTCTTACAGGCCGATTACAGTCACGTCAGTGCTCTATAGATTAGCTATACAAGCCATCAAAGCCGAGTTGTTGAAGTGGGTTGAAAGTAACGGTATTTTAGGGGAACTGCAAAATGGATTTAGGCCGGGTCGACGCTTGGAAGACAATCTTTTCGTCATAACCCAGACCATCGAAATTTCGGCAGCACAGGGCAGACCAACATGGCTACTGTTTCTGGACATAAAGGGTGCCTATGACAACGTGGACAGGGGATTGCTGTGGCATATACTGGAAGAGGAGGGTATTGGGTCGGAATTTGTAGGGCTGCTAAGGGCAATATATGAGGGTAACAAGGCACACATTACATGGGAAGGGCGTACATACACAGAGCCCGTGTACATTCGAAGAGGTTTAAAACAGGGGTGCCCTCTTTCGCCATTGCTGTTCAGACTGTACATTAGAGGAATGGAAAGACGACTAGAGGAGAGTGGATTGGGCTTTGATTTGTCACACCGAAGCAATGGAGTGTTAGTGGAGCAACGGATTCCGGGATTGATGTACGCAGACGATATAGTGCTGCTGGCGGATAATGCGGAAGAACTTCAAAAACTGGCTGACATTTGTGGTGATGAGGCAACGTACCTAGGCCTACATTTTAACCCACAGAAATCTGGAGTCATGGTGTTCAACGAGGAAGCTCATGTAGCACCAATAAGGATACAACAGGAAGCCATACCATTAGTAAATAAGTACAAATACTTGGGGATCTGGCTTAATGAAGGAAAAGGCTACCTGAATGCTCATGAAGAACACCTCAAACTGAAAGGGAGACGAAATGCAGCAGTAATGAAACATAGAGCACTTTGGGGACACAATAAGTACGAGGTAGTACGAGGCATCTGGAAAGGGGTAATGGTGCCGGCGCTCACGTTCTCTAATGCCGTATTATGCTTAAAGTCAGATATCCTGTCGGGGCTGGAGGTTAACCAAAAGGCAGTCGGCAGGTTAGCTCTGGGAGCTCACAGTAAGACTACAAACGAGGCTGTACAAGGCGATATGGGTTGGGCTTCATTTGAGGCGAGGGAAGCACAAAGTAAAATACGGTTTGAGGAGCGACTTAGACATTTAGATGAGAAGAACTGGGCAGCCAGAGTGCACAGATACCTGTACCTGAAAAGTGTGGACACCAAATGGCGGAAGAGGACGCGAAAGCTGGCGACTAAATATAACTTGACCGCGGCAAATAAGCAAAGGGGGCCAGTTAAAAAGCAAGTGAGGGAAACAGAGACGCTCATGTGGAAAGAGAGGATGGAAAAGAAGGGATCGCTGGAAATCTACAAGGCAAGCAAACAAGAGATCCGGAAAGAGAACTTTTATGACAACCATAAAGGTAGTGCGTTGCTCTTTGAGACGCGGGCTGGCTGCTTGAGAACTCTAACTTACAGGAGCAAATATTCGTCACAGGATGAGACATGTGTTGGATGTGGCATAAATAAAGAAACAATCGACCACATAGTCATGGAATGTCAAAAGATTCATCCGGATAGAAATGGGGGGAAGGTCACACTTCCTGAGGCGCTGGGCTTCGCGGTTGATGGAAGCATTAACTGGTCAGCAGTAGGTATTACTAAGCAGCGGCTGGAGTATTGGTGGAGGAAAAGCAGAGAAGTCTATAAAATAACATCCCAGCCAAGAGTAGCGGCTGGGCAAAATTAAAAAAGACAAGGCTAGATGGCGCATGCCGTCACTCCGATTCAAAGGGGAGGCCTTTAATCATCATCATCATAGAACACCTACACAACTAGGTGTTCTGTGACACAACTGCACGCCACAGCGGCCGTGGCTGGGTACAAACGCACCAGATCTGTAAGCCTGGGGTGAGGTCTGGTGAGATCAGCTTGCAAAAACAAATACAAATAGACGGGTGTATGGACGGGCGAAAATACTTTTGACGCGCAAGCATGACCTTCGCGTGTTGTTATCTTTCAGCAGCAACACTTTCATAAAAGGGCGAGAGTGTGAGCCATGTGGGCCTTTCCCGTCAGAGTTTTATTAGCCCTAGAGTTAATATACCAATTGATTGATTTATTGATATAGGGTTTAACGTCCCAAAACCACTGTATGACTATGAGAGCCGCCGTGGTGGAAAGCTCTGGAAATTTCGACCACCTGAGGTTCTCTAACGTGCACCCATGCCGGAATTCGATCCCGCGACCTGCGGGTTAGCAGCCGAGTACCCATAGAGTTTCGTACAATAATACCCGAGTACCTTAGCCGCTAGATCGAGTTAATATACTGTTATTAGCATTAACTAGCGTTTCCTATGACTGTGCCCAGCTATGCCTTTGACACATGCGGGCAACAGACAGTGTGTTCGCGCGATCTTGTGATTTTTTTTTTTTTCGGCAAATCAACCGAATCGCTTCGCTTCATTAGTCGGTAAAGACCAACCAGGCCGGATGTTGTGAGCCTGTGTAGCAACTGAAGTGGCACTTATGTGGCACCACCATTTCCTGAAAATACGATATGGTTTGAGCCCGCGCACGTAAAACTGCGATCGATCGCAATTGTGATTTGCTTGCGCTAGTGAGTGGCTACGGTGTTACAATCAAAGTGACCGCTACCAAACTGGTAGGTGTTCTGTGACCGCATTGGCAGCACAGAATGGGGCCAGGTGTTCTGTGATGGGGCTACAAAATGATTTCTTTTTTTTTTCCCCTTTTTTTCTGTGCTTTCACGTCACTTGCGATAACAGCGCCAATGTTTAGACAAAATAAACACTGTTTTCTAACTCTGTTCTTTATGTAGTGACTACTTTTCGAGCAGAAGTTCAAAATACAATAAATATAAATTATTTAAAACTTCGCACATATTGTGGTAGTGATGGTAGGTGTTCTCAGGGGAAAGTACAGTAGTGCGGGTTGTCGTGCGGCAAAGCGTGATGGCTGTAAACAAGTATGGCGCGTGGTGATACCCGTCATCTGTGCAGCGAAACTGTGAGCGCCACTCGAAATTGGGCCCGCTTGAGCGCCGATTCACTCAACGCTGCTGTTTGCGAACACGCGTTAATGTTTCTCCTCCTTCGCTTTTAGATCTCGCTAGTGCTCGAAGACTCTTTAAGTCGAATTGCTCCAAAGCGGTACGCCCATCGCCTTGGCTACTACATGTTTGTGTTTTCGTTTTTCTCGTGTTAGTAATCTGTGAAGCCGCAAAGTTCCGTACCAGAGCTTTGTTGCGGCTGTGTTAGTGCTACTGGTTGAACGCCTGCATGCATTTTGGTCGATCGATTGGGTGTAGCGCCTGTCCTGTTTTGCGAAATTTGATGCCGACGTGCAACTGTATGCGTTTTCATGTCATCGTCTCTCGAGATAACGGTGCAACTCTAGCAGTTCTCATGGGCGTCCGGATGTCGTGTTTTCCTTCAGTAGCCTGTTGATTAAAAAAAACAAACGAATATAGAGAAGACGGAGATTATACGTAATAACTGTATTGTTTGCATTCGCGAACTTTGTCCAGGAGTTCGCCATGTCGTTGCCGCCGTACAGTGACAGTCCCACCCCGACGCCCTTTCGGAGTCCAGTGGAAAACTGATTTGCCTCCATCTTACGACGACATCACAAATCCGAATGGTATGTAGTACTTTCCCGGACCTAACCTAAGCGCGCTACCATACATGACATTTCTGTACGCAGACACACACGCGCGTTTAAGCGTGCACACCTATCCAACTGCTCGATTTTTCGTCCTCTGCTGACAACGACGAAACAAAGCCCTGGTGTGTTCACGCAATTGACATAGCTTTATTGCAGAGACGTCAGACAAGCAGGAAAGGAAAGAGTGAGGAATAGACTGTTTCCCCCATTACACCGACCTAGCTGTCTTAACGGCTGGATTTCGTTCTAAACACGTAACGCTGGAATTAACCTTGCAATCCTCAAAATGTTAACAACGATGACGCACTTATTTTGTGCACATCACTCTGAATGCACAGTTAGTCTGGCTTGACCCTCACCCTGAGCCTGCGGTAGTGCCACCTCAATCGTGCTGGTCCACGGCACAGTTGAGTAACGTTACTGCCGGTGTCAGGTAGAACCATAGCATTCTTTAGGTGTTCTCACATTTCACCTGCTTTTTCTAATACACATCGTACTGACGTCACAAACTATTAAACTCACTTTTCAAAAGTTCTGCGACTGCAGTTACATAGACGATGGCACAACTAATTGCTGGTCAGCCCAATTGCTTTGAATATTTTGTGTGTTTGTATCTGTAAATAACGAGCACATGTGTATGTGCAGTTTTTACCTGTTCATAGCGCACGTTTGAGTGTGTTATTCAAAACCTCTCTTTTAGAAACCTTCATGTTTGCTTCTTTTTCATTCCAGCTCCCCCTCCATCCTACCAGTCGCTCTTTGGACAGGTTCGCGAGGTACACAAGACATCCAACGGTGTGCTCGACTTCTTGCGAAGCGTCATACTCCTCTTACTAGGCACCTGTGAGTTATCTGCCATCCTTTAGATCTGGCTATTGTCAGAGCAGTTTATTTAGTGTCTCGTGTTCATGGGGAGTGTAAAGGAACCGACAACTGATTTTTTCGACCCAGCTTTTTCCAGCGCGACTGAGAGCATGACCTGCTTAGTGTTCGTAGCTGCAGTAGTTAATCCCAAAAGCACGTAGTCATTTTATAAGCATTTATAGTCATTTATAGTCATTTTACAATCTGAAAGGCTCTGAACACGGATCTGCCCTTTCATTCAGCAACACTGAGAATTGATAGCGCTGCCGGTAGCCTTTCTGGTGACTTGTAGATGCTGTTGTTGTTCTTATTTCGCAGGAGTTCGTGGAATTAACTATGCTTAACCACACTTATTCTGCACTTTACAACTATTTTTGAAGATAGCAAGCCATTACAATGAGACGATGTGGCTCTGTACAGCTTACCTGCATGTGTACCGTGCTGCGAGCGCATGCGCCCAAGGTTGTTGCACCCGTGTCGGGGATGGCTTGTCCCGTCCTCGTTACTCTCTCGACACACGAGCCATGCCAAGTAACTGAAAACGCCCCTATGAATATGTACAGCCGCGCCTAGTAGCAGCGCGGCAACGATATAGTAGCAACAATACTGTTACCAGTGTCACTGATTGTTGTCGAATGAACTACAGTGTGTCGGTGCACGAAATCAAAGGATATAAATTGTATGCTGTTCCAAGAGCATGCGGAAGGCTGAAACCGCTCAAGACATGCCGACTAGCATCAAATCATTACGTCACGCGAAGGCAGCGCTACTTTAATGCATACTACTAACTAACGCAAGCTTATAAGTATTATATTTTTATAAAATATTATCAATTGCCATAAAGAATCAAGCAATGTTTGAGTGCTAACAAGTAAATTGTTGACAGTGTACATTAACGCACGATCACGTGGCAGGGGATTTTGGATAGTTCATGTTTTTGCCACCAGAAATGCCATAGGACAATTTTTTGCGATTTTCAATGAAGAAATAAAAATATAAATACACTTCTCACGAGAAAAACAGGGTTGGTTTGAGTCAGTATAAGGGACAACCATTCAATTCGTGCAGTAATCTCATTTTGTGTTCTCGGCAGTTGTCGGTCCCTTTAGGTCAATTCGATATGCAGTATACAATACAATGCATTGCCAAGCAGCGACGCTTAGTTAGAGCAGTTTGTACATGTAAAATGTTGCTAAATGCAGCAGGAAAAGGAATTTGTATGTGAAGTCAAAAAACAGGGCTCATTCTGCGTTTCTCATCTTTAGTCCACAGTTGCTTTTTCTTGCAAAATCACAACAACCTGTTGAAGTATGTAGCTGCTTCCATAGCAGTTTGTTGATTTACATGAGCCTTTTTTATGTTATCTGGAATAACCTGCCATTTTAGAAGTGCATTGATGCTGCTGCTAAGCTGCTGGTGCGTCAAATTTTGCTCTCACTTACCAGTTGTCAAGCTTGCACTTCATTTGTAAGAGGTGTAAGCATATTTACACAGTCGACTCGCACTGATAAGAATTTCATGAGACATCACATTTCTGCGTGAATTTTTAAGCTTCTAGTCATTCGATAATCAAGGGGAGACACTACTCGAATAGACTTTTTTTTTTATTAACCCTAGAGAATGAAACTTGAGCTGTTTATAGAGCGTTATATGCTGATTTCAAATATATAATTAGTTTTTTTGCAAGGTGCATACTTTTAGCTCCTCAACATGACAAGGTGAAAACATTAAGCCTTTTGCCTTCTCTCTTTTTATTGTATAATTAGTTATTATATTACTAATTATATAATAGAAATTTATTAATTATCAATCATTATGTTATGTAATTATTTATTATAGAATACAATTTTATAGATTTCATTATATAATTAATTATTATAACTTTATTACATAATAAAATATTGAAACTCACACTAAATAATTGCATTTGTCATACTTTAGAAAAAGTTTGGGCAAAGTTTTATGCAGATCCGAGCATCAGCAGTATCCGAAAAAGGAGGGGCATATTGAAAAAAAAAAAGGGGGCAAAAATCTGTGTTTTCAAAACGAGTTTTAATGATAAATTTGAATTTTCTTTATGAAAGATGTCATTAACTGACAAAATTTACTCGCAAAAAAAAAACAATACTCTTTGTAGTGGCCACTGCCACTAAAGTGCGCCAGGGCCATAAGTCTGTCGCTCACAGCTCTTTCGAGCTAATTTGTCATAGGCACTTTGCTCAAAGACATTGTCATGAAATGCTTGCCAAATGTCTTCCACTCCATCTGGCAAAGCCTTGTGGCGACTGCAAGCTAGGCAGAAGATCGACAGAACTTCTAAATCTAAACTTGAGCCCAGTGTCGAGGGACACAACGATGACGATGCCATTGTGGCTGCAGCTGTGCCACGTACCGTCGTACATAATGGCAATGTCGTCCCTGCTAACTTCCCTCACTGTGAGCTCCCTCAACCTCGCATGGTCAGCACAGATGGCATTCATTGCCACATCACGGACTTTCTGGCTGATGGCTGTGAATGACCTTGATGCATTGCCTTTTGCAAGCCAAGAATCGCCGCAGACCAGACCAGCTGTTCGTAGCGCATTCTTACGGAGCACACCTCCACAACAGCTTTCACGTTGACAGCGTAGCTATCATGCGAGCTACGGCTTTCTTTATCCGTAATGGAGATAAACACACAAGAAAAGCGTTGTTGAACAGCCGAAGGGACAGAAATCCCGCCTGTATGGCTTCACAGCACATACAGGCGCGCAGTGGCTCATGGCGGTCTTCGATCTATACCACGTGATTTAAAAACTAGTCGCGGCACTCAAAAAACGCGGCAAGAGCGTGCTTCTTTTTTATTACTTTTTGCGCTGCAGCAGTGCGGCAAACCATTGTTATTTGAAGAGTGGGGCTCGGCCCTTCGCCTCAAGCGATCGACGATGCCGAGCGGCGGCGCATTATCAGCGGCAAGGTGCTCGAAGACTGCACACTTTCGTCCTTTCAACAGATACCTTGTGCTCTTTATAACCAAGCTTTTCCAGTTGAGTCTTGACATAGATTTTTTTTTTTCAGAACGTTAAGAGGTCATCAAAACAGGTGAAAACAAAAGCTCGACAATTTTTTAGAAAACCCCTGTTTTTGACCCGCATCTCCCGTTAATGAACAGAATGACAGGTTATCGCACAAGTTTATGTTCATGCCTAATCTTATTTGAAAAGGATGTACAACTTGTAGAACCAAACATGCTTAACAAAGCGGCATGTTTTGTGAAGTTGTATTCAAGGCAAAACTGGATCACTTATCGTACTCCCAACAACATGTGGCGGCCCAGTGTTAAGTTGGGCATGGTTCAACTGTTACAATATTCATTCACGTTTCATATTTTTTTGTCAGCTCTTAATCTTAAGCAGAAAAAAGTAAGCATCTTCAAGTGCTTAAGAATAGGGCACACTGTACATGATGTTCAGATCTGACAGAGATAATGCCACCGAAATTTGGGATCTTAAAAGCCGATTGTAATCGAGTCTATGGTCATTTAATTTTGGCTGCCTCATGTTTCATTCACGAACTGCTGTAGATGAGGGCAATATTATGCGCTAAAATTGTGCTGCTAATTATGAAGACAATTAAGCTCGCTGTTGTGATTCAATGCCAACCCTACTTTTTTTATTTTGCCATTGACTTACACGAATGAAAGAATGTCACTACAAATGTAGAGACAATTACAAATACCTCATTAGTTGCTGCTTCGTCCTCTGATACAGTTTACAACTACAGCGTGGTGTTGCCGTAGACTTCCTTGTATTCTGTGGAGAGCTCTCTGCGCTCAGGAGGCCGCAGGTTACAGAAAGTACGCTTGTGAACTACATGTGCATTGCTTCTCTTTTTTTTTTTTCAGTGGGATGTTCAATCTTGGTTGGTGTCACAGTCATCATTCCCGTCAGCATGATAGTGATAGGTGAGTGCATTGCCTCTCTTGTGGTGAAACAACTTGGAGTGACTTTTCGAGTTACAGTCTGTTCGGTTGACACCATTAGTTTAAGCTTAGAGGGCAGTTCCAATAACCAAGGAAGTCTTTATGAACATCTATAATGGTTTGGGTGAGCTTGAAATGAACTTCCTTTGAAATGGTTTATCTAGATAGGTTTCTGAAGCATACTGAAACGGCAGTAGCACTGTCATTGAACGGTTGCTGTAATAGTAAGGATCGTGTGCATATGTATCCAACGGAATGTACATGCTTTTGGAAAACATTTAATTAGTGCATGCTGTTTCCACACTTGCTGTGCTTGCAATACTTTCAATTCAGGTGCACATTAAGGAATGTATGTCAGAAAGATGGAAAGTTGGGCAAGTTGGTGTGGTCGCAAAATTCAAAATGAGTGTGAAGGTACAAAGACGAAAGGTGCTTGTTCTGTCTTTTCTCGTCTTCGTCCTTGTTGCTTCGCACCGGCCTGTTATACTTCGGTGGTACAGGCAGAGGCCCTTTATTTTACATTATTTTTAAAGCCTCACCATAATGTTTGTCCCTTTGCACCCAAATTTTCAATTATGCACGTTGAGGAACTCCATTCGGTCAAAACAATCCAAACACCACAACTGTGGCATGCCTCATTGTCATTACATGGTCTTGGCACATAAAACCCAGTTTTGGGGGTTTTTTGGGGCATCTTCATTATTTACATGTAGTAAAAGAGAAAAGAAATGTTCACTGCCTCATAAGTCATTGACTAATTGTTTGTAGCAGGACAGTGCAAAAAAGCACAAAAGACTGTAGTCGAGAAAGAGACACAAAGTAGCACTGAAAGCATTTCTTCATCATTGCTCTTGTTCTTTATTGTGCTGTACTGCAACGAATATTTACGAAGTGGCTCAGTTTACCACGCCAAGCTTTCATTATTTTTTCTCTTATTCTTCTAGGTACCACGTACTTAAGTGACTGTCCAGCTGAAAAGTACATCCCTATTTTCCTTGTGATGGGTGGAGTGTTTGGGGTGCTGAAAACACTACTTGACGTCTGTGGCAAGTGTCGACGTCCTGACAGTAGTGGGGAAGCTGGCCGCAACGTGGCGGAAGAGCAGCGCGCTGAAGAGCGCACTTGGAGCACGCTCGTCAATTGTTTTCTTTTTGCCTGGTATGTTGCTGGTAAGTTTTTGCAGCACAGCACGATTTGCTGCTTAGTATTATTTGTCGTAATCTCTTTTGTGTTATCTGTGCTTGATTTACTTCTTGTCAAATCGCTACTCTTGTGCTAATGGAAGAGAGATTTGTGTGGTGGATGCGCCTGAGCTCTTCTATCAGAGCAGCTGTGAAAGCTTTTCGTTGCACCGGGCAGTGTGAGCAGAAATGAACTGGCACGTGCTAGCTTGTCTTTTTCTTCATCTTCTCTTTCACTCCCACAACACGTGTGCTGATTTGTCTAGCGATTGAATGCAACAACTATGATGGGCGAGTATGTAAATTACGGGACTAAAAGTCAAGTAACATCCAGTCACGTTACTGACTCTGACTCCTGTGGTAATGGCCTTTAAGCTACATGTGGAATTGTACACATAGCCTAGTGCCTCTTTCGCTGTGGCAGTTAGTTGGTGGATTTTTTATTCGTGAGTTTCTTCCACTGCAGCTGGAACCTGCTCAAAGCGTAGTTGAGGTATGGCAATGGGTCACAATAATGTTGCAAAAGGAAGTGCACTGTACTGGCCACTCAGTTCCTTAGCGTGTGGCAACCCACAAAAATAGCTAGGAGCCACGATAACGTCTTGAAAATTGAGCTCATTTACCATTCTTTCTATCATGAATTGTTGCAGCCACATTGCTTCGTCATTGTTAATGCCAGCAACGGCCACTTGCTACGACAGGAGTATGAAGTCGATTGAATCACTGGAATAAAATCCCTACATACTGTGGCCCACAATATGTACTTGCTGCTCAGCAAGGGCATGCTGCCGATCACACGTTGTTGCTGCGAGTGTTGCCTTGTTAGTCTGCATTTCACATTAGAAAAGCTTCTAGAGTATGTGATTAACATGGGTGAGAATCTTTGCAATTATGGGCAAGCCATGTTCACCATTTCTTAAAAGGACACTAACGTGAAACTATAAAATAGCGTAGACTGATAAATTATACTCTGCACGCTTTAGTGTAGCTAATTTTGCCCCCATGAAATAATAGATGAGAACAATCAATGTCAGAAGTCTAACTTTTAAATTTCCCTCCAAAATCCCCAGTGGTGAGGTTACGAATTTCAAAGTACTTTTTCGTACTTGAGACGCATTGGCTTTACGAAATTTCCTGAATTTCAGTGTGTAATGTCTCTGGCTTCTTCAGAAAACATTGTATTGAATTTTTACTGATTAAGAACTACATAGGCCCTGCTTCCTCAAAAGACTGTGCACTTAATTTCTAAATTAGGAACTACGTAGATGCCGTCAGAATCTGACCATCATGGCAACTGGTGCAGAAACATGAAGGTAACATCACCACCCTAACTTTCCTTTTGAGTTTTTTCTCGCTTACCTGTAGTCTTCTCGCAGCAGGCGTGGTGTTTCTAGTGTTGTGAAAAATTAATTTACTAACGGGAGAAAGATTGTTTTTGCTCTTTGATGTCCCTTCAACTGAATTACCGTTCGTGCGTGCTTCCAGGCTGCGTGTGGGTGTACCGTGCCTACCCTCCAGACTACACGAACATCGAAAGCCCCGCATATTGTGACAGGACTTTGTACCTCTTTGCGTTCGGCCTCGTCACGGCGGGGCTGCTCTCGCTTGGATTGGTGGCGGCCTGCCTCTGCTGCCTAACACTCTTCTCGTTGCTCTCGAGCAAGGATTGATAGCGGCAGAGCCCACCCACCGATACCGGCCTGAAAAGCCCGCAGTCACGGAAGGCATGGGGACCGCTCTCAAGCTCAAGACATCCGTGCCCAGCTGCTCCTTTCGAAGCGAGTGCGTAATGAAAGGCGTTGTGACCCGGTGATACTGGATTTCCAGCCGTGCAACAGCTACGCGAGGCTTCTCGAGAGTTCTGCTTTTACGTGCAGTGAATGGTGGTCCAGGCAGTCGCGCAATTGCTCCATTTATTTCTGTGAATTTCTTGCTAATATGAATGTTTGACTGGTGAAGGACACCAGTTGAAGAGCCTTTCCTACCAGAACATGGGCACTGGGGTCGCATTCCATGGTGATATTTTTTTTTTTTTGTTTAGTACCACTTTTGGGTGCCGTAATTGTGTTCTTAACAAGATGTGCTTGCAGGTACACTGCATTTGACTACTTTCAGTGGTTTATTTATTTTGAATAGGCAAGAAAAGGTACCACACATATAGACTGCACGCATGTGTCAGTCTGGACTGAAGTTATCACTTACACACGCATGAGATCCATGTGCGTATTAATACCCTTACATAGAAGGTTAAACAACCACTGCAGCCGAAGATGGTGTTACCTCAGATGATTCGATGATATTTATTCTTTGAGTCACAGAGAAATGAGTTGAAAGAACTTAGTTGTCTAGGTTTTACATCCTAAAACCATGATATAACTGTCAGAGACGCCACGGTGGTAGGCTCCATAAGTATCAACCACCTGGGGAATTTAACATGCGCCTACATATAAAGAAATGAGCCCTGTAGGATTTTCCTTTTATTGAAATATAGCTGCCACATTGAACATTCAATTCCACGATTACCAGGTCAGCAGCCAGGCACTATGACCACTAGACTGCTGTAGCAGGTGTGTTTAAATAGCTTGTACTATATACTAGTCTTCATGTACTTGCAATGTTGTCACCAGATGCCCCCAACAAATTGTCTGTACTCCAAAGGAATCAATGGAATGTCTCATTTGATTCCCTTAACTCCATTACTGCGTATGAACAGCAGGTTAAAAACTTGCAAGTAGTGCACAAACGGTGTATGTAAGTGGAATAGTAGAGGTCCCACAACCTTTTAAGCTGCAAGAAACACCTGTAGCCCCTCCAGACATAGTTGGCCAGCTGACTTCCTAGTTTACAACTGCGGCTCCCTTGTTTGCCAAGGTGGTGTAGCAGTTACGATGCTCAGCTGCTGACCCAAAAAATTGCGGGTCTGATTCCATGCTGTGGCGATCAAATTTTGGTTTAGGCAATATGCTAGAGGCCCGTATACTGTGCGGTGTTGGTGCACAATTAAAGAACACCTGCATGGCTGAACTTTCCGAAGCCCACCACTGCGGTGCCTTTCACAATCGTACCATGTTTTGGGATGTAAAACCCGAGATATTATTGCAGCAGCTCCCTTAGAAAGCCTGCGCGAGCTGAAAGGCCATGCCTCTCGTGCCAAAGCATTGTTTAAGGGGCACGAACACATTCGCAGCTGTCTTTTGGGTATTGCATAACCTGTACACGAGATTGTCCTTTCTTCAATACAGACTGCTGAGCTCCGCAGTTATTTGTGGAAAGCAGCCTATATATTTTGCCCTCTCTTGGATACTATGACTAAATGCTCAGAGACATTAAAATTCTGGTTTATGTCTACAGAATAAAAGCTGAATTTATCGAGCTTGAAATAATGTCTGGGCAGCACAACGTGCTGCCCAGACCAATGAATGGATAAAGCATGTGTTGTACTCCCTAATGGACTGCTTATTGAAGCAGAAACATTATGTATAATAGTTGTAATCAGTGTGGCAAAAAAAAAGAAATAGTGCACACTATACAGAGAAAGGCTGACTACAAAGAAAGTGAGAACAGAGCATGTTTGAGAATATAAATGTAGACCCAAATCAAAAATGACATTGTGAACCCGAATTGATGTAGCCATCTTTCAATAATTTTGTCAAATTTTGCATGCACAACCATAAACAGTGCGCGAAATTTTTGCAAAGAAACTTAGTTCCATTTTCTCAACTAGGCCTAAAATTAATGGCGTATTTGGTTGGCTGTACTGGTCCCCTGGCTCGATGTCGCCAGATGCCAAGGCAGCTCGCAATTGGAGCACGAGAGGCAGCGTACCGAATACGTTGGCAATATCAGAGCAGCGCGGAAAGATGTCGGGTATACATTCCTGTGCCGCATCGAAAAATAGCACTGATCAGTTCAGTGGACATCTCTGAAATAGCTGGACGCAGCGACAGACTTTCGAGCTCTGCACATAAATATGGTGATCGTCATCATCCGAGCTACTATATTCAAAACAAATCGCGTGTCGGTCTGCGAGCTGCAGTAATGGCAGCATAGACGTTTGCTCCGCCATTGCTAGCCGCCGCTTCTTTCATAACATGGTGTATTTATGGCTTCGTAGGTGTGAACTCGCACACACATGCTGAGAAATGCCACTAACAATGCACGTGCATGAATCATTATGCACCCGGCGATGTCCCTTTCCGAAATGCACGCTCGCACTGTTGGCTTTGTTCACCTGGTTCGCCTGCCGGCAGCCACGTGGTTTGCCGGCTTGTGTCATGTGATTCGTTCTTCTGGTCAGGTCACGCCACGCTCTCGCTTCGAAGTCAGAGCAGTTGGGAGCACTCTGAGTCAGAGGCTGACGCTCTGAAAGAACCAACCGAAGGTGGTCCGAGCGCTCGAGTTCTACCCATCGAATGGTCAGTCACTTTGCAGAGCACTTCAGAGCACTCGTAAATGTCCAACCGAATACGCCGTAAGTGTTCACTTTATGGTTGCCCATCGAAGATTTTTGGGCATAAATATGTATCCTGGTTAATCTATAACCATATTTTTTTCTGAGGTTGTTATTCACTTATCTAGCAGAGCAATTTTGGGAAGGCACTTTCCAACATCGATTGTTCAGAGTAGTAAACTGCACTGTCTGTCACTCGACTTTGTCTTTGTTCTTGTGCTTCCAGTTATAGTTTAAAAAGCTGACGTACAAATTTGCAAGTATAGCATCCAAACTTGGTACTAAACAAAATTTACAGCATGCCACCACTACCCGAAATGTGATCAAAAACGAACCTGGCTGTCGCGTCAGTGTCACCTACTATAGAACAGAATGTTGAGGGAGGGTCTTTTGACGGAATTGTGACATGCTGTTTATGCTGTAAGAACTGGCCTGTAATTCTTTTCTGTGCATTTGTCACCAAAGGGTGAAGTCGACCTCTATTAATAGAATTTAGGACATGCTGAATTGGTTTGTGTGGCACAAAGATTAGTTTAAAGAATACTAATCTTGCATAAAATCTAACATCCAGTATCTTTACTTAAATTTTCTTGTTGTTTCCTTTGTGAACATTTGTAAAATTAAATAGGTGCATCATATCAGTAGCCTTGCTGAAAAGCCTAGCACACATTTCGTTTGTGCATCAAAAAAAAAATTGTTAAAAGCAAAATACTGCTTGCATACCTTGATTATGAATGGAAGTTGTCGACTTCATGTCTTTGCTATCGCTTACTCCTCGTTTTCCCGCCTGTGTTGTGGTATTGTAAAAAATCTATGCTCAGCAAGTAGCATGTCTTTTCGTCAGCGTTCACGAACATTTTTTGTGCCAACATTGCTTGGAACTTCCCACAGTTTAATGAGTGGTGGCTCTGCTGGCAGGGTTGCCAGATTTGGCTACTTTGCACTATTTTGGCTACTTTTTTAGTCCAGTAGTGGCAGAAAAGAATTCCTCAGTTGCTTGGCTACTCTCTCTTTAGCCTAGATTTTAGCAAAATTGCGAGTATGCTGTGATGCTGCAGCTGCTGGCTTTTGAAAATTTCTGTACCAAACAAGGCGGCCAAGGTGCTTTTCCAGAACAGAAAATTGAATTTGACACTTTTCACACAAGACAAAGTAACTTTGGGTATGTCCTTGGATTCGTGACAAAAACTCGGACGAAACTGTTACATGCAGCCTCATTTTGTAGACCACCTACATTGCTGGACACGACTTAAGAATGTAATTGCACCTGAGCAGGACAGTCGAAAGGACTCTGCGTCCCGGGCACCACGCAATCATTGATATTAAGAATGGACATCCGACAAACTGCTTGTATCATTGCTTATTATTATGTAAAGACGGCGACTCGAGAATAAAGTATAGTGGCTCCACTTCGTCATTGCATAAAAAAATATTGTGAAAATTACTACAGTTTATGCTGCAAACCCTGCAACTGAGATTTTAAGCGAGCACATCTATGCCTTACTTACTTTCATTGCCACGTCATGGCTGTTACTTCTAGTCCTTTTGAAAACAGTCCTGCGCTTTTGTCTGTTCTTTTAGTCGTCACGCAAAATGCATTGAGTTGTTTTTGCAACAGCATACGAAACTGTGTATTCCTCCACTAGATGGTAACTAACATAAGCAGTTTGTGCTTGAATTTTAGGGATTTTGATTGTGAAAGATTTAAGCTGCATTTACATTTTAGCCTAAAGGCTCCTGCATTTAGTCACTTGAAAATTCGCAGTTTTTTTCCCTTTTGCATAGCTATCCTTGACTACTTTAGCAGCCTTTGACAAAAGATGGCTTCTTTTCTGGCTAGCTTTTCTAAATTTTTTACAATTTTTTGTCTTTTCGACCTGGCAACCCTGTCTCTTGGACTGTATACATAGTAACTGTTCTACACATGTATGAAACCACTGTGCCTGAAACATTTTTTTTTTCACCTGCTGGCACTCGTGAATTTTTGTGTACTTCATACAGAATCGGTGCATTTCCCCTGACGAGCAGAACTTGTAAATTAGCTTCCACTTATCCACCCCATGGCAACTTAATTTGATGCTTAACGTATGAAATGATTTACAATTTCATGTATTTTTCTAGAAAAAATGTACAAGAATATTCTGGGATCTTATGCTCAACTTGACAGCTCAAGTTTGAACAAGGTTTGAAAAGCAATTACACGATGTTTTCAGTGAAATCCATGTCAATGTCCTAGGCGTCGCATGACACAATCCCCCCCCCCTTTTTTTTTTGTATATAAATTGCGAGAAATTTAACCCTACTCTTAAGGGTGCACAGTAAAAATTTGGAAAAAAAATTCAATTCTTTGCCATTTCGGAAGGTTGACTTTTTGTGCATATTTTCCACATTTGTGATTTTCTTAAACAGTATTTTTTGTGCGTGAACAGCAGTTTTTTTTAAAGCAAGTAGTGAGTGGACACGCATACTGTGGATAGCCTCTCAGATGCGCTCCGTGCTCATTGTCCATTAAAAAAAAATACTTTATGTACAAAAGCCAAAACACCTGTCTAAATTCAGCTGTGTATTTGAGATTATCAGGTAACTTCTAAGTCAGTCCGAAAGTCCGAAAATTGTCTGCACTTTTGCACTCGCACTTGGCCTTCGGAGTGCATTGGTTCGAACCTTTTCAGGTTCTAGCTTTGTTACAGCATCTGTTTGTCGTGCTTGTCGATAAGTTGAGACACTGAGTGTAAGGAAGGTCTTCAGCAAGTGTAAATTTCTCGGGAACCAATAGAGTTTTTTAGTAAATTCGAATTGATGCGGGTGACGTACAGAGGCACTGAACGCTGAACCAGCAAGCTCTATGTTAGTGAACTTCTCAGCATTTTTGGCTTCCTTCAATGCAAATCGAAAGCAAGGTGCAACTGGGTACACCCTAAAAGACATGAGTATTATTTGTGATGCGATTAGACTGAGTAGCACGTGCAAACTGCTTGGTGCAAGTGTTGAGGTAATGGGAATTGTGTAGCAAAATCTTTGCCTGTTTGTTTAGGTGCAGAGGCTTAAGGTTTGCAATATTCTACATTCTTTCATTTATTGATGGCAATATTGCGTGAGCCTGAATTATGAAATAGTCACGATTGAAACCTGGCCAAACTACAGTCAATTTGCTGGAAAACATTCACCACAGTCGACAATACATTGCGGATAGAGCTTCATGACAGCTCACAAAAGAAGCACGGCAAGCGATACGAGAGGCTCCAAAGTGAAAAGCTGACTTTTGCAACGATTACCAAGCTTGTAGCTACTAAATAACATTGTTGAACGGTGTTTGCAACAAAGTATGTTCACTTTTCTGCTGTTTTCCAAGTTTAAACTGGATTATCCCAAAACCAATTTTTTATTACTTAGGTACCATTATTTTCTATGTATTCAAAGATAACCAGTGGATTATTTTTTCCTGTATTCTGCATAAATGCACAGAACATCTAAATCAGAATTGAAATTATGCACTTCACAGGTGGATCACAAGAAAAATTGAATAAATTGAAGCCAAGTGTAATGTCTCAAAAGGTGTTCTGCTAAAAGATGGACATGAATATTGTATTTACATGCTGAACACCGCCATGCCCTCAGCATAGCATTCACTAGTTTCAGTTTTTTTTTTTTTCTGATTTAGAGGCACAGAAGAACTTGTGTGAGCACAATTTGTGAATGCGACAAATGACTAACTTACCCTGGGTTGTTGTGCTCATTCAGAAAATGGTGTTTCTGTTTACATAAGCTCTTCGATTTGCCTCTGTAGCCTTGCAACTGATGATTACTGTTTTGGCTGCTGCTGGAGTTTGCTACCAAAGCTGTCGCTCGAAAGTGTTCTAAAATTGCAAATGAACTACTAGTAGACATTTCCACTGTGCCAGTACTGACATTCAGCCTGTTTTAGTATACAATATGTACGCTATTGTATTATATACTCGCGTTGAAGTTAGCTTGCCGGCTACGTATTCTAAGGTGAACAACCCAGAGAAAACTGTACGCATGAATTTCATTAATTTTGTATGAAAGCGGGTGTCCTATGCTGGCATCTATGTACATTATTCAGTGCGAGAAAAATGGAAAGGTTTCAAAGGGGTGGCATTTATGTGACCTTCTGTATGAACCACTGGGTGAACTGTTGTGCCTATCTCTGGCCTTTTTGAATCTGCAAGCTAGGTTTCGGACATGTCTTGCGTGCAGCATTTCCCTCGGGGAATGTTGCGGACCGATAGCCTAAGGGTGATGAAAGACATTAAAATTTGGACAGTGCGGCTTATTGTCAGCCATGTTTGAAAGTATGACAGCAGGCCTGAACTCGTCATAGTGATAAGCGATGGAGGAGACAAACGCAGGAGGCTTGCGTGAGCAGCTGCCATAATGCTATCACATAAATGTGCTGTGCACTAAAGACGTTGTATGATGCGTTCTGAGCAGTGGTCAGTGACTGTGTAAGAATGCACTGGCATGTGCCTCTGAAATGAGAACTTGTATCTTTGCACCAAAGACTGCTCACCATGTCTAATCTACCTTGCACTTGCTTCATATCTGTACCCCTTCTGAAAGAATTTTTTTGTATTTGGGTTGTGGTTAAAGGGACACTAAAGGACAAAACTATTTTTCACGCATTAGTGAAGTACAATTTTCCTGAAAACACCATTCTTACTGTGACACGGCACTTGACAAGCGAGAAAACGCGTGAAAAGAAAATGCTGGTGGAGACACCACCTTGCGAGACCTGCACCAAATGCCGTGTCGTAGAAGGTTTTGACAGCGTCTGCTGGGTCTTATGTAGTTTCCAATCAATAAGAGTAAAGTACATTGTCATCTGTGGGTGCCATAGACCTAACATACGTAGTTTAAGAAAATTTAATCAAGCCAATGTCGCAAAAATGCAAGAAATACATTTTGAAACTTGTTATGTCATGCGTGGAAATTTCCTGACAAAGGTCTAAAATGAAATTTCAATCTTTAATTTCTCTGCTAATTACAAACTCAAGACATTGAAACTCATGGTGCTAGAGTTCTCAAAGCGCAGTTTACCAATCTAAGCCAAGTCACTGTTGCTCTTTAGTGTCACTTTAATACCCATGTCTTCAGGTGAAGGGATGAACCGAACAATTGAAAATTTTGTTGTGTGTGCTACTGCTGCTGTGTGCTCCGGCACAACAACAAAGGAACTGTGGAGACAGAACAATTTTCAAAATGGGAAGTTGGGACAGTTTCTCCTTTAATTTCTTCTTGAAACTACACCTACCTGCACTATGCGTTGTGTTCCCCCTGAACATGCAGATCTTCATTGTGCATGTTTGTGCTGCATGATGACAGTTTGGTTGTTTCACATAAACTGCTGAAGCATCCACTCGCACTGCTGATACAATAGAAGTAATTACCAATAACCTAAACTTTGAAGTCTTTCTTTCAGGAAATCTGTTTTCTACAAATGTTTTAAAGCATACGTTCATCACATAGCAGTCTTCTTTTTCCCCCGTTTAGTATGCTGATGTCTGCTTTTTGCAGTAATTAATGCTGTGGTAAAAAGAAAGCCAACATGTGCTGTGAACTACTAAAGCGACGTTCATATGATTGAATAGTTGGTTTGTTTTCTGCATGTCTTTGGAAGTGTACTCTGAAACAATCACAGTGACAATTCCTTTAGAAGAAAAGTTACAGTTCATGAGAGAGAAGGCGGTAATTGACACACACAGAGTCGCTAGTTAGGGGAGCTCATTGTTTGTGTGCTGAACAACTGAAGTTCTTGTTGCTCACATCTTTGTACTAATAATTTTCGATTGGCAGAGATCCAATGTGTATACAAACAAAGCAGCAGAACCACAATGTGAAAACCCTACGCAAGACAGATTGGTGTTGCCCTAAAGAGTTCATGAAGAAATGCTTTAGTTGCACCTAATTCTGATACGCCTAGATATGATTCCCATACTATTACCAATTCCACATGCTTCTTCGCACCTGCAAATGGGAAGCTGAGGTCACTGAAAGAAAAAAAAAAATGTCCCATTGCTAACATTGTGGAATTGAATTGGCATGGTGTTGCATATCTAATCAGCTTGCCTGATGTTATGTATCACTTCAGTCATATTATTACTGAGCATTTTTGTCCTTATGTTTTCTTCACAGTGCTGTATGTCTCAAAGGCCATGCAGTGAGAACTTGGGGATCTATGCTATGTCAGTTGTAGTATTTTGTTTCTGATGGACATTAACATGGGACATATCAGGGGCATTTCCTGTGCCTTGTGATATTTTGTTGTGTTTAATTATCTAAGTCAAACTGCTTGAAAGGAATTATGCTTGTGGCTATCCTGGAACACCCATCAAAAGACAAAGTATTGTGAAGATTTATTTAATGTGTAACACTATGTTATCGCGTCATTCTATGCATTGCCATAATTTCGGTCGCCGGGCTGGTTTCACAGCAACGGCCAGCAATTCTCGCATGCTGTAAAAATAAACGTATGTACCAACGCTACGTGTACGTTCTCTTTTTCTATTTTTCCGATCTCGGCGGTCCATGAAACGGCCGACTCGTGGCAGCACGGTCGTTTTCGGTTGCGTGGAAGGCGCCGGCGATGCGTTGTATCTAACGTGTCGGCTCGGTCGTCAAAATTTACGAAAAAGTCTCGGAGGCACCTCCGGTCGGCCCGTTCCGTCAAGTCACGGCGTATCGTTTTAAATTGCCGTCCTCTCAAATATGTCTAAGGTCTCTCTGAAAAGCAGGCTAGACGGCAATAGCCTCGACTTGAGCCTGAACGAGCTTGCCGAACCACCGGTGAAAGATCTCGTAAGTCTTTAACCTTACTCGGAGATCTTGAAAATTTTCAATCGCAGAGAAGACATCTCCGCTTGCATCTGCGCTGTTTAGTGTAACTGATCGTCTGTCTGTTTTGTGTTAACCGCAAAGCGCTCGCTCTACCGTCCGAGTACCGTGTCGATTTAAGTTATAATCGTATTGTTTTCATCCTCAGGCGGAACTACCGAAAGCCGTGAAGCTTGACTTGTCGTGCAACAAGATCGCCGTGCTTCCCGTAAGAAGGAATTTACTTACTAACGTTACCCTTGCCGGCAGATGACACGGTTCAATGACATTTGCCCCCCCCCCCCCCCCACCTCCCGGCGAGCTACGTTAGAGTGCGTAGCTTTTAGCGCGCCGTTCACTTGTTTCTTCTTTTAACGCAGGATGCGTTCTGCGGTTTGACACATCTGAAGGAACTGGACCTGAGCAAAAACCAGCTGCGAGAACTGCCGACCAACTTCGGCCGCCTCAGCGCCCTGCAGAAGCTGGACCTTTACGGCAACAACTTGACCACGCTGCCGCTTAGCATGTGCCGCATGAAGGCTCTGCGCTGGCTCGACTTGAAGGGAAACCCGCTCGAACCTCGCCTCAAGGCGGTCGCCGGAGACTGTCTCGACGAAAAGCAGTGCCAGCAGTGCGCCAAAAAGGTAAAACCACTGCCATCGATTGCGCGGCGCACATGGCATTGCACCGCCACGCCCACATTGTTTTGATGCGTCACGCCCACCTGGTGTTCGCACATGGCCGCCGCATCATCGCCTTTAGTGCGCGCACATGTGCACCAGTGTTGCCAACACATGTAAAAGTTGCCCCTAACGACTTTGTTATTACGCTTAATTCTACACCATGCCGAAAACCCGCCGCGGTGGTCTAGTGGCTAAGGCATTCGGCTGCTGCACCCACAGGTCGCAGGATCAAATCCCGGCTGCGGCGGCTGTATTGTCGATGAAGGCGAAAGTGCTGTAGGCTCGTGTGCTCAAATTTGGGCGCACGTTGAAGAGCCCCAGGTGGTCGGAATTTCCTGAGCTCTCCACTACGGCACCTTTCATGATCATATGGTGGTTTCGGGATGTTAAACCTCACATATCTCTCTACAGTATTCCGAAAAACACCGCAGCATAACAGTAATAAGGTAGATATCTCGCTGTATGACATGCACACATGTAGTGGTGCTGAGGTCAGAAGTGACATTGAACATCGGCCTAAACATTAGATCCAAAAAAAGAGATAACGAATTGGGAAAGACAGCAGATGTGAATAAAAAGTGTTTCATTATATTGGAATAGCTTCAATTGACTCACAGATAAGAAAACAAACTCTGAGACAAATGAGCCAAGTATACAAGTAATACTAGTGACAAATAGTATTGAACAAAACATTTGAGAAGCAGGAAAGATGTGTTGGGTTGGCACACTGGAAAGAGAACCGGCTCCGAGTGGCTACCCAAAAGGGTAAAAAACAAAATAAGCAAAGATATATTTTAGGACAAATCAAGGGGAACCTCTTCGCTGTCTGCAGCGAGGTCAGGGTTTCCTTACACAAAGCGAGGTTCAGTATAAGTAGCAAGTGCACATGTGTGGGGAAATTAAGGAAATGGTGGAGCATGCATTAATTAAACTGTGGACATATTCACCGGGGTGCATGTTTGCATTCATTGCATTCACCGAAGATGAAAGCCAATTCTGGCTTTTTTTTTTACCGTGCCAGGGTAATGCAGAAGTAATGGCAGAGACTAAAAGACTCTGTCCTATACTTGTTACATGTTAATTACAGCAGCTCCAATTTTCTTCAAGGAAAGATTCATTGTTGGGATCTATTTAGGAATGTCAGCCGCAGAGAACGCATGCATGTCAGTGATCTACATTTTTTGCTGATCACTGATAAGTGAAAAGGGGAAATTACCCTACATTTGATTAGAAAATTGCATTATCAACCTACTACCGTATGCTACCCGAAAATACCCTACGATTAGGGCAGTTACCCTATGTTTGGCAACCATGATGTACATCATAAATATACAAGGTGGTCGAACTCATGTTTTAAATAAATTTAATCTTCGTAGTTCATCGACACCATTGTTAAGCATTATATGACAGACATGATTGATTGATTTGTGGGGTTTAACGTCCCAAAACCATCATATGATTATGAGAGATGCCGTAGTGGCGGGCTCCGGAAATTTTGACCACCTGGGGTTCTTTTTAGTGCATCCAAATCTGAGTACACGGGCCTACAACATTTCCGCCTTCATCGGAAATACAGCCGCCACAGCCGGGATTTGATCCCGCGACCTGCGGGTCAGCAGCCAAGTACCTTAGCCACTAGACCACCGTGGCGGGGCTATATGACAGACATGTTTCTTGTGAAAAGGAAATGTGGGTATATTAGTTGGGGGATATCAGTTAGGTGTCTTGCGTAAATGACCTTAAATGATGTACACTAGAGCCGTCCACATAAGCTTTTTAGCCAGTGTAGCAAAGCATAAAACTGTAGGTCTGATTCCTGGAAGTGGCAACTGCATGGCAGTGGTGGTGGATTCCTAAAATGCTTGAGTGCTAATGTAAGTGCACATCATAGAGAAAAGACAATCTAGGAAACTTGAAGTTGGACTTAGAGATAAGTCCCATTAAACCACAATTCCAAGTCACTGATGTTCTTTTCGTCTTCAAGGTTGTGGAGTACCTCCAGGCACAGGAATCTGAGTTGGAGCGGGAGAAACAAAAGAGGCTCAGGGCACAACGAGGTAAGCCAGAAGCGAATCTTTCATTTTCTATAAAATGAAGAATCCTTGTAGCTTATCTATGTCCTTTCTGTGCCCCTAACTGCTAATTAAGGTTCAGGGGAAGCTGGAAGCTTAACAAAGAGATGAAGAACTTGTGAGTGTTGCAGCCTTGAAGAAGACTCGACCGCTTGTCAAAACATTACCTCGAGTGACACCCTGTGTTCACAAATTTTTCATCTCTAGCAGCTAGTTAGTTAGATACATCATCATAGCGAGAGTAGTTGCTCTATTGTTGTAGAGCTCAGTGGCTGATCCAAAAGACATGGGGTTTGATTCTCGCCTATCTGGTTGCGTTTCGACGGAGGTGCAACGCTAGAAGCCTTTGTGTACTATGCAAAAGTGCATATTGCGAAATCCCAGGCTTGTCAAAAATCACCTGAAGCCCTTCGCTACGACAGAGACGTTTTGTAATGTTAGGCCCGATAAACAAAGCAATCGAACTATCACACACAACTGCGTCCTGAGAATTGTAAATTTATTGAAATTTCTGTATTATCAATGCTTCCGCAGTAGCCTTATGAATGTTCTCTATATTGAATAATGAGGGCATATGCGTCTGAATTGACGATGTTTTTGAAGCTTTCTTTGTTTCTCACTAATTTCCTTGTGTGACTTTCCGGCATGGCAAAGTGGTCCAAAAGCAGTGTAACCAAAGTCGAGCCGAACATAAATATGGTGTGGTGAAAGGTTGTGACATGATAGATCAACCTCAACATGATGTGAATCCTGGAATGTGGCTTGTAATAAGGGCCGATATTTTAGGCAGTGCAGTATCAGAGTAGTTATACGCATAATTACTTCGCCATGTAAAGTAGGTGTATGCAAGTATTCGATAATTTCAAATGAGCGAAAATTTCATCACGCCGCCATCATTATCATCAATGTGACAATTATCTTCATTCTCGTAACATCGTTTAACTTTCAGTCTTATGTAAAAGCTGGTGACAACGTATCACTTTTAATGCTGAAGTAACTGGTGTATTTCAGCCTGCAGTTACAAATTATCTTGAAGGCTCCAGCCACTGCCGTATATTATACCTCATTCTGCATAATTGTGCTACTGTTCATTGTCACTTGAAAGTAATCTTAATGTTTCTTCAGTTTTGAAGTTAGTGAATATTTGTTTAAAACAAACTGTTATGAAACTCTAGGGGTGTGCTGAAAATAGCTGCTTTACTATTTAACTGTATTCGACTCATATATGTGTTCAATTCAGTTAAAAGTTCACTATTTTATTTATTTATTGATTTGCAATACTGCCAGTCTCTACTGAGACCATAGCAGGTGGGCACTCTGTACAGATGCTATGATTGCTCATCATAGTAAAAAACTGTAATGCAGAACATAAAAGCATCAACCTGGCACTTTGTATATTAGCAATATTTACACAACATAATAAACAAAATACAAGTGCATACAAAAATAGCAAGTTTAACAATAAGGCCTCTTACATGGCTGTTTACAGAACAGTACAAGTAGTACATACTGGTTTCATTACCATTGTCACTGGGTATTTAAAAAAGCAAAGAATTCTTTTTTCAATTTCTAATTCAAACTGAGACAATGACTCGGCCCATCTCGGCCAGTTGCCGGGTGCTCTATCCAACCTCAACGAGATCGCCCATGATGCAGCGCGCGCACTTACCGACCGCACTGCCACAGGGCAACCTCATCTTGCTGGGTTAGATACCAATCGGGATGCACGAATTACGTACAATGAAATTATAAAGCACTTTTACCTGGAACGCCGCATTTTTCCACCCCCGCATCCGAAACTTAACCGACCGCAGGCATTAAGCCTACGCCTATTACAGACACACACGTACCCAAACCTTGCCACGCTTCACGTTTATTATTCCGATGCATACCCCAGCGACACATGCCCATCATGTGGACACACAGCGACACTCGCACACATGCTCTGAGAGTGTAGAACAACTCCTCCCGACTCTCCCTCAAGCAAGTGAGAGAGGTCCCTCAGGAGCTCACTTCTCGCCGACCATCAATGGGCCGTCCAGCAGGCCTACGAAGCGGCCGCCAGGTACTCCCTGTCGGTCCCTACGTGGGAGACGCCCGCTATGCGCTAAGTGCGTCCTGCAGGACTGAAATAAAGTTTTTTCATTCCATTCCACAATGACTCAGTGTTGGTGATGTGAGAGGCCAACATGTTCCATTCGCGAATAGCAACCGGAAAAAAAGAATATTTAAACACATCAGTGTTTCACTTTACCTTACCTATAGGGGTCTTGACGGGTGGACAGAGATGTTATAACTTGACTTTGCAGAAGTGAATGAATGCATGACGGTAATGCTGGAGGATGTTAATATTTTCAGAGCAAGAGGCACTGCGAAAGGCAGAAGAAGAAAAGGAAGCGGAACGCCAGAGGCTAGAGAAAAAGGCTGAGCGTGAAAAGAAGAAAGCAGAGCAGCGGCAGAAGAAAGAACAACAGCTCAAGCAGAAACAGCAGCTGCTGAAGGAGATGGAAGTGACCCAGGAGAAACTCAAGCAGACCAAGAAAGGCAAGTGCTGCATTGAAGAGTGTGCTTTATGATGCTGCTCATGGATAACAGTGCTCTGAAACACTATGAGAAAAGACATTTGCTGTGAAAGCGTGAGGGAGTGACTGAACTTGTGGCACTGTAATACATCATTGTAGTGCCGATTGTCTCAATATGTTCGTCATACTCTTACTAAGTCGATAACTTTGTAGGAGACATTTTGATCTTTATCTGTCAACCTTGCCGAATTTCTGCCCTTAGTACCTTATGTAACAAGGTAGTTTAAAGCACCCATCTGCTCATTAAGCCATGATAGTCTGAATAAATTGAGTATGTACTAGAAGTCGGACCACATGGCCTCTAGATTCTGTCAGGAGTGTAGAAGCAATAGAGACTTGTCATCTATTCGCTGTCAAGGCATTTGCTGCCACTTGAGAGTTGGTACTGCTGTCAGTCACTTAAATCATTGATATAGGTTGATTGCAACTTGCAGTGGATGCACTCAAATGGAGATAACATCTAAAAATAATTGTACGCCTAGATTTTGGTGGAAACTAAATCAAGAACGCCCAATTTCGTCAAAATTAATCTGGAGTTCCCCACTGCAGAGTGCTTTCTAATTAGGTAATGATTTTAGCTCGTAGAATCTCAGGAGTCCATCACGTTTGGTATGTCTCCATTTATTTTGTTTATTCATTGAAAAAAAGTCCTTACAGGCCTCATTAAAGGCAATGGGTAAGGAGGGCATCGCAAGAAAAAAAATTATCACACTTAGTGAATACTTACTATTGTACAGGATGAAACGAATAAAAGCACCCACATATATTTCTGTGTGAAGGCTATCTTGTTTGGACAACCAGCACCTTAGTGATTCTCAGTATTGTTTATTGCTGAACTTGTGTTGTGTACTCTCACGTTTCTTTCTCTTTCATTTTGGGCTGAGACCATCAACAACCTTTGCGACAAATTTGTTCCAAGCCCTTGCCAAAGGCAAGCACTTGGGGTGCCCCCAAACAGGGTGCCTAGTCAGGCCCTAGAATTTTTCTCAGTCTTACTTGTACTGTCATTGTCCAGGGTTATAATGCAAGTTTTTGGCAATACTGCGACCAAGGGCTCTTATTGTCACATTCTAAGAGCTGTTTACTTCCTACCTTTGCCCCCAGAGAGTGTACTACTAAATAAAAGTGCAGGTTTTGCTGAGAAGCAGACCATTGCTTTTCTCATTTTTCGCATCTATAGCAAAGCCTGTTTTATATTTTTACTCTACCAATATTGGGAAGCGGCACTTGGGACCTCGATAAAAAAATTCAGTGCATGCCTGTGGCCCTTGTTATAATACACATTTTCTTCAAACCACATGTGTGAGATTTAACATGCAAGCCAGAGAAATTCTGACTTCTTCATTTATCGTAGCAAAATAGCCATTTGGGCTAGTTGTGTCCTTCTCTTCTCCAGTCCCTGTTATGTACTCCACCCCACTTCTTGTGTGCGCATTGACTTTTTCAACTCTGTTGCAGATGGAAAACAGAGTACAAAATTGGCACCTGGCCATAGCAAGCGTGGAGGTAAGCGTGTATCGATTTCTTTCAGGCTATTCTTTCAGCTTAACTTGATTCAACTTAGTTAGTGCGACAGAATGTCTGGCCAGGCGGTTTTTCACTTCTCGATGTGAACTAAGTAGGCTTCGGCTTGTAGCATCTGGCTGCAGTTAAAACTCATTTGGGCTTGTTCTCTTGCTCTGTTGTTTTCTCGTAATAATCTTGAGTATTGAAGAGGAAGCTTGCTGACAACTTGTTACTGTATCTTTGTAAGGCTTCCTGTTAAAGTAGCAACATGTGCACTTGATGAAAATGTGCAGTATGTGAAACAAGCTGACAGGAACGCCTTCCCTAAGTTATAATGACTGGGAACTTTGCTGTAATGTCGTGTGACACTGAGGTCTTGTTACAGTTTGGCACAGCGGTACACACTTTCATTCGCTTAAGCATCGCAAAGATTTTGACCGCCTACTAAATACATACCCTTTTTTTATCAGTCATGTTCCCATCGTCATCGAGGTCTCACATAGTATTGTCAGGTCTCGCCAAATCTTGCAAAGCCTCTTGACTTGCGAGAAACACAAGATTTTCACTGTAACAGATAGGTATCAGCAGATTCTTTGCTGGGACCGAACACCAAGATTACTGTACAGGGGAAAACGTATTAGTAAGGAAGGTATCAGCAGAGTTCCACTGTATCGATTGACAGCCTGTGTTAGTCTTGTGCCCACGTTCCTCAACGTTTAATCTCTGCAACCACAAATTGTACTAGTATGCGTACGTCCTTGACCCTTCGAGACTTTGTACATGGTGGTGTACACCACTTTTTTTACCTAGATGTGTCTACTAATGGCTAAACAAGAGCAAGATACCTCTAGAATTAATTAAACCCCCTCCCTAATAAACTTTTTCTGATTTAATTTCACTTTTGCAGTGCACTTTGCACATTATCACTTAGCTGAAGGCACTACTATGTTCAACAAGTAGTTTGGGGTGTCCGCTTCTTTCGGAGGCATATCAAAATATAATTTTTCTTTACTTCAGAACGGACATAACCGAAAATGAATTTGCACAGTTGTTTCTACCTTAAAACTTGGTTTTATTTATGTAAAAGAGAAATATGAAAAGTAACTTCAGTATGAATAAATATTAAGTACAATGGAACTGGGATCAATTATTAGAACACACTGACATCCACAAAGTTATGCCGTTATTTTATTGCAATGGAATGTCAAGTACTTTGAAATAATGTTGCTTAATGAAATTTGACGCATTTGCTGGCAGATTCTTGACAGGCCGGCATCTTGAAGAAAGAGTTAAACTGTACTGAGGCCTGTCGCCATACTTCTGTCCTTTCAGGATGCTTCTCTATGCTGATGACGTTGGTCCTTCGCCCTTCTCCTTGTGGCGGTGTCCCTGTTCAGTGCAGTTGTGGTGCATTCCTTTTACAAGCACAAGTATCCCGTCACGTGGCCTTACGTGCAAGAGGTTGTACAGCCAGCATTGGAAAACGGTGCAGATCTATTCAGTCCAAGGCTGGAACTTGGCCAGCGTTCAAGTACAGTCGTGGACCAAGGAGGTCGTCCGTGTGGTTCAGGTTGCAGTGAAGGCCAAAAAGTGACAATGTGGTTCTTTCCTTCTTCCCACTTTTGCGTTCCTTCAATACATCCACTCTTTATTTTTCCTTGTAAAAGAAAAAAAAAGCTGTCTGCTGTTGCAGCAGCCCAGTGCCTATGGCATTGCGCAGTTGTACTTGAGGTCACAGGTTGAATCCTGGCTGCAACGGTCGCAGTTTAATGAAAGCGAAGTGCAAAAACACTTGCATAATTAAAAGTACTTCTTGCGGGGCTAGTTGGTGGAATGTAGCTCAAAAGCAAGCACTATCATATTGTGTCCATCTCAATTAGCACCCTTTTATACTTGCATACTTAGATTTATTTACATGTATGTGAAAGAACTACATACAGATGGTGAAAATCAATCCAGTGTACCCTATAATGGTAGACCTCATTCGAATTGTGCTAATGGTACAAGACTCCCAAATTCAATTTTATAAAAACATGTTAATGATGCTGCTAAGTGTGCATGAATATTCCAAATTTCCAATGTGACTTCGATACAGTCACTTTAAGCCAGAGTTTTGAAGTTGAAAGCCAAACTTCTGTTTGTTCTTCTCACATTTCCTTATTTTTGTTTTTATGCAATCTCTAAATATACACAAATGAATTAAAATATTGAAATACTGTATATACCTGTGTAATAGCTGCCCTGTGCTTGGTTAACGAATCTCCGAAAGAGTATACTTAAAAATCACCGGTGTATAATCCGGACCCTTAATTTTCTTAAAAGGTTAGCAGTGTTATCAATTGTGTGGTTCAAGAATGCCAAACCCTTTTTTTCTCTTTTTTTATGGGAGCAAAGCAATGTAGCTGTTGAGTTTTCAGCGCCTCCAGGTATCAAAACATGGCCTCTGTGATTTAACAGTTGTGCCCGAGGTGCTTCAGTTCACCTAAGACCCCTGACTCTATGGCTGAAGAGAGCATCCCTCATGGATGTGTGCCACTGTATTTTCGAAAGTGTAGTGTTGGATTTGCTTCCAAGACTTTGGGGAATAGCTCCAAGTTCACGGGAATCTCAAACAAATTCGGTGGAATGGGGGATGGCCTTGTCTGGAGCAGAGGCGAGTGAATGTGACAAGTTCGGGGGAGGACAAGGAATTACATATTTAGCAACTGTGTAAAAGGGCTGAATTTCATTTTCGATTCTTGAAGGTACAACAAGTACTGCAGATAAATGAAGGGAAGTAGCACTGAAAACACGTACAAAAGAATAGTCTCTATCTTTGTGTAATGGTCGCACGTGCAATTTTCGCCCGAAATCTCAAAAAAAACCAGCAGCCATTATATGAGCTAGCATATATTGTATTTCCTATTTTTGTGGACACTGCTCAATTTTTCAAGTACCAAAGCTACACAAGACATTTGGCTTTTAGAGAGAGTTGCCTGGCATAGGAATACTTGAGGTGCAGTTCTTAATTAAGGATATATTCGCTGCACACCTTGGAGATTGCACACATACGTTACTGAGCATCGGTACAACTTATGCATTGGTGGTTACCTTGTGAATAGAAGTGAGGAAGCTGGCTGCTGGTGGTGGCAGGTCACAGTTTGTTTACTCTGTCACGTTAGTGCAAGAGAAAATAAAAACGTCTACAGGCGTGTGGAAATCGACAGTTATTCCAGCTAAGCTGATGCTTGGGTGGCAAAATAGGCGACTAATCTGATAGATTGCATAAGCATCACTGGAGCGCAGAAGTTTGGAGCATGGAAATAGCTAGGAAATTGAATTCAATTGCTGCAATGTGGTGGCAATGCAGGAGGGTACAGGCAGCAAATGTGGATTATGAATATGGACCAGTTTTTCCAATAGAATTGTATATTCTCATGAACCTCTTGCTTCAAAAGTTTTCTGGTCAGAGGTAGCTTTTGATACTGATATAAGGGAAAGTCAGTCACCAGCCGATATCAGAGTCTTCATCTGAAGTGTTTGCCTTCATATACATGTGCGAGGTCCTTCATAGAGGAACAGTGACGGGAAGGGAGGCATAGCCTGACAGCATCACTCTGCAAAATAAAGACTGCTGGAAGCTCTCTTTTACAAATTGTGCAATTGATTTCGAGCAAAACATGAATTACTGCAGTCAATGCTGTATGCACAAACTTCAGCCAAGTTCTTCTTAATTAAGCTGTTTTTAACCTAATGTAATCATACACATAGTCAATTTGTGATGATTTTTGTCGATCCTTGGCCCATGTTTTAGCCTAGCTGGTTGGGTGCCACATTGCTCAGCTTGAGAATGCGAGTTTGATTTCCGGCCGCACTAGCTGCATTTTGATGGAAGCACACATGTACTTTGAACCCCAGGTGGTGAAAATCATACCTCTGTGCTTTATGCCTTGGCGAGTAACACCCCAGAAATTAAAAACTGTGGTTTATTTGTCACCACTTCAACAGATATGTGTGAACTCTTTTGAGCTGCTTTCACCGATATTACAAGGTTGAAGTTGTGCACCCTACCCCCTCAATGCATCAGGTAAAGGCTGTGCCCCTCAGTTCCCAGTTTAACCGCGACTCTTGAAGCCTATTAAATTGTGAACGTGCACATTCAGATCCTAGAACTTTTTTCCATTCATGTATGGCATGCATATGATGCCTCGGTATGCTTGATGGCAGTGGCCATTAGATTAGCACATAAGCATGGATCAAGATGACAGCATGCCAGCCGCACACTGCAGTGGCTGAACCAATGGATCAGCCCTGCGAATGAACTGGGGCCTGGAAACTCCTTCGGGCCCCCTCACTGGCTGCCTTCATAATATTTAGCAAGATGCAAGTCCTCAACATCACAAGCTTCTTCTACCTTTAAATTTTCGCACTGCTCGAAAAGAGCATGGTAAAATAAAAAAAAAAGTACACAGCGTAAGCACTGGCTCACCGAAACATCCTATTGTAACGTTGTTGACAAATGATGTAAAACATTCTCGAGCCATTTTACTCTGGGAAAGTGGGTGACCAGTGAAGCAGTGCAGCACGTGCCACAGTATATTGTTCAGGGGTGCAGAAAGAAACAAGTTTCATGGAAGTTGTGAAAAGCCTCTCTTGAAGGAGCACAGGCATAATTCCAGCTTTAGGTTTGAGCAGCTAGATTCGTTTTTCCCAAACTTGTCTGAATTGCCAGATGCGCTTTGCATTTCGTGCACAATCTTGAGGAGCCATTTGAGCAGCATGCATATTTTTGATGCATTCTCAATTCACATTTAAGGTTCAAGACCTCGACATTGTTACACTCTACACTTCACAACATTAGAGTGGAAGCAGAGGTGTTTGTCCAATTTGTGTTACATCTACACTTCGGTGCTTCCTGCAGGTTCTTTCTTTCTTCATTTTTACTGAAACAGTGGTGAGTGTAGTGGAGTGTGCCCAATTTCTGTGGAAAGCACGTGAGCAAACAACTTTAATTTCTGAGAAGCTAGGCAGGGGAGCCTACTTGGACGGTTCCCAACTGTCGCCTAGTCCGTCACATTTCCCTGTGGAGGGCAGAAGGATTTGCGCGACTTTGTTTGGTGTGTACTTTTGTTCTCTGTTTGCAGAGCTACTGCACCAAGAGTTTGGGTAGCTTAGTCACATACGGCACCCATGTAAAGAAAAATGAACTGTCGGCTCTCCAGAAAGAATGTGTAGCAACTCCAATGTCTGGAGTGGCGTGTTAACACTTGTGTCATTGTAATCATTCACGGGTCGGGTGGCCATCTCAACTGACCATTGTCAACTCGTGGTGAAGTCCTTTCTTCCCTCTCTCATATGGACCTAAACGTCGCAACTTGGCAGTAGCGTTCTTCTTCCTTTTCATTGGTTTTGAGGTCCTGTATAATCGTTTAACACTGCGAACGAATGGTAAAAAAGTTTGTGCAAAGTAATTGCCTGCTTGCGTATAACAGCAGCGGCATTGCAGGATCAACCCCGGAACCGAAAGCAGCTGCAATAACTTTTTTTCAGTGTTTTGTAGCTTGCCCAAATGTCTGAACTTTTGCATGATGCAAAAAAAAAGGAGGTGGGGGGGGCTTGGAAGCATTAAATTCGTGTCACTTGTGCAGATTAACCGTTGCTTCTGAAGCGTGCAGTGCCCTCATAAGCAACGTCGATGGGCTTAATTTTCTGGTCACGTCAATTACAGCAGCGGTCATAGTTTTCTTCTTTCTCTGCGCTGTCAGTATGACGCATATGCTCACCGCGATGTTGCGAAAACGACCGCAATAGTCTCATTTTTAATCAAGCTGCAGTGATCTAAAAAAATGAAGCTAAAACGAAACTGTGCCCAGCCGGGTGAATCACGGAAAAAGTTGACCCGCGATAAACGCAGGTGGTGCGTGCCTGTCTAGCATTTGAACTCGTCTGCTGCAGGTCTCGAGTCCGTGCGCAAGAGTGCGTGGTTAGGCGCCTGATCGCGTTGAAGTTCCCGTGATCACGTTAAAGTGATGAGCCGACAACTTCCTCACAGTAGCGCGGATAAGTTTTATCCAGCAATGTTTAAGCTGCTAGTACAAGCGATGTCTAGGTTGTTGGTACAATTGGTCACCGTAGTGCACGATAACCTTTTCCGCACGCAAGAACAGCCGAGATGCGAGAAGAGACGATGGTCCTGTCGCTGGAGAAGATTCTGCCATAAGTTCAACGGACTCCAAAGAGTAAGATTAGCAGCGAGTCTGCTGCCAAGAATATTTCACGCATATCTGGCGTTTATTCGGACGTGGCACGCATCTGCTCAATAATACTACTACTACACTGTCAATCACTGTGAACAGCCGTGCGCGTATCTTTTGCGACAGTGCTCGATTTCACGAAGATTTTGTGCTTCCCAATTCCCGTTGAACAAAGCGTAGTCCCGCACAGCTTTTCATATAGTAGCAGCTGCGGCCTCGCATGTCTTACGGCGCCTGGAATTAAATGTAAAAAAAAAAAAATCACTGCAGGCTCTCGCGCCGTCGCATGACGTCATGTTCTTTGAAGCTGTTTCACTTTTGTTTTCCCGATCCCGATTAGTTTTAGCGTTGTTTATAAGCTGTATATTCTATAGCTATATAAAATCGAAGGCAAGCAGACTACATGGACTGCAGTCGCTACACTCGGCAAACAAAGTCGTCTGCTACGATCTTCTACGACTGCGAGACTTGTCTCAAGTACGCACGTAGCCGATCCAGTTAACGTCGTGAATTTAGCGCATGACACGGAGGAAGGAAAGGTGGCGCATGATGTAATCTGTAGCATTGTCTGTTGCTGCCGTGCACTTTGGAGGTATTAAATAGATGCCGTAATTTAGCATCTCATTAGCAGCCGTGTAGCGTGTAAGGCGGGCGCGGAAGTACACCAACACAACCAACAGTTACACACATGCTGTGTTTACGTTTATAGCCGTACCTTAGCCAACGCGTAGTCGGATGTAGCGGAGAATCTGTGGTGATAGCATGCTTAGTTACAGCAGTGCAGCTTAGTGCCGCCCGAAGCCGCTATTTAATATGACAGCCGTGGAATAGGCGCGGTATAACAGCGTGCGGAAGCAGGATACGGTCAAGGTATAGATGGCTTTTCAGAAACATAACGCGCACTTCCTTGCCTGGTCGTTGAACGGGTTGGCTAGGCTTACAAATGCGCGGAGAAGCTGCTCTACGACACTCGACGAGACGTTCTTCAGCGAAGACAGGAAGAAGGCCTGCATGGAATCTTTAGTGAAATCGTCAGAGGAACTGAGCCGCATGTTCCGTAACGTTCCCACAACGCTGCCGGCCGCAGTGCTGGTGCCGTTCTGCATCAACCGCTGCGGAGAGCCCGCCGTACTGTTGACATTAAGGTCTCGGAGCCTCTCCAGACACGCCGGACTCATTAGCTTTCCCGGAGGCATCGCCGACGATAGCGACGCGTCGGCCACGGAAACGGCACTTCGAGAAACCGAAGAAGAGCTTGGGATACCGCCCGCAAACGTCGACGTGTGGGGCCCTCTGCACCCGCTCCCATCGATGGGTTCCACAATTTTGGTCACACCCGTCGTCGGGTTTGCGAAGCCCTCGACGTCCTCGTCACTGATCTACGAGTTGTCGGCGAACGAAAACGAAGTGGAGAAAGTGTTCATGCCGACTTTACGAAGCTTGTGCGACCCACGCGCTTGGGAGTACACGTGCCTCAAGTACCCCGGTGTACCGGACCATGCGTCGCCCGTTTTTTGTCCTCGAAGATGACGAAAAAATTTGGGGACTAACTGCTAGGATACTGCATCTGTGTATGAGCTGCATTCTGCCGGAATTGTACTGCAGGAATTACCCCGGGAACCTGCTTAGAGTGACTGGTAGTGGCAGCAAGCTCTAAAGGACGTTGTTGCTGATGTGCACGGCACGGCTTCTGTTTTACTAATAATAATAAGTGATCTTCAGACACAGAGCGAGTCTTCGATGGCAAGGCAAAACATTGCCTGTCTGACTAAGTCCTTACCACTCATGCATTGCTCCACATCATAGAACATAAGAGGATACATAAAGTTTGTGCAATGAGTATTAAACATGTATACGCTACACGTAAATGACAGGAAAAAAAAACTAACAACACATTATTGATGCACCGACGCCTGCCAAAACTTGTTCCCCACGGTCACCAGCTCTACGTATAACAAAAATGAAGCATAATTTTGACACTTGCGGACATTCGACCGATACTGCGCACATACGTAGCCACGGAGGAAGGAAAGTGTACGTAGCAGAAGCAAGAGCAAAAATGCGCGAAAGGCCAAAAGCTAAAGCAGACGCGAGAGTCGCCCCAGTTTCGCACGCAAGCGTAATATTCTTCGTTATACGTTTAAAGCGTATTCGCTTGTAATAAACTTGTATTGTGAAGCCCATAGTTTGTCTAACGCAGCGCAGCGCGTCTCTATGAATGTTGCGTTCGTTCCAGCAGCGGTTTCTGTCCACCCAAATGTGTTCCCTGGTTTTCTTAGTTTCGTTAGGCGCGTAGTGGCTCGCGCTGCCATCAACACTGTGACGAGGCCTAGTAACAGTAATGCAAGTGTAGCACTTGTATTTCGGACCGAATTTATACGCTGTGGTGAAGTGCTGCACGACTGAAATGCTCAGGTTTGACCCTCCCCTGAGCAACGCCTGACGAAGAAGCCGAGAAATGCTGACGAGATGAACTACTGTCGGGACTTTCACGTGCTCTTCACCAGTGTACCAGTGTGTAGCGCATTCGTAGATCATAATGGCGCCAAACCGTGGCTCATCTTCGTCTGGTGAACAAACAATGTGACCGCCCTCGCCCCTGGACTGAACGCGCGCTACACTTGTTTGTAGTGATCATGAACGTTAACCTCTAATCCGAAACACGGGGTAAGTGCGCGACTTGGCGTGGAACGTGGTTGTAGTGCCAGTGTCCAAATATGGGTGACGAGGGCGAGGGGTCCATTGCGCACTGGCCGTAGAAACGGTTTCGCCAACGTGTCAGCGCACGTTTCGGGTAGTTATAGCCTGCCGAAGCCTGTTCGTTTCATCGATGCTGTTTATATCACGGCTTCAGCAATGTCAGCCGTATTTTTTATTGAACGATGCGATCAGGCTGGAGAAGGAGGGGAAGCGGGCATCGGCCGCCGTTGCAGGTTCGACGTTAAATCCGCGCGTTTCGAGCATCGATAGAAGTTGCTGGTAGTATTTTTGGTTTAAAAGGTCACTCCACAGAGAGAGAACAACACTTACCAAATGGGAAACTTGATGGGTGCGCAGGAAAACTAGCAGTGGACATCGCTCCGGCGCTGCCCGAGCGCATTCGCGCGGTATTTTTGATTACCATTAGTGGCCGCGAGGGAGCATGTCGGGTGGCGCATGGTTTTAGGTTTTACTCGCAGCTCTGACGTATCGAATTCGATGGAAGTACGCCGGACGCGATTTGTGATATCGATGTGTGTTTTTTCTCTCAAGGGTCGACAACGACGCTGCAGTTTTGGCGGGTAGCGGCGGTGGCGGCGCCGAAGAAAAAAGCCGCCAACGCTCACGCCGCGCTGCAACAACAATGTCGTCCGGAGCCAAGCAGAAGCGTTCGTCGATTGACGCTGCTGGAAGCAGCTGTACAGGTGGGTTCACTCGAATGTTTGCGAAGGGCAGTGAGAAGTGCGTCTCTGCTGTGTGCCAGTGTCGCGGGGTCATTTTCGACTGCGATCGTTCTTTCGGGGCTAGCCCACGTATCGCGATCTCGAACTGGACCCGCGCGATCGTAGTCGCGAAAACAAACCTGTGTCAGCACAGAAGAAAGAACAATAGGGTCACAAGAAGCTGTGCTATCGCTTAGATCACCGTACGCCTCTGTTTCTTTGATAGCGCCATACAGTATAATGAATCCAAACGGGCCAGCCACCTCGCAAGGTTGTTTCATTCAGTAATATAACTCCACATTACAGAACGTTGCAGTAGGCATGGTAGCTGCTTTAGTAATCACTGCTATGCTCGCAGCCCTTCCTCAGGGGAAAGAGGGTTTTGTTCTGCTGCTTCCTTCCATTATTATTATTATTTTAAAGGGAGCTAAATTGAAACCACATTACGAGTGTGGCTGTGTTTGACAACGCACAGCCAGTCTTAGTGGTGATCACCATTTTACGTACTGCTCCGACGCTCTCGGGCGCTCTAACCAAACTGATGTAGTGCGGTTACGGTGATAGGTGGGGACAGTCGTAATCAAAGGGGTCTTGCGTCACTAATGAACACATCGTTTTCATTGCACCACCTACAGATACGGCCTCTCAAGTGGCACTGTACAAAGCAAAGTTGTTTTAATTTCATTTGAACGAAGAAACCAGTTTCGATTTAGTACTAGAGCATCACATTATTGCTGTTTTTGTGATCAGTAGGGGCTTTTCATGTCACAGTGGCGATTATAGCCAGTTATTTTGATCGGCTTGGCACAACAAGTCGTATATAATATTTGTTAGGTGCCAGTTGTCCTGTGCTAGATAGGGTTTGGGTGGATTGTTCTCTTTAAGTATCGGAATTCGAAAAAGTTGCACTACTCTAGGTGCTTTGCCCACAGAGACAAGAGTTCCTGTAGGTCTCTTTAAGAGATGTGCAGTGATTGGAATTGGCCAGTGATGTGTGCAGCAGAGAGAAATACAAAAGGGAATGTTTTTAAATGCGTAGTGCTTGATGGGCCTGGCTTGTCATCCATCCGTAAATCAAGCGGCGTGGTCACGCTCACAGTAAAGCACTCAATGCAGGTTATAACAAGATTAGCAATGCTCAAATCTGGGTGGAAATAAAGACATTCTAAGATGATATAGTTAATGGAAATAGTCTCAAAGTAATTACAATAATTAACTTAAAATAACTAACGTCTCAAACTCATGTGTCCGCACCTCTAATTTGCAGAGTGCACAATTTTTTTCCTCTGGCTGGTTCTTCTACAGCGCTGCAGGGAAGCAACCTGGAGTAACTTGCTGTAGACAGAATGTAGCTGCTGTAACAAGCAGGAAATAGATCATGAGGAAGCAAAAAGTAGCACACACGTTGCACGCTGAGTTTGCAAATCTCGCGAACATCATTCTACTTGTGCCGAGAAACCCTGCATGCTTACTTACCTCTAACATTGGTGTCGTCGACAGCTTAGTAAACAGAGCAGCACAAACTCGTAGAACGAGAATAACTGGGTAGCTGTGAAGTGCACTTCCTCATGTTTCACAGTTGTGGAGCTGCACTTATTCTTGTCTGCTGGTGTTTTGAAGTTCGAAGGCAAATAACTTGTGTTACAGTGTACTATTCTTGATGACACTTTCTGCTTTCATCTCGGTGTTCAACACTACACGCACGCCTGTGCTACAAAAGGCAGTTGAAAAAATGTTCCAGAGCCCCTTTGAGGCTCTTGAGATGTTTTTGTGGACGTCACCATTGTTTCGCTGTAAAAAATTGCTGCTGGAAAATGTCTTTGCATCACTGAAAAGTTGGGAATTTTTTCTATTATTGAGGCAAAAACATGTCTCTAGTCCACTCATGGTAATTTTCATTTGCACTTCAAGCTAAAGATTGGCCTATTTCAATGCAGCAACGACAAATGGAAGCAAAAGATTGAGGAGGACAAGCGCCTGTGAGGATGAGGACAGCCGGCGTGAGTATGTTTATCAGACTAAAATGCTGAACAAAGTGTGCTAGTAATTTTTGTGTGCAGCGTATATGTACATGTAATGATCACGGGGTTAAATTTTTTTTTCTTCCCTTCTTTCCGGAAAGATTTTCGGTGCTGCTTTTTCCTATTAATATTAGGGGCAGTACTAGCTTGTACAGTGACAACGTAAACAACAAAACAGTTTCTATTTCTTGCTCGGTGGCAGGTGTTGGCACATCATTATTCAATAGCATTGAGAGAAAATTTCTTCTGCTTATCAAAGCACCAGATCTATTTCTGGATTTAAAAGCTGTATTCGGAATACTTTGGTCTCGATTGATGCCGAGCACTTTCAGAAAGAGTATCTCTGTCAAAACTGCATAGCTGTCACTCCGCATCTTGTTCATCATCATCCTAACCACACGCACTGCAGGGCAAAGGGCGCTCACATCTTTTGCCATTCAGCCTGGTCCTGTGCTGTCACATTGTACCTGCAAACTTAAACTGACCTGCCCACCTAATTTTTTATCTCCTAGTCACGCATTTGCCTTCTCTTGGAATTTAGTCCAGCCCCACTGCGGTAGTCGGAATTTAGTCCAGCCCCACTGCGGTAGTCTAGTGGCTAAGGTACTCGGCTGCTGACCCGCAGGTCGCGGGATCGAATCCCGACTGCAGCGGCTGCATTTTAGGTGGACGCGAAAAGGCTGTATGCCCATGTGCTCAGATTCTGTACACATTGAAGAACCTCAGGTGGTGAAAATTTTCGAAACCCTTCACTACGGCGTTTCTCATAATTGTATGATGGTTTCAGGATGTTAGACCCCACATATCAATCAATTGAATCCAGTCCATTAACCTTAATGACCAGTGGTTATCCTGCTTATGTGCTTCATGCCCAGCCCATGTCTATTTTCATCATTTTAACGATGATGTCCTTAACCCAGTTTGTTCCCTAACCCACTTTGCTCTCTTCCTGTCTGTTAAGGTTGTACCTATCATTTTTCTTTTGATCACTCACTTCGTCGTCCTCAACTTACATTGAATCCTCTTTGAAAGCCTGCAGCTTTCTGTTCCGTAAATAACTACCAGTTAAACGGAGCTTTTATATACCTTCCGTTTGAGGGATAGTTTTAAACTACTATTCATGATTTTAGAATGCTTGCCGAATGTGCTCCACCCTATTCCTGTTTCATTCCTCCAGTTATTTGCCCCTCGTGGTGATCTAGTGGCTAAGGTACTCGGCTGCTGACTCACAGGTCACGGGATCGAATCTCGGCTGCGGCGGCTGCATTCTCGATGGAGGCGAAAATGCTGTAGGCCTGTGTGCTCAATTTTGGTGCACGTTAAAGAACCCTAGATGGTCGAAATTTCCGGAGCCCTCCACTACGGCCTCTCTCATAATTATGTAGTGGTTTTGGGACGTTAAACCCCACATATCTATCAATCAATCCTCCAGTTATTTCACTCTCATGATTTGGCTCCGCGGTTACTACCTGTCCTAAGTAGACATATTTTTTATAGCTTCCACCGTGTCGCCACCTATTGAAAAGTGCTGTTTTCTGAAGACTGTTGCACATTAATTTAGTTTTATGCATATAAATTTCGAGACCTACTCTTCTACTCTTCTGCATTTAGTGTGCATTTCAGTAATCATGAGTTGTTATTCGTTCGTGAGGTACTAATCAAGTAATGTCAACAAAGAATCACAGGTTACTGAGAAACTCTCTATCAATTCGTGTCCCGCACTTCTTCCTATCTAGGGCTCTGAAAGCCTTTTTACAGATGAGATCACAATTAAGAGTCTCGCGCAGCGCCGTAGTGGTCCGCCTGCCGCCGCTGGTGTCCATAACCACATCGCGCGAAAGGAAAAAAAAAAAAAAACAAAAAAACTAGTATCAATGACACAGTGGGGCTCGAACCCTAATCTACCGAGTGCCAGCCCAGTATTCTACCACTGAGCTACGCCGGTGCTTGGGACTTGTTGGCAAACTTGCCCTCGGCAGGCTTGATGTTAGGAAAGTAATCGCGTTATTGTGAGTAACAAAGCGTTATAGAACAGCAAACAACCAGGCATCACACAATGTGAATAGTGTAACGAGTGGGTTGGCCAATGCTTCGACCCACTACAAAAGCTTATTCTTGATCACCTATTAACTGTGGCGCATATCCACTTCAGGCATAATTCCTCATCATCGTCAGCCACTGCCGGAATAGGTTCAAAATTCCTCGCAATAGTTTAGCTGATACCACGCTTCTCATAAGAGTGGCGAAGGATAGCATAGGAAATGCCGGCCAACTACCCTAAAATATTTGTTATTAATGCCGCAGTGGGTACCCAGCAAGTGTGCTTTCAGGAGTTACCCAATGAGTGTTTAAAAAAAGCTCTGAAGGGCCTCTCTTCTAGCTTTCGCTGTGACTGTGCTGTGCCTTCCATGCAGGCCAGGGGTTTCGTAAAAATGCGGTGTATAGCATTGCAGAGATCGTGTCTCTCTACCTTACACCCTTTATTGGGATATTGTGCCTGTCATTATGGAGGACTATGGTGGCTGTGCATCCACTGTAGATGTCATCCAGGGTGAGAGGCAGAAGCAGAAAATTACTTTCACTTACACCTCTATATGGACTTGTCAGCCTAAAGTTTTGCTGGATTCAGATGGTACCAGATCATATGTTTATCTTCCACATTTATTTTTTTTAAACGTATTAATGAGGTTCTACAGTAAATAAAGTACTGGCAGAAATTAAGCAGAATGCTTGTACATATTGCTGTTCACTGCAACCTTCTTGAGCATAGTTATATGAGAGTTCATCAATACATTTACTGGTCATGAAGCTTCTGCGGAAGTTTGATATAGAGACAGGAAAAACTGCTATGGGCACCCTCGCTCACTGCAGGGCGTCGGAGCGGTCGCAGCGCTGCAATTGTACGGCATCCGCCGTAACTGTGAAACGTTGGTAAATGTAGCCGTGATGGTTGAATGCGTCCTCTGAGTGATATTACCTTCAAAGAAACTCGGGGAAGCTCTAATACAGTGAAATTTAGCATTGAATGAGGCCTTGAAGCTTGAAATTCTACGGTATGCTAATTTCACTGCAAGATATGCTACCGCTGTAAAAGCATGCTTCTTTTTTTTTTTTTTTTCTAAAGCATTTAGTAAAATTTGTCGACAATCTACAGTTTTTCAACGACTCTGGTGGTTCATAACGCGTCATGGAACTTCAGTGGTTACAACGTTTGACAGCGCATATCCAACCTTTCAGGCTATATATACATTTGGTGTTTCTATGCGAAGATATATATCTTCAAATTTGTCTCATATTTATTAAATCAAGAGCCACTTTAGATGAATCAGTGGTTTGAATTTAGAAAGTGGTGAGGATCACACAATACTTCATACGACTTTTGCTTTGTGTTCGTGTTTTGTTTTGTGTGGATTTATCACTACGGTGCCATAGTGCATTCTAAGTTCAGTTGGCTAGATGTATAGGTGTATAGTTTCCCAGTCCTTTACTCTGCTTTGCAGCTTACTCATGCTGGGTTTTTCCTGTTCTTCTTCATTGTTTTCTCTGTCAAGTCGAAAGCCTTACATGCCTCCTCAAACGTGAAAATTGATCGACTGCGTCCCGCACCGGCGGCGCTAATGTGTGACGCAAAACGTTATGTTCTCATGTTCATGATGCGTTCATATCGGAGATTATTTTCACGCTTTTACAACTTGCGCAAGTTTTATACAGCATTTTGGTGCAGCCCCTCTTGCGCCGTCATCCTAGCAAGCTTCTATTGGTAGCGCTGAAGTCTCTGTTCTAAGCAACGGATGCGTGCTTTGAATTTTTCAAGCTGTGAGGAGCTGCATGTAGCTCCCTCCGCCTGTGTGGTATATCACTTCTATACTTCTGGTCATCTCCGTGCCTGTTAAAAGAAAGCGGCAAGCATTTCACTCATCGAGCTTCTGTATTGCCTACTTTGCCTACCGGCATGCAACGAGGAAGAGGCAGCCAGTATGCTCACCTTCATTAAATGTGTACTTATCCATTGCAGCTATGTCAAAAGGGCTCATGCACAGTGTCGATGCAGCCTCAACAGTCGCCAGCTCAGATGACTGTTCTCTAGATAGGTGTGCGAGCTCTGCATCTTTTTCCGTCGTATAAATATGGCGTGAGTCCATGGAAAATCCTCGTTGCAGCTTCGGCAGAAGTTCCGGAACGTTGCACGGTGACTTCACAACACCACCTCCGATTAGCCACTGGTCCACCCGAACGATGTCACTTTCATCGAATTGCTTTTTGCACACGAGTACATTCTGGGAATCAATTGTGAAACCACCAGTGTCTTTTCGCGGCAATGCGCACTTCCACTTTTCCTACCGTTCACTGTCTCTAGGCAACGAGAACCTGGAGACCTTTTGATCATTTCTGTTGTAATCGGATCAACAAATAGGTACACAGCAGGAACATGGCATCCTTCCCAATATTCAGGCACAGCACACTAGGCACACTAGTGATCATACGGTGAAAACTGCGCGATGACACGCTACGATATGAACCCAAAACGGCACCAGCAGCCCCACGAGGATGCAGAGCCGCCCCGCGGCCTCCGCTCGCAGCACACAAAGCTCTCCCAGAGAGTTACGGGGAAGTTTCATGAACAGGAAAAGTATTGAAGGACTCTGGTTATATATTTAATACAGTACCCACAGCACCTTATGGCATTACAGTGGGGGTGGGGTGGGGGGAGAGAATGCTAGCACAGTCATCCAAAAGCAGGTAATCGAACAAATGTACACTGACAAGTAGCCAAGTACAAAAGCAAAAATTGTTTGAAGTGAGAAAAAAAAGCAATACAGGAAATTACTGAATGATGAATGCACAATAAAATAAAACTCGCTCAGGCAAACAGTTTATTTACAACAATACGAATTCTGCAAAGAGGAATAAAATTAATCGGGAGATATTGGTCGCAATGTCATGTAACAGCTTGTTGTACTTGCAATTTTTTTTCCTCCCCTTCCAAATGGCACTTTTGATGTGAAAGCCTTATGCTCGTTTCAGTGTCTTCATCCAAGGCCAAGCTGCCACCATTGCCTTTGCCACCCATGTCAAAAATCTACAACAGCTCTTACCGGAGCAACAAACCTGCAGAGGTAAGTTGTGTGCGAAACCCCGTGTTTGACTATGCTATGTCTCTCAACTTCAACTTTTACTGCTGTCGCGCAACAATTGTGTGAGAACGATGAAACCTCGTTAAGGGTCCTTGACTGTCGATCGTGTGTGGGTGCAGCTCTTCCGGAAGGATCTCATCAGTGCCATGAAGCTGCCTGACAGTGAGCCACTAGATGCAGAGGACTATTGGTTCATATCGGACGGATGGAAGCAAGAGTGGGAACGAGGAGTGCAGGTGCCAGTTAACCCTGGACATTTGCCCGAACCCACAGTGAAGTGAGTGGTCACGTCGAGGTGCAATTCACTTGCGTTCTCTCTGTATTGTGTTCTGCCAAAGTTTCCCCTCATCAGAGATGACCATACAAACCCAAGCAGTAATTAAGTTAAACAGAGCACTGGGGAAAAAATATAGTTTATAAAGGAAATGAAATTGAGTATGAAAACAAAAGAAAACCAATGTGCTGTTGCTGGGTGCTGAATCCAGAAATAGAGATATAGCTTAAATCAAGAACCCCAATATCGTTTCCGTTATACTCCACATTGTGCAAGCAATATTTTACCATTGAGCTATGGTGAAGGCTGGAGAGAAAGGGAAGATGCTAGAAGATCAAGTGGATCAGACAATTAATCTCTCTCAACCACTGAAATAAACTTGCATGGCTTTGAGCTATTCGTAGCCCATACATGTGGGTGACTAGTTTTATATGTTAACCATTGTGATTATCATATTGATATTTTACTGCAAGCAACAAATTGTTTCACTCGTGCTCTCCTTGGCTTCATTGTCAGTCAGCTCCGCGTAAAAGTGAAAAGCACAAAGGGCCCTTCTCATGATGGAGAAATGGCAACTCTAAGGCAAACCAGCTAACATGCTTAATGATATGTTCTTTGCAGAGTCATCAAGAAAAAGAGCAAATCAAATGACTTTAAGCTGTGAGTATTGCTTGCAATTACACAGTTAACTGTAAAGTTGAAGTCATCTTTAATCTTCTTACATTTTTGTTCTCTTCCTTCCACATTGGTTCACAGACCTCCAAACAAGTATCTCCGGTTGTCGCACGACGAGTTCTTTTCCAACGACCTCCATGTCCTGACCAACGTCAGTGCTTTGGCAGAGAAGACCTGCCGCTACGACCTGGACTGCTTAGATCAGCATTGGTTGCGGATCTTCAACGAGGAGCGCAAGTCTCTTGGTCAGTCCTCTTATTTAGCCCAGTCTAAACAGGGGCATTTGTCTTTCATTACTGTTCATGGTTATGGTGCACTTTGTTAGCAAAGCACCTTTCTTGGAACTAATTTAGGTGTAGGCCATTTATGCTGTTTAGAAACATAGGCCATAGACAATTTTCATGATTAATATCATGCATAAGCTCTATGAAAAGAGTTGTATTAGTAATAATGCTTTATGTGCCTGTTACCTGAAAGTTTCACAAAGAAATTCTCCATACAGTGGAGCTAAACATACTTTCTGTTCCTGCGTAGGCAACTGATAAAGCAGGTGAACAGAAGCTTCATGGATCCATATGCTTGCCGCTGGTAATGCACGCACAAAACAGTCTTTGCTGTAGAAGTTAGTAATTGACACTGAGATATTGCTGAAATAGTGTTGAAATAAATCTTAGTTTGAGCGAAATGGAGAATGTGATAGGTGTAGGGTGGTGAATGTTATTGTGTTGCTGCACAGCAGACAAGATGTAGCAGCGTTGCCAGGACTTTACACCCAAGCTGTTAATTTTTACAAAGGCTTTATGGTTACTTCCGGGCTTGGAAACATAGACTGCTAAGGCCTTTATTAATGAGGTACTATTGTGAAGGCAAGAAACGACATAAGGAGGTGAACATGCACCCATTGGCTCCAAAATATTTGGTCATTGTGTTAAGATTGTGCTTTTGCACATGGAGAATGTCAAGTGAGTGATTAACAGCTCGCAAGTAGCTTGTCAGCTCTATTGGTTTGTGAAGTGAATGACATTGGCTGAATGAAACATGTGTTGCATCTTGACATTTGATGTCATAATGCAGCAAATGTCACAAACTTTATCGATGATGTTTCGAATGATAATAGACAAACGAAAAGAATACTCAGCCATTTTCACTGAGACATGTGCCTTTTTCAATAATAATTTTCTCCTGTCTTGTGTTAGGCCTGGAACCTTTGCCTGAGCTTGCGATGGAGATGATCTTGGAAGACTTTGAGACTCAGGTGAGGCACGTGAAATTGTTACTGGTGCAGGTATGGTGTCACAAGTGTACCTTAACTGACGTGTTGCATGTTCTTGGTGCAGCAGCTTAGATTTTATTCCTAAACCACCCGTGTGTAGAAATTTAGTTGTGGTATTGCAGTTTAGATTGGGTTATCGAAAAACACTCTGCTGCAGAAAAGTGGAAAATAGCCGCAGCGCCATATTTCTTGAACGAAAAATAAATTCAGGAAAAGCGAGTGAAAGAGAGCAAACGTTGCATCGTGACTGGTTGCAATACTCACGTGGAAGCTCATGGTGCGCTCCTATTGGTTGTCGAACATTTGAATGGCTTTAGCATGTATTTCAGCAGGAGGGAGCTGCTCCTGGCTGTTGCACGTTTTGTTCATTCCTGTGTTGATCACTGCAACGACATGAGTGTTCTACGATAAGCCCCAAAGGAGCGAAGTTCCGAACTGTACACGCGTACGGGAAATGGCAAGCGCCACAGAATACAAGAAGTGGACACAGACGCAAACGCCACTGGCCACACTGACCAGGAAAAACTGCCGCACGGGGGAGATTGGGACAGCTCACCCCTGTGTGACTGTGACAGTACAGGCATGCGCCGATTACGACCCGCCCACAGGCCGTGTTGATGGCATGTTCTACATTGATGGTGCGTCCAGTGCTCGCCCACGTGTAGTGTCAATGCCTCCGTGTGCGTCATTGACGAGTCTGCGTGCCGAGTTTACGGATCCGCTTATGGTGTTGGCGCGTCCACGAGCAGTGGTGGTCATGCCTCTATGAGCTACAGCAACGTGACATCGGCTACCATAGATGTTCGCATGCCGATTATTCAGCAGCAGATTTCGGCTCCAACTTTCAGTAATGAAGAGATTGCATGATGAGAAGAAACGCGAGCAGACACTTTTAATGAATTGTCTACTACCCCGGCCACAAAAAGGAGATCCAAACTTCTAAATGATGGCGAAAGTGACGATGATGTTGTTCCCGAGGCATCATTTTTTGTAGCACACAAAGCGATGATAAAAAAGCTGCTGTCCGAATTTTGGTGCCACCAGTGTGGAAGGGCCCCAGAGTTCGTTTTGAAACTGGATGTCACTACTGTGGAATAATAAATGAAAAGTGGTCATCTCCAAGGTAAGCTGGTCCTCAGCATGAACATTCAGCTTTGAGGTGGATGTTCATGCAGTGAGAGCTATGCAATCAGTGGGCAAAAATCAAACTACACTGAACAATATTTTTTCCCACATGGACATTTCCCATATGGGACTGCATCACAAGTCGTCCCAGAGGCTGCACTGCAAGTGTAGGCACCCTGCCTGTATCTGCTGCAACATCAGAAAAGTTGCGTGAAATATATGGAGATCTTAGATTTGTCCCAGCGAACATTGATGTCATTTATGATGGCACATAAATGACAAGGAGCCACACAAGCCACATCGGTGTTGGCTGTCATCGAGTTGTGCTCTGGCCTGGTCTTGGACCACTGTGTTCCTTTCTCTCTAGCTACTGCCATGACTGTGCAGGCACGCGGCAGGACACGGCTGAGGCCGGACGTCTCTCATGTGTTGCGCATGAAACCATTTATTGCGCATTCTTCGTAACCTTTTCTTTACCGTACCCCGCTCTTTGTGCTTCTTATTTATTTCTGTGAACTTGCTTCTTCGTTCATTGACTTTTCCTATATTGGCACGCTCTTCAATTTCTGCTTTCACGTTATCCGAATTTTCGATTTTTTTTTTTCATGTGCCTATGTTGTAGCATCGCGGTGGTGCTATGTACTTTTCTTTCTTTTTCGGTACTTTTTTTTCTTTTTGAAAAGGGGAATAATGCCACCCGCACATATGGGCCGACAGCAAGAGCGGCTCTCAATCTGGAGGAAAAAAAGATCACGTGCCTCTTCTTTGCTCGAGAGCTAGCCGCGACTGACGCATCATTATGGAGCTAGCTACTCGGTGGCTCTCAATCTGGAGAAAAAGGATTCATGACTCTTCTTGCGTTTTTTTTCTTTGAGAGCCCTTTTTCAGTTGCTAGTAAGCGCTTGTGTGTGTCCTCTCTGAGTGTGTGTATTTTTTCGCTTGTTTCATCATGAGTAATATTGACATCAATCCTGATCTGTCTACTGATAACCAGACTGCGCTGCGGGCGCTCTTGTTCGAGTTCAGGCCTTGCTTCATAAGTTGCTCAAAGATCCGCCAGACGTCCATCACTCAACACAGGATTATCACGCACGAGGATGCACACCCACTACACCAACACCCTTACCACGTGTCGGCTAAAAAACGTGAAGCGATACGTACGCAAGTCCGCAAGGTGCTTGATGATGGCGTTATCAAACCATCCAACAGCCCGTGGTCATCTCCAGTCGTCCTTGTCAAAAAGGAGGACAGGTCGCTGCACTTCTGTGTCGACTACAGAAAGCTTAACAACGTGACCAAAAAAGATGTGTACCCGCTGCCGCGTATCGATGATTCACTGGATAGACTTCGTCGTGCCCATTACAGTAATCCCTCGTTAACTCGAAGCCATCAAATCCGGGGAAAATTTCGAGATAGGCGGTATTTCGAGTTAAGCAAAACGCCGAAAATGTTCGCCCAGGTCACTGTAAAAGAAAAGCCAGTGCTGCTAGGAAAAGCTCCACTGCACAAAACAGCTACCGTAGTAAAGGCACAAGAATTCGGAGGGGAAAAAAATTTATTACCGAGAACCAAAAAATTGCGTGATGCTCGCCTGTTTCGCTTTAGCGTTCGGTCCGAGAAAGGCGTTCTCCAGTTGCTCAACACATCGCATGAGCCGTTGGTCGCCACCGCGGCATTCGACCTTGTTGCGGAGCAAGCACAGCATGTTACGTGTTTCTGTCGTCGTAGGCACTTCTCGAGGCTCTTCCTCATCTGCATGGTCATCTGCGTCGTTCACGGCCATCTCAACGATATCGGCGTCCGACAGCATTCCGGTAACGGGGACGTCGGCCTCGTAGAGCGCATACTCCTCAAAGGCGATCTCGCCGTCTTCAGTATCGCTCACGCAGCCAGTTGCCTTGCGCACTTCATTGCACAGCTCATCACAGCCGCTGAATTCTGCGCCAATGTCTTCTTCGATCGATTCCGGAGCGCGAGAAAACCCTGCATGTGCGAAGCAGTTAGCAATCGCCAGCGGGCGTAGTTGGCGCCAGGCTTCGGCCATCAGATTGACTGCACCCAGCAGATCGATTTCATACTTTTTTCCATTGTCGTATGACAGCAGAATTCGGTGCAGCAGGCTTTTCCTATAATACTTGCGGGCCATCTCAATGACTCCCTGATCCATTGGCTGGAGAACGGACGTCATGTTCGCCGGCAGGAACTCCAGCGTAACAGCCGCCAAGTTGTCGGTTTTTCCGTGGCCGGGGCCGTTATCCACAACAAACAACACTTTCCGACCGTCCTTTGCCATCTTCTGATCAAGCGCACGGACATGCTCTTCGAAAAGCGCCGCCGTCATCCAGGCTGTTTTATTTGCGCGGTAGGTCACATCCCTCGGGAGCCGTGCATTTCGGAAACACCTGGGATTCAGCGACTTGCCAATGATGAGGAGGGGCAGCTTTTCATCGCCGGTAGCGTTGGCACCAAAAAGAATTGTTATCCTGTCTTTTCGTTGCTTAGCGCCTGAGCACGCTTCGCCTTTTGGTGTGTATGTGCGGTTAGGCAGCATCTTGTAAAAGAGAGCGGCTTCGTCTAGGTTAAAGATGTCCTTGTCCGCGTACTCCTTTTGCAGCTCGGCTAGGCGTAGCTTGCGCCATGCGTCTGCAGCCTGTTCGTCAACAATGCCGCTTTCGCCGTGGATAGGCTTCGATGACACGTTATTTCGCGTCTTGAACCGCTCGAACCAGCCATTGCTGCAACTGAAATCCACGTGACCCATCTGCAGTGCCAAAGCGTCTGCTTTCTCCATCATCATTTGGGTTGTCACGGGAAGATTGGCTGCTCGAACGTTTTGGAGCCACAACAGAAGTGCTGCTTCGACGTCCGGGAATTTGGACACTCGAATGCGCTTCCGCTTGCTTGAGAAGCTTTGCTCGAAGCCTTCCAAAACCTTTTGTTTGTTCTTAAGCACTGTCGAGAGGGTTGACAAAGGGATGCTGAATTCTTTGGCGATGCACGACTTGCTTCGACTCGCTCTTTCCACTTCCTTGATTAGCGCGACTTTTCTCTCCAACGTCAGAGATTTGCACTGCTTTGGGCGGGACATCTTGGTCGATACGGAAGCGTCCGTTGCACAGACCACTCACTACTCAGCAAAACTGAGCTCAAGATGCGTCGTGCACAGATCGCGAGGAAAACAAAGAATACCAGCTCGCACATGCAAGGGCTAGTTTGCGTACTGACGGGCGCATGCTGCACACGCCGCCCACCGCGCATAAGTCGCGCGCAGGTGCGCACACGTGATCACTCCCACAGTTGCCTGACAAGGCTGATAGGAAACGGCTGCGTCCGCGGGAATTTCAAATTCGCCCTTCACGACTGCGTTCGGCACGTATAGTAAGAGCTAAGCGTTCGCACGGAGCCCTCGTTTCCTGTTGGGAGTAGACTTTGCCTTCTGCCCTCCCTGTCAAGATTTCGAGATATCCACTGTTCCCTCCGGAAAACGTTTCGAGATAAGAGGGGGCAAATACATAGCACCTATGGGAGGTTAATGTACGGCGAAAAAAAGTTTCGACATAACCGAGATTTCGAGATATGCGAGTTCGAGCTAACGAGGGTTTACTGTATTTCACTTCTCTCGATCTCAAAAGCGGGTGCTGGCGAATCCAGGTAAATCAGCGTGACCGCGAGAAAACAGCCTTCGTGACTCCAGACGGCTTATACCAATTTCGAGTACTCCATTTTGGCTTGTGTTCAGTGCCGGCAACTTTCCAGCGAATGATGGACACTCTACTCACAGGGCTCAAGTGGCAGGCTTGTCTTGTCTACCTTGATGACATGGTGGTCTTCTCTGCCACGTTCAAGCAGCACCTTCACCACCTGCGCAGCGTGCTGTGGAGGCTATCCGATCGGCGGACCTCACACTAAAGCCACAAAAGTGCCACTTCGGCTAGGAATAACTAAAATTTCTTGGACATGTAGTTAACGCAGAAGGGGTACGACCCGATACAGACAAGGTCCTGTCGATAAGAAAGTTGTCCGGCGCTTTTTTGGTTTGTGCGCCTACTATCGGCAGTTCATTCATGGCTTTTCACAGATAGCAGTACCTCTGACTCGTCTCACAAGGGACGACACGGCGTTTGTCTGGGAAAACGAGCAACAAGTAGCTTTTAATGAGCTGCGACAGCGCATGCAATCAGCGCCCGTTCTCGCTCATTTCGACGATGATGCTGACACGGAGGTCAATACTGACGCTGGTAACATTGGTCTCGGTGCAGTGCTCGTTCAGCGTCAAGATGGCATCGAAAGAGTCATCTTTCGATGTCAGCCACTTCCTATCCCGTGCCAAGGCGAATTATTCCACTACGGAGAAAGAGTGCCTCGCAGTCGTGTGGGCAATCACCAAGTTTCGCTCAAACCTTTATGGTCGTCTCTTCAAGATAATGACGGACCACCATGCCCTCTGTTGGTTGGCAAGCCTGCGCGACCCTTCAGGACGACTAGCTCAATGGAGCTTGCGGCTGCAGGACTTCGACGTCACCATCATTCATAAGTCCAGCCGTAAACATGAAGACGCTGACACACTGTCACGTGCACCCCCTCATGTCGTCAGTCAGGAAGCAGAAGAAGACGAAGGTTTCCTGGGCGCTGTTTGCGCATCAAACTTGAGCAAATGGCAGTGAGATGACGGAGAGATTCGTCCAATAAGATGAACGCTCGTTTGAATAACCGTGCTTACCTCCTGGTGGTTTCTCGAGACATGCGAGACGACGTCCTCTTCGCTTGCCATGATGAACCCACATTCGGTCATCTGGGCTACTCACGGACACTTGCCAAAGTGAGCGAGAGGTACTATTGGTCCGGACTTTCGGCAAGCATCAAGAAGTAGGTCTAGGGCTGTTGGAAATGTCAACACCGAAAGCAACCATCTGTTAAGCCAGTTGGTTTGCTTCAGCCCATTGAAGAACCTTGCACGCCGTTCGACCAAGTCGCCATGGACATTTTCGGGCCATTTCCCCTGTCTGCGGACAGCAACAAATAGGTGATCGTCACGACCGACTACTAGACACGCTACGCTGAGACGCAGGCAATTCCACGCGCCACCGCTTCTGAGGTGGCACAATTTTTCATGCGCCACATCGTGTTACGACACGGTGCTCCTTCCAGTATAACAGAGGGACGGCATTCATGGTGCAGCTTATGGACGAAGTTTTTAAACTAAGCAACACCACACACCGAAACACAACTGCGTACCACCCGCAAACCAACGGACTTACCGAGCGACTGAATGAGACCCTCGCAGACATGATCGCAATGTACATCGACGTACAGCACAGAACATGGGACCGGATCTTACCCCACTTGACCTTCACGTATAATACCGCTGCGCAAGAGACGACCACATGATTCACGCCATTTCGGCTTCTCAACAGCCGCAAAGTGCAGACCATGCTGGACTCTATGCTACCATGTCAATATGACGGCGAGTTGGCAACTTACGCCGCAGAATTCGCTGAGCGCGCTGAGGAAGTCCAGCAGCTCGCACGACTGCACATCGGCCAGCAACAGCAGGCGCTAGAACACCCGCCACAGAGAAGTGTTCTACAACCCTGGAGACCAAGTTTTAATGTGGACGCACGTCCGCCGCCGTGGCCTTAGTGAAAAGTTACTGAGCCGGTACTTTGTCCCATATAAAGTGTTACGCCGTGTCAGTGACGTGAACTACGAAGTGGTTCCGGACTCAACATCGCAGGCACGCAGCAGGACACGACCTAGGCCGGACGTCGTTCCTGTGTTGCTCATGAAACCATTTATTGTGCATTCTTCGTAACTTTTTCTTTACTGTACACCGCTCTTTGTGCTTCTTATTTATTTCTGTGAATTTGCTTCTTCGTTCATTGACTTTTCCTATATTGGCACGCTCTTTAATTTCTACTTTCACGTCATCTGAATTTCCAATTTCTCTTTTTTTTCATGTGCCTATGTTGTAGCATCACGGTGGTGCTATGTACTTTTCTTTCTCTCTTTTGGTCATTTTCTTTTTTCTTTTCGAAAGGGGGAATAATGCCGCCCGCACATATGGGCCGACAGCAAGAGCGGCTCTCAATCTGGAGGAAAAAAAGCCTCTCTCATGCCTCTTCTTTGCTCGACAGCCAGCCGCAACTGACACATCATCCTGGAGCTAGCTACTCGGTGGTTTAATACCCCCCCAGTACTTCTGAATTATCGTGACAATATCAACATAAAGAATCGCGTTGGTGTGCCAAATTTTATCTATTTATTCCAATAAATAATATATAGTTTTAATTGCCACGTCCCCCCTCACAGCCAGTAATACGGAATGTCTTAATAAAGTGAAGCGCACACTGCCTTGGAGAGACAGAAATGGATCTTGAAGGCATTGCCCTAATGGGTGGTTTTTGCCTGCTGCAATCTCAAAGCCAGAAACTTTTGTTCTGCCTACCTTGTTTTGTACATCTTCCACACGCTGGGCTGTCGTCTAACTACCGAGATTATGCTCTGCTTTGTTTCTGACCCTTTTCTCTGCTCTGATGCTTTCATGGGGTTTTATGTCTCAGTTTTTCTCATTTTTTTTTTCTTTAGTGTTTAACATTGGTTTTGGCTTGCATGCTTTTGCGATCACAACCTCATGCTCTCATCCCTTTCTCTCTTTTGCATAATTTATTACAGTGCTATGACAAGCTTCAGAGAGAGATCCGAACAGAACAAGGGTTGGGCATTGAGTATGACGAAGATGTGGTCTGTGATGTCTGCCGTTCGGTAAGCAGCTTTGTTGCACAGTGTTGCCTTTTGAGTCCAGTGCTTGTTCTTAAAAACGTGAACGCCTAAAGTTGCTTTCACAATGTTAGCCATTTACCTGGGCGGGCTAGAAAAGGTTCGGAAACTGAAATGTAGTGGTTCGGGGTGCTTTCAATTTCCTGTGCTTTATTGCAATGACGTAACTGGTTTAGGTGGCTTATTCTGGGGTCTTATTGATATCGCAAAGGCGAACTGGTCGTGCAAAAAAAAAAACGAAAAAAAAATTTTCGCAAATTTACGAAATTTTTGTCGAGCCACAACAGACTGAATACTGACGCTGGTATTTACTGGAGCTTGTAGTGCAACTTTCACCACCTCCCATTTATTGGCTTATTACAGACGCACCCCTTTACGAGAGACGGCCATTCTTGTCTTTTATGAAAGATGTCTCTTATAAGCAGGTTACCACGTTGTGTATTTTCTTATCAACTCTTACTTTCAGTGCAAGCACACTGGTGTCTATTATACCCATTTGTCTGTTACATCAGTGTCTCTTATAAAAAAGTTCAACTGCACCTTGTAATGAATCAAATTTATTTTATTTTATTTTCCTCAAGGGTCCCTAACAGAAGGGACATTACATAAGGGGTGGACGTACAAGACATGGGTAAAGGCAAAGTGTGATGTGCAACAAAACAAAAACAAAAACAAATTTTAGGATATAGCTGAAGCAGCAAAAACAAACAAAAAAAAGAGAACAGGTACATTTGTTTGTGGACTCTAGATAAAAACATTTTACAGTGACAAAAGATACCACTTATAAGGTACAAAACATTGCCAAGTACACAAAATATACATACACGCCATACTAGGAAGATGACACTAGAAACCATTACACAAGAATCAGCATGGTAAGTCACACGAAAAGAAAAATATTACGGTTCAGTGATGGTTGACAGGGAATTTTTAAAGGCTTCTGCATCCTGAATGCTAACAATAGTATCCAGTAGGGTGTTCCATTCCTTAGCTGTCCGAATGAAGAAAGATTCGGCAAATGTGATAGTTTTGGGACGAGGGTAATGTAGTTTTGAAAGCACACTCATAAGCCCAAAGTGATTCAGTTGTTCCTCTTAGTGTGCATTTAACCCTTTCAGGCACCACCTACGAAGAACTGACTGCAGATATCTCTAATTTGCACATTATTCCACTGCACTGAATATTATTTTGCAATAGGAATCATGTCATATTGCAATGATTGATGTATTGTTATGGTAATTTCTAATCCTAATTCGCAATTCAGTATGTGTTTGTCCTAGACAATCACGATCTGTTTTGAGATATAGAATCAAATCTCTGGCTAGAAATACTAGTGTGAAATTCCAGTTTCCACAATGTGCATTTCCAGTGAAAAAAATTATACTTTCCACATAGCTTGCAGGAAGTGGCACATCGAATGGCTTCTTGAACATGGCAGTGCTTTCGTTGAAGTGATGATATGCTATAGTACACTTCACTGTGCAGTTAAAACAACGACACATTTATTGAACTGGAGGTTCAGTTCCACCGAACCTCAGTGGATCTTGCTTCTTCTTAGTCGCTTAGTTTGGACATCTGGCAGCGAGAACACAATCTGTGCTCAAATGTGTACAGGGTAGGCTTGTGCAAGTATTGAATATTAGGTTCAAAACAAATAGTGGTTTTGGTGAAACAATTTTGAATTCCATTTGAATAGTGTATATATCGCATATCGTAAAGAAAAAAATGGGCATAATTGTCATTACCCCACTAACCTACCTAATATTTTCGAGAATTTGAAACAAGGCCTGGCTGGGCAAATGCCATTTCTATGCATCGGAGAAAGTGGAAACAACTTTAAATAGCAGCAGGATTTGACTTTCTGTAAAATTCTACTGATAGCTTGTAGTAACATATGTTACTTTGTAAAATTTTCTATACTTATAGCATGTAAGTCGGTATAAGAAGCTTTTAAACGTAAAGAATGAATCGATGTGAGAATCATTTCATTTAGCTTTTCTTTAATAGGAAGGTCACATCAATGCATATTTCCCCTGGATATGTGTTTTCAAGGCTTAGCACCATTTCACTGCCATGAAACTATTACAGGGGGGTTACATGCGAACTAATATACACCTAAGTAGGTGCTTTCACGGCTTAGCACCACTCTACCGCAGTGAGACTGCCTTTACACTAATATGCATTTATTCGTTCGTTTGAAATAATTTGAAAGTTTCAAATTTAAATTTGATTAGAAGCGAATTCAAATACTGCATTATTCGTTCAAACATTCGAATATTAGCACAAGCCTAGTAAAAAGTGTATCGAATAAACACTACCTTGCCAGTTTTTTTGAGGTAAGTCCAGTGTGCCGAGCTGTTGACACGCTGCGCACTTTTCCAGCCGGACTCGGAGGAGGGCAACGAAATGGTTTTCTGCGACCAGTGTGACCTGTGTGTGCATCAGGCCTGCTACGGCATCCAGCGGATCCCGGAAGGGTCGTGGGTGTGCCGGACCTGTGCCCTGGGCATAAGACCTCCCTGCATGCTGTGCCCCACCCGAGGTGGTGCCATGAAGAGCACACGGTCAGTGTACTTGGGGTCTGCATGTTTAACAAGTCTGTGTGCTTGCACATGTTCTGCGCTCCAGTGTTTCGTTGGCCATGAGCGCTTTTGAGTGCGAAAGGCGTTCTTTTTTGGCCAGCACAGACAATCCAGGTGATGGTATGACACTACTCCCAGCCACACATGAGCACCTGCATGTTCGTGAGGGAGTGTTGTCAGCATATGCATATCTACACGTGACAAATGTAAAGTGAACTCTCATTGAATGAACAGAACATTTGAAGGTGCCAAAAAAATATTCAGGAGTTTCGTTTACCGGGATATAAGCAAAAGTGTGAAATTTGTCAGAATCACTAGTTCCAGTGACTTGTAAGCAGCAGTGCCATTTGCCATGCTTGCACAATAAATATAGCATTCAGATTTCTGTGAATGTTACAATCGGGGGGTGTGCTTAAATTGCGCAAATTGTGCAATTACAGTACCGAGAGTCTGCTGTAAAAACTGTATTTACTAGCATAATCCTCACTTTATTTTTGCAAAGAACTGATGAAAAGTTGAAGTGTGTAAAAGATACAATGGTAAAATTTTCCACGAAACTGCACAGAGTACAAAAAAATAAACTGAACCCAATAAAGCAGCCGCAAATTCGTGTTCTCATGCCAACAACCAACTACAAGCTTTTAGAAGTACAAATGAAGACTTACCTTAATAAAACCACAGATTGCAACACATAGCAAGCGTTATTTGCAGATTCTAAAGCCCTAAGCAAATACAATAAAACCTCATTATTTCCAAGTCACTGGAGCCATGAGAAATCTTCGAATTAAGCGAGTTTTTGAATTAACAGAACATACAAACAGTGGGATGCAAAGAAGTTGGAATTATCTGAAGTATTCAGGGCTGGTCGTTTGCTGCGCTGACTAGTTTACAGCTTCAAGGGTTATGTTTTCCAGCAATCCTAATTTTGCCGCAAACACAGGTGCTGTCACCAAGGAAGAAAGAGGGGGAGTTGTGATCCATTGAAATGCGCGTCTGTTTTCAAGACATCATCACTGCAACACGGCCATGGAGGAAGAAAAACTGAGGAGAGGCCCTGACGTCACTCATGAAGCCGTGGTAAAGCCGGAAGTTGGCCATATTGACTGGGCAAAAAAAGTTATTTCTTGAGACGCTGGTCCAGCCCGACATCGATGGCGAAGTCTTTTCGACCGAGTTCTAACAGCGAGCAACGGCTCGCTGACAACGAAGCAAACACAAGAGAACACGCGCTAGATTCACTGACGACGACGAATGTGGTTTCAGTGTTTTCATTGCATTAATTCACGCACTGCACAGATAACACGATCGGCAGTGCACCGCCTTCAAATGGTCAGCGCCGCCTTGACGCGGCCGATGCGGCCCCCGGCCACCGTATCTATGTTCCACGTAAAACTCACCGGCGTAAGCATTGTGCAACCGCTGTGACTTAATTTGAGCATGGTGCAAGTGACACTTGAATGCAGTTGCTCTAACCGATGAGAGAAGAATGCTGGGGGCGAGCATAGTAAGCGAAGACAGAAAATGTATTTTATTATGCACATGAAAGTTGTTACTGTACACATATTGAACGCGAAATTACGCATATCGTCCTCGTTGGTGTCTTTCTGGGCACAAAAGTTTCGTCCATTGTCACAAGCAGGAACACTGCACAGCCGTCACTGACCTGCAAGGCATTCGTCATGGTTCCGTTTTGTCTTGGTGCCCAAATGCAACTTCACTGAACACTTCAAATACTTCATCCCCCACACAGCACATGATATGTGCTCGTTCTACATACTGTTGAGGCCCAGTGGCTTACAAATGGCTTTGTAAATGTTGCTAAGCTTACAATAACTATCGGTAGAACACTGCGTAATTAACAACGCGACACAGAGCACGGATATTGTCCGCTGCGGCTCGATACGGGACCTACAAAGGTGCACATGCCGCCACCAGCCGCCGCCGCTCACTGCTAGACCAGCTACGCTGCACAGCACGTAACCATACCATGGAAACGCCGCTATTGTGTCCAGTGTATATGGCCGCCATGGCATCATTTCCGCCACACTGTTCATGTAGCGCGCCAGGCTGGGCATGCCCTCACTTGTCATTCCTTTCTCCGTAAACACAGGCAGTTTCACGCGGGCAGCATGTCGCCTGCTCCTCGCTGCGTCAGTATGTCATTGAAGATGATTCGCCAATTTTTTCTCTTAAAATAAAAGATTTAATAATGGCCAGTGAGACGAAATTCGCCGTGTGTTTCAGCTGAAAAACACAATCACTGAAGTTATCGAACTTTGTTGTGTAAGTGGAAATCACAGGCAAGAGCTCTGCCAGTAATGCAAGTGCGCAAATTGTTGGAGCAACTAGCAATCGAAAATTTGCATACATCGTTAACTTTGCCAAACTGTCCTTCATTAATTTCCTTATATTCCCAGAAAGAATGGGTAAATCATGACATGCTGATGTTGCCAGAAGCATGCAACATGTTGTCTGCGCATCACCTCTATGTTACAGCGAAGCACGTCTTGTTTTCCGTCAAGAAGTGCCACTTCAACCTGCGAATATTTTCCATTCTTGGGCCCACAGAAGGCCTGACGCGTCTTGTTGGTGGCTTTCAGCTGCTTGTGCTGCATGATCAATCTTTTTCAACTTGAAAGCAGCCATGTAGCTTTCGTATTGACCCATAGCATAACCACAAAACGGACGCAACAATGTACACTACACGGACTAGTGCTACCGCACTGCTAACACTCTTCTACGCTCCTCCATGCATACTTACGACTTGTAGCTTGGCATGGCTTGGCTTGGATTAAATTAGGGCTGCGGGTGTTGATAGTATACATGATGTTTAAAAGTGGACACTAGGCTGTGATGCACTATCATCATCAGTGCCTAGAAGTAGCAGACAACATAACTGCTGCAATTTTCGGGGGTACAAGAATTATGCTAGTGTGAGAATTACGCAGGTAAATACGATAAACATGTTCACAATGTTCAGACTACAGGATTTATATTCTGAGTCTCTGTTTCTGAAGATCAACCCACTAATCACTGCGCCACAGGCATGCGCTACACAAGGCAGTATAGAACTTGTTCAAGAATGTCCAGCATGCAACACCAGAGGAGTATCGTTGAGTCACTGTTATGTTATTTGCATTGACAACAATAACAGTACCATTCAATTATGCTTCAATTTTTTGCTTCAGATTGCGAGATCGTTACCGCTTTGCGTATCTAATTCCTTCAGGAGCGGCCAGAAATGGGCTCATGTGAGCTGTGCGCTGTGGATCCCAGAAGTTAGCATTGGCTGTGTTGAAAAGATGGAGCCCATCATGAAAATATCTCAGATCCCGGTGAGCTTTAGGTGATATTTTCCCTTTTTAGTACTATTCACTGAGCAGTGTTACTGTGTCTAATTGCCATGCTGTGCTTTGCATCCAGCCTAGTCGTTGGGCCTTGACCTGTTGCCTTTGTCGAGAGCGGATTGGCGCCTGCATTCAGTGTTCCGTAAGTGCGGCAATATCTTTCTTCTTGTTCTTTCCAAACACCTACTGCTGAAGGTTTGCTGTATGCATAGAAAGTGTTGTTGTGTGGGAAGTAAATAGGTGCGATTTTGCATTATGATCGAATTCATTATGCTGATATAACTGAAATTGGTTTAGAGCTATTTGTTACAATTTATTAGTTACAACTCTCAATAGCCTCTTGATGTCATCCACAATTTAATTACTCAGATTCAGTTTGTAAAAGTTTTTTTGCTCACACATATTCACAAAGGTGCAATTAAGACTTACCTCAACAGTGTAACCAGAGGTTCAGCTCAAAGCGAAATTCATTTGCCGACACTAAAGCCACTGTCTCAAGAGTCTTTGTGTGATGACCCTTGACGTAATCAAGATGCGCCGCCTCAACCTGTGGGTACTTTCCAGTGTTAGGCCCACTTAAGACCCGACACGGCTTGCTGGTGGCTATTAGGTGCTCGTGCTTCTGTCAGCAGTAGCGAACACAAAACTCGTTGACTTCAAAGTGCCTGCCGGCGGCCTTGTTGATGTTTTGTGCATCATCAACCACTTTAAGCTTGAAAGCAGCCGTGTAGCTTCCGTATTAACCCGTCGCGTAACCACAGAACGGACACAACACACACTGCACGAACTAGCACTAATATGCCCTAATGAATACTTGCCATTTTGGTGTGGCTTAGATTGAATTAGAGTTTTGTGCTTTGATGGTTGACAGCTTGTGCTTGAAAGTCCAGACAATGGACCATCAGTTCGGTGACTTTCCAAGAAATAAGTACCGTATTTACACGATTGTAAGACGACTCGAATGTAAGACGACCCCCCCAAAATCGCATCTCAAAAAAAAAAAAAGAATGCGCGCATTTTACACAAGGGAAATTTATTCACGTGGTTGCGGAGGATTATTCATCGTCGCTGGAGTCGTCCTCGCTGGTGCTGCTGCCGTCATTGCTGCTGCAGTCCCACAGCACGTCGTCGTCAAGTGTGAGTCCACACTTCGCGAACGACCGCACCACGGCATCGCGTGGGACGGCCGCCCATGCGGAGAGGACCGATTCCGAACTTCCGTCCTGCTGCACAGTTGTTGGTTTCCTTCGCATGAAGAATAGCAGCCCGCTTAAACGCTGCCGCAAACGAGCGCCGAGTGTTCTTCGAGCCTACGGCACTCATGTCAGACAGAAGTGACTCGAGAGAGCCCGTCGTGGACACAAGCGACAGGAGCACGCGGCGACGCGCCCGCTTAGAAAATTGTATCACAAAAAGGAGCTCTTCCGTCAACTACCAGTACCCCCCTACGGCGGCTCTTCCATCGATTACCGGTGCTCCCTCAAGAGCCGTGCGCTCGTCATAAAGGCACTCGTAATGCGCGCAGTAGATGCTAAAAAAAGAAAAGCTTTTGTATAAGCACGCGGAAAACTATGCGCTTTGGGTTGAGCGGGAAACTATTCGAGATGACAATACATGGTTCGATTTTGACTCTAAGACGACCCCCCAACATTGGATTGTCAAATTTGAAAAAAAGGGTCGTCTTACAATCGTGTAAGTACGGTAATAAAACATTTTTTTTTTTTGTTCTGATATAGCTGTTGAACAACGAAACTGCGATAATGAAGCTGAAAGAAAACAGTTCTTCCAAAGTAAAGAAACAGCTAAGAAGAGGGCTGGTTTTATTTTCATTGAAGAAAAATGGCTCTTTAGCTATCCTGATCTCATTGCAGTCTCTTCTGTACAATAATTAAACATGGCAATTAAACTACATCTGTTATTTATTGAAATAAACTGATGAAATTTGGCACACCAATGTGATTTGTTATGCTGATATCGTTTATGAAATCGGTTATGTTTTATGGTTTTATAGTCATGACATTTAATAGATCTTTATAATTATCACTTAATTAATTGGTTAATTAGACACAATTTGGGTAGCTTATTTGCTTTAACATATTCAGCAAGGTCCACTGTGCACCTTAATGCTATTCATTAATTTTTTCTGCCCCTTGTCATCCGTGTACCATCGTAAATGACATCAATGTTCCCTATATTTGACGCACCTTCTCTGCTGTTGCAAGAAGATGCAGTGGCAGGGTACAACTTGTGATGTAGTCCCCTATGGGAAATGTCCATGTGAGAAAAACTATCATTCAGTGCAATTCGATTTTTGCCCACTGACTGCACAGCTCTCACTGCACGAACATTCACCTCAAATGGTTTTACATGCTGAGGACCAGCACATCTTGGCGATGACTCTTTGCTTATTATTTCACAGTGGTCACATAGCATTTCCAATTCATATTGCGAGCCCTAGAAAGTGTCCAGTTTCAAAATGAACTGAGGCCCTTCCACACTGGTGGCAGCAACATCTGGACAGCAGCTTATTAATCATCACATGGTGGGCTATAAAAAAATGAGGCCTCAGAAACAATACCATCGTCACTTTCACCATCATTTAGAAGTTCAATTTCCTTTTTGTGGCCGGGGTAGCAGACAATGCATTGAAAGCGTACGCTCGCGTTTTTATTCATCGCACAATCTCTTTAGTTGGAGTTGGAGCCGAAATTCACTGCTGAATACTCGAGGTGCGAACATCTACGGTTGCTGGTGCCCTGTTGTTGTTCACAGAAGTGCAGTCACCACTGCTCGTGGACGGATCAACACCATGCGCAGATCTGTAAACTCGGCCCGCAGACTCATGAACAATGTACGCGGGCGGAGTCGTCGACACTACACGTGAGCAAGCGCTGGACGCATCATCAATGTGGAACGTGCCGGACACAACAACCAGAGTTTGCTGTTCAAAGATTCTGCAGCATTTTGGATCTTTCCTTAAAAAATACAGTGTACCAGCAACTTTTTATCATTGAGGCGCTTGTAAATGGGAAGCAAAGCCAATCCTTGATCAAGATTAGCGTGTGGTCGGGTTGGGCCTCCCTTAAGGGCTTCGGCTCGCCTATGCTTGCACCAGAAAGTCACCCCTTCTGGACAGTATCATCATCATCATTTATTTTCTCCTAGGTGCCTCTGATGGGGTATCGGTGGCTGCCTGCACTGTTGCTCGATGATGAGCGGAAGTACGAGGCCCAGATAGCACGATGCATTTTCAGAATATCACCTCTGTTATTTCTGATTGTAATACTGCAATAGTTCTGCAGTTTCTGAATTGTGCCATCTGTCAGCTTTTCTCCTCGCGGAAGTCGTGTTGGCAGTTTCTGAAGAGCAGTGCCTAGACGCTTGGCCACATGGTTTGTGCACTCCTCCTTGTCCACGAAAACTTCACCATATACATTGGCCTCAGCGACAGCGATGTAAGCTTTGCTGTCCCCATCACTGAGGAACTTGGTGAAGCGCAATGGTGTTGTGTATGAGGGTGTCCTGCCTCATATGCGCAAAGCTGCCTCAGTCTCCTAGGCATGAGAGAGCACTCTTTTTTTTTTTTTTTTTCGCAGCCAAGAGTGTGGAATGCTTGCCATATTTCTTCCTCGGCACCCAAGTCATGGTGCCGACTACAGGCGAAGCAGTAATTCGACAGTACCTCACACTCTAGGCACAAACCAGTGTCCACAGACACAGCAGTGCCTATGCCATTGTGGCTCTTGCGCCCTCTCTTTTGCCATGTGCCTTCATACATGACAGCAACATCAGCCCCATTTACTTTCTCTTTAGTTATCATTCTCACCTTCGCCAGGTTTTCTTGCACAGCTTTGGTAGCTGCAGCATGAACTTTTTTGCCGATTGCAATAAAAGTCTTGTCATGCATGGGTGTTGGTAGTCCAAGAATAGCGCAAAAACTTGACAGCTGTTCATGCCCGATGCCTATTGCACGCGCAGCCACAACCACCTTCACATTGACGGCGAAGCAGTAGCGCGAGCTGCCGCTTCGGTAGTTCCAGTCATCACCGGCATCGGTGGGCTGTCCTTCCGGCACAACACGCCGCAAACTATGCGCAGCAGAATCCACAGACTCAGGACACTCACTGTTATTGCAGCACAGATTAAGGAACGAAGAGAGGCCCTTGCATTTACTTGCGGTGTCGCGGACGACGAGTCCAGCGGTATGGCATGTTGGAAAAACAGCACGGCTTACCATTGATGTCAGTACGCCGATGTCACAAAGTACTCCGCTCACAGAACCACCAACACTCTTTCTTCTCTCGCTCTCGAGGTGTTCAATTTTTTTTCCAATGCGCTTATGAACTTGATCGCAGCATCAATTTCGTCGAAGTCCCCACAATCCGCCGAATCTCCCGAAGTTGCGAATTCACACATGTGACGGCTATCTCCGCTGCCTTGATTAGGCCTAGTGGCTGGCGGCTCGCATTCTTCTACCGCTGCTTTGCGCTTCGGTTTACGTTGACACCCTCGGTACTTGTTCTTGCTTGCAAACTTCCGTGCTCGAAAGTCTCGCTTCTTCAAGTGATCCATGGCAGATTCAGAAAAACGTCGAAACGCTTAGCAAGTGCCGATTGTCGCAAGCGCTCAGCGAGCGGGGTCGATCAGATGTAGCCAATGGCGGCCTCGGCAGCGTACCATGTGACCAGTCGAGATGCCCGAATCGGCTGCAGCTTAACTGAAAACCAACTTGAAAACGACTGTTTTGTGAAATTCCTTGCCAAAATGCGAAACTGGGGGATGCCTGTTCACTGGAAGGAGGCTTGATCTACGTCACCAAAGAAACCGCAATGGCGGACGTCATCGTGTTGCCGAGTGGTGGATTTTCAAAAATAGCCGTCGCATGCGTGAATTCGCGACTTCAGGGGCTACCTTCACTAACGCAGATCGATTTTTTACCACTTTCTCGTCCAAATTCAGCTGTGACATTTGGGGAAATGATAGTTGAATGATCAAAGAGATTTTAGAACAATCATCTCATAAGTGGAAATTTTCGCAAAAAACTCGATTTTTCGACCCGCATCTCTCCTTAAGATAGTAATTCCAAGAACAGTTTCATAATCATTGGATGGAACTGCATTATAGTGGTGTAGCGTACATGCTCAGAGTAACCATCACTACACAATTGCTGCTTTGGCTTTACCAGATTTCAGCGGCCTTCTCCAGCATTGTCTTGCATCTGCGATTACACAAGCAATGAGTAACAGCTTCATTGACTGCACCCTTCACGGCTGTTACATTATTTGGTGTGCCAAGATTTCCTCCTAACTGTTCTTGCAGGTGAAGGCTTGCAAGCGGGCTTACCACGTCACCTGTGCATTTGAGAACGGCCTTGATATGAAACCCATCATTGATGACAACACTGTTGACGAGGTTAAGCTCAAGGTAAGTTTATTTCTTGGTAAAACCCAAGTTTTTGACTAAAGAAAAAATAAGCGGCTGGGGAGGTGTCATGACCGTTGAAGGTTTTTAGGCCCCAAAACAACAATATGATTATGGTGAACGCTGTATTGAAGGACTCCAGGAATTTTGACCATGTGGATTCACCTAAATCGAAGTATGCAAGCCACTAATGTTTCACTTCCATGAAAATGTGGCCACTGTGGCAGGGATTCTATCCAGTAGCGTGCCTGTCAGTATTTAAGTGCCATGGCTACTAAACCACCACAGCAGGTTGGGTGTTTTGCCATAGGGTCCCAAAGCAGCACTTGGTGGCGCTGTGACTCTGGACAGGCAGAGCTTTTTCTAGCAAAAAGACGGAGATTGACGATGTACGTCACGCCTTTTCCGATCTTTCCGCCACGCTGCAGCTCCCTTCTGTGCATATGTAGAGCTCTCGCGCACCCCTCGAAAAATATCTCCCAGCTGGACAGGCTCTTTGAAAAGCGAACGTAATAAAGAAGTCAGAAAAGTTTATTTGCATTTCTGAAGTCTGCAACGTTACCGTGTACAATAAGTCGAAGTAAGCTTCCTTTTGTCATACGTTAAATATACTTGATGGTCTATATGCAGTGCAAAATAAAGCCATGCACGCAATTGATGTTCCACGTTGTTGGCAGTGAAAAACGTGATTGTTGTTTCTATGTGCATGCTGGCAGTAGCAGACGCATGCTGTCCTGAACAAACGTTCGCGGCATGCGGAAAGATGCAAAGATGACACGGTCATAGCAGTAAAAAGCCTGATAAGGCTATAGGGTCATGCCTTCCATACCACTGGAGCATCATCCGTTGACCTAGCTGCGAGGCAGCTAGCTTAGCTTTAATCGAGCGAAGCAAGTTGAACTGCTACCTTCGTGGTTTTTTTTTTTTTTTTTTTTTTGTTCTGTTCTGTCGTTGTGCTTGCACTTACATTTAACATTAAAATCGACTGTACTGGTGTATAAAGCCTGCTGTGCAAACGCGGCTGGGCGTGAGAGGTGCCGAATTTCAGGCTTGATGTGATATCTGGTTTGCGACGAGCTCGCGCAATTAGTGTGCACTGGAAGCACTCTATGGCGCGTAACACGCACGCACGCAGCGCGGGTGAAAAAAAGACGCACATCTCGAAATGTATTAAGTGTCCCATTGAATCAGCGGCTTGAATAAATACCACCCTAATGAAGCGACAAAAATAGAACAAACCGGCAAAGGGACGCGACAAAATGCGCAGACGTTCGTTCCGGCGCGATGATGCTGCCTTCTCGATGCATGTATTGCAGGCGGCAAAACTTAGAGGATGTGCGCAGTTCAGTTGAAAGCAACCAACGACGCAACGCTAACCACGGTATGAGTTATGCGAGTGTGAACATTCCACAACGATAGCTACGTGTCTCGCAAACACAAGCAATTGAAACACAAGGTTGTTTCAACATACAACCGTAACTGGACTGTCACAATGCATGCAGACAGCGAGCTATCATTACTGCAGTCGTTGCATGGACATGCCGTGTTATGTACTGATTCAGGTAGTAGAAACAAATGGTTTCAAGCGAATTGAGACAATTAAAATGGAAGGCGAGACAGAGCTAAAACTTACTTTGTTCTTTTAACTGTGGCGACCCACGCTTGTTTTCTTTCTCTCTCGTACGACTTCTGGCAATCGATAGTGCTACGGGTGGTTCACATGTCTTGGTACTGTCTGCACTCTCATGGCACAGAACAGTACTCCAGACCTCGCTGACGCTTTTGTATGATTGCTTCTGCCGTCGCGGAAAAGCAACGTTGAACAGCGAGCGTCTTGTTCCAGTGCGCCAATCTGACGGCATGGCGCCGCAGTTCCCCGCACCGACTCTAGAATGCATTCCGCACCCGCAGTGTTGAAACACACCGAAATCGCCTGCACCCTCTGCCGTGCTTATCCCTATTTCCCTGAGCTTGCTGCCAGAGTTTCAGCACGGTGTTGACATCGCTCCGCAACCGGCCAATTGAGATGGGCAGCATTAGAGGCAGCATCTGTGCACTACACCTTTTCTCGTGTAGCCGATTTGAACATGACATTTAAAGCTGACAGTCAGCTGGGAGGTGCAATTGCTCATGCTGACCCTGAAAAGCTTAGAGGGTACTGGCTTAAGATTTCGTGGATGGGATATCCTGTGGGATTGATGCCCGTGAAAATGCCCATACTCATGAACACTAATGCGTCAGCCCATAGTGACCATGTGGGGTGTTTCATGGAAATAACACTTGTAATTATTCACATGAGTATACTGATTAAGATATACATGACAAAGACAGTCATATGTGCTCGACGAGCCAGTTGCGAAAATTTCGTGGGCTGCATGTACGAGACTACAGCTCTAGACCGATGTCATTAGCCATTTGCTAAGTGATTTGAGAACATTGCCGAAGTGCACAGGTGAGACTATTTCTTTCACTGGCAACTGGTCATTGCGCTTCAGTCATCTGGATAGTGCCTCTTTAGCCTTTTGTATGGCAGCCAATAAAGCAAAGGAAAAAGTAATGCAATAGGCTCAACGTCATGATGCATGGTAAAGGAAGGAGAAAGAAAGCATTATTCTTTTGCTTATTCTGAATGGGCTTGAAAACCTAATTGTGGTGGAAGACTGGTAAAACAAAAAAGGTGTGTGAGGTCATCGTGGGGTAATTAAAAAGGTATTGAAGGGCCCCTTCAACACATGCAAGCAGGACAAAATGCACTGCTCAGTTACATATGTTCTCTCCCACAGTCGTTCTGCCCCAAGCACAGCAAGAAGAAGGAGGTGCACCGAAAGGAGGCGTCGTCGGATGACTCGGACAAGAAGGCAAGCTCTGTATCCCGGGAGGGCCACCACCAACGCGATACTGATGCCACCAACGAGGAAAAAGAGTCTGCCCGACTGGCCAAGTACGGCTTTCCACATTCACGTGTTCTGAAAGAGATGTGCGCTAAAAAACAAGGCAGGCAGTTTCCAAGCCTGTAGCATGTGCATTCCGAAAATGTTTGTATTCTGAACCTATCACTTACAAATTGCAGCATAGACCACTTATAACACAAGTCTCTGGTGTATTCTGAACCTATCACTTACAAATTGCAGCATAGACCACTTATAACACAAGTCTCTGGAGTTGCGAATATCTGCACTTTAAGCAGAACTGCTCTGTAACCAAGACACTTTTCAAAAGCTGCATGTGTCCAGAGAATGATGAAAAGGCAGCCGCACGATTCCAACAATTGAGGCACGCAACTCGTGTGTAAACTTGCATGGGCCTAAAATTTGCAAATGCTGACAGGTTACTTACACAAACCTGCCGTGCCAACATCACTATTGTGGAAGAGGGGGAAGGAGGGAGAAGTGCCGTTTCGAAAAGTCACCAACTGGCTCATCAGACCTCTTCATTTATGGAAACTCGGCTGTGGTACCACACTGCAAAAACTATATACAGTATAGACAGCTTACCACATAAGTCGCAAAACGTTTTTCAAGGGCCACAATAGGATGAAACGTGTTGAGCAAGCTGCCTCGCCTGTTTGAGAATCGAAGCAGGGATGCATAGTGCTTACAACTTTTTATGTTTCCGGATGTTAAAAAAAGTTTAATGTCTAAAGACACGTGTTGCCACAGAAATGAACACGAAAAGCGGGGAGGGGGGAAATCTAGCTAGAGAAAGTTCCATCGCAGAAATTCGCCATCTGCTTCTCAGACCACCTCTTTTGTAAGCATTGCATAGAATGTCGAATCACGTACAGAATTACCTGCTCTAAAAGACGTGCCAATCGTTCGATTTCAAAATGCAATCAAATCGCAAATCACCATTCGAGCGCTCCACATGCCTTCCTTGTTTTTATTATATTAAAGATATGCATTTTTTCCTGTCAAGTGCAGCCACTGCAAAGAGTATTGTTAATTCTATACCAAACCACAACTTAGATAGCACATGGTCGCTAACAAAACACAACCAACGTACGATTAGGCCTAGCCTGTCGTTGCGTATGTTGTCGCAGAAAGCTTGTCCAAGACCTGTAGATCCGACATCGAAAAGATTGCACTCAAGCAATAAACCAAGAACAGCGTTCGTGGTACGAAATTCGCGTTCGCAGCTGGAAGATCAACAGCGACGAAAACCCGCCAAGCTTCCGTCAGACAGCGCACCGGCAGCAAAGGCGAAATCTCACGTCATAAATCCGTAAAAAGTTTTAAATTTACCGATGAGGTAGCAGACGTGACATTTGTAGCAAGCACGATAACGACGACACTGTTCTCGACAGAAAACTGTTAAGCGGAGTTGATAAAGACGATATTGCACATGCCATGTGGAGACGCGCGCGGCCTGAGCCACGCGAGCGACGCTTACACACTGTAGTATAGCCGCCTCGGTGCCGATGCAGCTATACAGTGTGTAAGCATCGCTAGCGCGGCTCTGGCAGCTAGCGATCTTTTTCCTTTTTTTTTTTCGCTTTTTCTTCTTTTTGTCTTCTGTTTGTTAATATCCACATTCCCTCCTCTTTGGTGACGACCTCGTCGATCGCTCCCCAGCGGCACCAGCAGCGCGCCTCCTTTCAGACACGTGTTCACTACCATGATCGTCACAAAGATTTTCCAGCGACCACATTATAAGAGGTCTTTCATCTTGTGGGACTGCGCAAGAAGTGGTATGCGTATTCATGGGTTTCTATGGGCAGGTGAACGGGAGTGAAAAAAGACCGCATTGCAACTGGTTTTGCACTCTAAACGGTTGTGTTAGAAGTGGTCTACCTTGTCGTCATATAATTCATGCTTTCAATTTTCTGGGTGTATGCACAATGTTGAAAACAGTGATGACCACAAACCGCGACTATAGTGTTGCACGTGCACATTCCCGTTTCTATTGAAAATCGGTCACCTCTTTCAAATGAAACAACTGCACAATGTCTTGCTGACATGGTGGCATACTACAACTTGTATATTCCTCAGCCAATACTGACACCGTCACGCATGCCGTCACTGGAAGCTTGCCCAGGTCAGCACGAAAATCAGGCGTAGGATATATCTCGCACACAAGCTAGAGCATTGTCATCTTTGGAGGAATCGAGGTTGCATACACAATGGCTGCACTCTATGATGATGCAACTATTTTCCTGACAAAGAGTTAAGCCAAACAGTGGTAACACGCACCTGATGAGCAGTTGGAGGTGAAGGAGGCAAAGGCTTTTACCGTCGTTAAGGGTAACAGCTCCCACTCCGGCACTGTGCATTCACGGCATGCTGTTTTTCTGAGGACACCAGCATATCGGGAAAAAAAATGGAATTCTCCTATGAGCTCTTCTATATTTTTGTAATGCTGCATCAGGCAGAATGATCTTAAAATTCCGTTTTGAAGTATATGAATCTCACTGACAGAGGTATGCTTGCCTCATCTGGCTTGTTCTAACTGACCAAGCTAGGATATAAGACATATAAACTTTCGACTAAATTCCCGTCAATTGGCCAGAACACAGAGAGTAGTTATTCTCTCAGTAACGGTTTTCAATTACCACAACTGTACCCCATGTTAATATGCAGCATTAAACAACGATCGCTCCGAAAATGCACTTTACGTAATTCACGCTTTGCTTTGCAAGTATAATTTACATTAAATGGGTCTTTGCTGCTTTTGTTTCTTTTTGTTTTCAGGATTCAGGCTATTGAAGCCGAATTCTACAAGCACGTGAGCATGAAGGAGACAGCAGAAGCCATGTCAACAGACCCTGTGATCGTTGACTTTGTCTTCAACTATTGGAAATTGAAGCGCAAGGTAAGTGCCCTGCTCTCCAGAATTTTTAATTCTATTTATTTTTATTATTATTTTCTTGTAGTCCTTTGCTCTTCTGTGCTATTCTTGACAGCTTATGTCAATGTCGAGCAACTTTCCAGCTGTCTTCAAACCTCCGAGCTTAGTATTGACAAGAAACTTCTGCTCCTTGTGCAGTGTTTGTGTGCTCCCAGTCCCCTACCCCACTTACCTTCTCAACCCTGCCCCCCCCCCCCCCTCCATCCCCCAAAGTGGCACGCAGTTGTGGTGTCCTCGCCTGAGAGACAGTTACTCAAGGGTGGAGGTGCTGCACCAATTTCACCATTCTGCGCCAATTCGACCTGCTGCGCATAAATGGAAATTGCCCTGATAATTGTCGATCGGAAGTGTAAACTCCCGAGTCTAGCCGATTATTATCGATGACCAAGCAACACTGAGCATTGTCTACACTAAGGACGCGGCCGCAGTATCCACATCTAGTGGAGTTCGATCACATTGTAATTCAGTTTATTCATTTAACTCTCACTGCTTTTATCGCAGTGGTTTCCCTGCAAATGTGGTGGCACCAACAGAAGAAACTTATTATTTAATAATACAGTGCAACCTCGATGGTTTGTGCGAGTCGGCAACACGGCACGATCATGCTCTAAACGTCAGTGCGCGTATAGAAGTGCAAATGTGCATCTTTCAACGTGCCCCATCACAACCTCTAAACAAATACAGTACAGTGAAACATCGTTAAACAGTAGTTGGCCGGAGCTCGGAAAAAGTACCTACTAAACGGCAGTACTGCTTAACCGAAATAGCGTCAGGTCGCTCACTTACCTGTCAAAAAAAGAAACCTTCAGGTAGTGCGATGAAAGAACAAAAAAACCTGCAGTAATTTATTAATTTCGCGTGACAAAGTCTGTAATATTTATTTGACGACGCGGCGGCCTAGCAGCAACAACAGCGCCCTCAAACTCACTTATGCTGTGAGCCAGCTTTTCCGCCAGCCCTCTCTTCTCGGCAAATACCAGCATTCATCCATATTAAGGGGAGACACTGGTCTGAAATTTTTTTTTTTTTAATTTTCAGTATTTCGAGCTGAAATTTTAATACAATATGTATTTTTCACAGCTGAAAACAAATATGCAATTAGTTTTTGCTATCACTTTTAGATTTTTAAATATTGACTGTTACATGAACTTGCATTCTGCCCGGCCTTTTGACATCTTCCTCATAAAATATTGCTACAAATTTGATATGACAGCATTCCATGAAGGCCAGGGAGTGCAACAAAACCATAATTTTATTTTTAGCTTCATTGGTACCAGAGTTATGGCCTTAACAAGTATACTCATTAGAAATCTGAAACTGTTGATTAAGTTTGTTGCTAATTAAATCACTATTGTAAATAAAATATTACATTTTTTTTTGTTTTCTTGCACTAATCAATGTATAAGCTTTCAAATGCTGCAAGAATTATCAAAATCCGACTGCTACATCAAAAGATACTGTGGGCAATGGCTTAGGGTGTGATGAAAAATGTTGTTTTGAGAAAACGAGAAAAGAAGTTTAGGAACATGCTGAGCACTTATATTTAACAAGAAAAGGTGTGAATCGGTGTATTAACCATGTTAGAAGCCACCAGGAATGAGTCATCATCAATCTCCTTGGTGCGCTTTCTTTTCATGGCATGCTTGAAGTTTTCAGCATGCTCATGCTTCTCCGATGCCACTAGTCGGCGACTGTCCTTTTCTGAGCATCTTTCAGCGGCCACAACACTCTGCTGCAGGTGCAGCTCCTTCAATATGCTCTCCCTATGCTTCAATATGCTCTCCCTTTGCCAGCGTTGAACCTTGCGACAGCTTCGGCCAGAGCAGCTTCAACGGTGAAAAGCGACGCGTGTTTGTTTTTGGACACGAGCGACTAGATGACGGAGTGCAGGCTCTCATTTGGGTTCTGTGTTTTGCCTCGCTGACAACGCTCCAGCAATTTCTTGTCAGAGAGGCGCCTGTAAATAGGCCGCAAGGCATCAACCGCATACTCCGGCAGGTTGTAGCGATGATTCGGAGGAGTCTCCTGCTTGGCAACAGCCTTGTTGTACTTGCACCATGACTCTTCACCAGTTGGGCAGTGAGAGTGCTGAGGGCTTGCATCAGTAGATGCTACGTGATAAAAGGTTGCCCAGACAGCATTATTCATGGCCTCAATGCTTCCTTGGTTGCTTTGTAAAGCCCATCCATAATATGACGTGAGCTTAGTGACCAGCTCGCCTGTCAGTTTGCCCTTGCCACCAAGGCTTGGCTTTCCTTCGGCTCTTTGTTTTTGCAGGAGGTTTCGAAGTGCTGTGCCCATGCGCTTATGCCTATGGTTGACACAGTCCTCTTTTTCTATTGGCACAAAGCCATATACCTGTGCCTCCTGCAGACTGTTGAAGGTCCGGCTGTCTCCATCACACAACATGGTTGTGTAGCAGAGCCCATGTCTCTCCAATGAGCGGCCAAATAAAATTTGTGCTGCTTCCACCTCCATTTGTCCTGGCTTACTGGAGGTATTCTTTTGGCAAGTGTGACCAGCTAGCAACTCGGCATACCTTGGGTTGTCCTCCTTCGGCCCTCGCTGGCAGCCCAAACAAAAGTTCGATAGGACGACGAAGTCGAGCACATAACCCGTGAATAGTTCAATCACGGTCCCTACACAAATATGGGATGAGTGGCCCCTGGTCAGCCAAGTCCCATCAAAGGAAACGGCGATATTTCCAGGATTTCCATAGTTGAGTTCGGAATACACTGTTTTCACGGTGCTCGCGCAGTCGTCAATAACGGGCGCGGCAGCCTTCTGCGCGGCAGGGTTCATTTTCAATTTCACATAATCCTGGTATGTCTTGGTGTGCAGGCCTCTCCGTGAAATATTTAGGGCGGAAAAAATATCGTTATGCGCAGTTTGCCCGTTTCCTGTGCTCATTGCTGCGCGAACCGCGAGCACGTTAATTTCAAAGGGGCCGTGCGCTGCGTCCCCCCCTGCTCTCGGCGAGCTCCATACGGTCCTCAGTTTACCGCACTCGTCACATGTGAGAACAAGTTTCGCTGCTATGCCATATTCACGGTCTTCCTTGGAAATTCTGCCAGGCCCGCCACATACACCGCACTTCATACACTGAAGAAGTTCGTTGACCAACTTTAAGCTAACGATGGTGAACGACGTACCAGGTGTTGCGGCTCCATCCGAGTCTCGAAAAAAAGACCGCTTGCGTTTTATGGCAGACTTCGATGAAAGATCTTGCAGAACATCGCTCGCACGACACTCGATGGCCACTTTTTCAGCAACGGAAACCAGGGGAGTGTCGACGCGCACAGCTCTCGTGTGATCTTGGGACGCGGCTATCACGTCCGCGATCGCGGGTGCCGCGGCGGTGATAGCGCTGGCACAGCCTGCTTCTTCCGAGTTCTCGGCGGCAAAAGCTCTCGCTGCTGATAAGTTGCGGGCTCTCGGACGCCGTTTTCGCCCTTTTCCGAACGCATGAGCACTCCGGAACTTCCGATGACCGCCTGCCATTGCACCGAATGCACAGCCGTTGTTAGGCCTCTACGCAAAATAGCGGCTTGCACGCCGCTGTCTAGCAAATGAATCCCTTCGCGTCCAATAGGAAAACCGGGAACTGCCCCACGTGACAAAAACGCACCAATTACGTGCGAGTATTCAGTTTTTCTTTATGCGCGATAGCTGCGTTGTTGCTAGACGAAAAACGTTCTTCTGCTAGGAACAGATAATAGAAAAATGAGTCTTTAAAAATGAGAACAAAATGGCCGCGCTACTTGGTGCGGTTCTCGCGTGCTGCGGCGTTGAATACGACTGTTTTTGAGGTGGTTTCGGAAGCGAAAATGGTAATCGAACTGACTTTGCGACCCAATAACTCGACAAATACGCATTACAGGGCTATAATATTTTAGGAACAGCTTCCTTAGACCTTAATGATCATGAAAAAAAAACATCAAAAAGTCGGTTTTTCGGAAAATTTTCGGCCTCCCATACCCGTGTCTCCCCTTAACGATGTCATCAGGTGTGTAGTCTTCCAAGATGTTCTTCAGCTGACCATTTTGCCACTACTCCGCGCCATCTACGTCAGCAGCAGCACCTTCCCCGAAACAATCCTCGTGGTAATGCCGTGCCTCGCCTTAAATCTGCCCAGCCAGCCATTGCTGCACACAAAGTTGTCATGGTTTAGCTGCGAGGCAAAACCCAGGGCCTTCTCCACGAGCAAGGGTCCGCTGATAGGCAGATTTTTTGACCGTGCAGCTTTTAGCCACTTTACCAGCACCTTTTCGCAGTTGCAGCAGCACTGCCGAGCAACTTTTCTCTGGAATTCCAAATTCCACACACCGTAGTTAACGGCAGGCCCTTTTCGCGTGCCAGCGCCGATTTTTTCTTGCCACTTTCAATAGCACGAATTATGTCCAATTTCTCCTTTATTTTCAGCACTCGATGCTTTTGTCCCAGCTTCGGCATGACGCAAGTACGAAGCAGCACAAGCACACATACACAACACGTGAAAAACGACGCAAGAGCTGTACGGCACGGATCAACCAGAGAACACCTATGCACGGCGCCAAAGGAACAAAGAAAGCAAAGCAAGCGCACACCGTGTTTGCGTGTTTGTGCAAAGCGCCATAGCCTGGACAACACCAGAAGCCTAGCCGGCCGAGTGCTTCTTGTTGCAGAAAAATCCAAGACATGGCGCTCACCAACGCAGCCGCCATCATCATCAACACAAACAAGCGAGGCGTGTTTCGATCTCTGGGGCTTGCTGTTCTGTCGGGACGTCCAGTTGGGGACAACATGCTGCGGCAAGAGGGCAATGAAAATTGGAAAAACTGCTTATTAACCTATACATACACAATAAGCTGGCACGGCTTATGCGGATACAAAATGCATTATGTTAAATGGTCGCCGAGTCGGGGATTTGACTTCACTACTTTTAAAACGAAACTACTGTTTATGCGGGTACGGTTTAACGAGGTTTCACTGTACCACAGCAGATGTTGCCCAAAGTACCTACCACAAAACCTTTCTTCTTTTTTGCCAGAGTGTGGAAAAGACCATACGTGGCTGGCACTTTTTCACGATTGCTTTATCGCGTGCAGTGGCGCCGCCAAGAAGCATTTCTAAACTATTACAGGATCCGGGATACGCAGTGACTGAAACAGCGACAGAACGGACACTGTTGGCTTTCCGCGATACATGTGTGCGTTCTTTATCGCGATATGATTCTAAGCGACAATTGACAGTTTCATTGAAACACAGAGCAGTCGCGTGTACTCGGACCATCCCCTGGGTAGTTCCGTGCAGCGCGGCGCCTATGCTGACCACACCATCGCTGCCAGGCGCGCAGATTTGCTGCGTGAATTGCTCGTCCCCACTTCACTCCAGACCAATCACAGATGAGCAGAGTAGTGTTTCTAAATAGCGCCGGGATAAGCAACTTCCACCAACCACCAGGTGAAGTGCACCGAGATTATCTATACTCCATTTCACACGTAAGTCAACACTGCGGAGGCTTGCGTGGCTCTTTGTGTTAGATATGTTCGCATTAAGGGAAAGTTTTATGCTTTTACCACCCAGAATATATTTTTCTTTTCGTTTCAGGTTGAGTATAAAATTAGCATGTTTTGTAACACGTGCATGCACACAGACATACGTGCGTGCAGGTGGTAAGTCTGGTACAATCATATGTCACATTAATTTATCTCGGGAGCGTTTGAAAAAAAGGGATTTGTGAGAGAGATGAGTGAATGGCAAAACTATCACACTTTATCACACCAAACGGAACGACAAACAGTATTCTGACACTGGGAATTCACTCTCAAAACGAAACAAATACATACACAATAATAGGGTATACAAGGAAACCGTAACTAACACTGATCCAAGACAAGTCAAGTCCTAGGCCTTAAACTGTCTCTAGCCAGAGTGCCATCTCGGTGGCTACTCTCGTGCGCTTCTCGCAATAGTAGAACATTCTTACTGTTCTGATGCCACCCTCGCAGCTACGGGGAAGTGGTACTCCCTCGCCGTAATCAGCGGCGGCGCGCATCCGCTTGACGATCCACTCGTCTGCATTGTCAGTGTCTCGGTCCTTGTCTCAATGTGTGGCCTTGCTAGGCCCCGCTCGTCAAGGACTGCTCCGCTGGCGCGTTCACTCGGCTGACTGGTGTGGGCTGCTCCCTTCCTAACGCGATGTGGTGAAGCTACAAGCCGGCCAGGAACTCCTGGGCAGGATGCAGGAAAGTCCGGGTAGTCTCACTTGGGACAATCTCTGAGGTCGACGGCCATTTCCCGGGCCCCTTGACGGTGACATCCTCAGAACCGGGCGGCCATAGCTGCTCGCGTCGTGCTAGCGACACTTGTTTCCCTTGTCTTCGCAGCTGGGCATCCCAACACACAGTGCCAGCTCATCCTCTGGGATTTTTCTTCTCGGCTCGCGTCGCATGCCCTTGGGTGGCTCTTCTCTCCTCGTGCACCGTCCCCGCGCTTCCGCGTTTTGCACGTGCCTTGTGCCTCTCTTTTACACATGACATCATTAGTACTGAATTTTTAGTGAAAACCATTAGAATGTTTTTTACCAGCAATAATTTGGGTTGACGATGATCTTTGACCCTAAAAAGCTGCTCCAAAACTGATTCGTGTTGCTTCAAAACACTCCAATTGGCGCTGCGAACATGCTACAAAACTCCTTTTACTGTGCCAAAGCTGCACCAAAACAATGAAGTCCACTTCTGCCTCTGCTACTGTGTCACCTCTTCCCACTCCTCACTTTTCCCTACACAAGAATCTTCTCTCATCGCACAGGGCATCTAACATCTCTCGGGTTTTTTTCTATTGCTGTAGGACAGATCTGGGTGGGTCATCTTTTTACTGCTTCATATTGAATGCACGTGTAAAAAAATTGATGCATCTCAAGCTGCCCCTTCGGTAAAAGCCCACTTTTGGCTGGCTTTAGTTCTGCATTTGCCAAATTTCCGATTTAGCAATTGTTTTAAAGAGTTAGTTGGCAGGGAACTCAAGTTGTTTTACTGATGATAGTACTAGTGCTGTTGTTTTTCATCCAGATTGTGTTGCTGTTGTGCAGCCTGCAGTGTAGCGCATTTTTCGCTGGGTCAACACCATAGCTAAAAGTTTATCATTCCTGGCTGTTTGACTGCTGCTACTTGACAACATATTATGCACTGCGGTTTCGTTCACTTGAGAATGGTTGCATCTTTTCGGGCCCAGAATTCCCCATGGGCTTCACGTCAACATTCATCACTGTTATCACAAAGCATAGTCTTGTCACAATACTTACTCAGTTGCTGCAATCTAGCTTTGCAAAGTTGCTGCGGATATAGCATTAAAAAACACAGATGAAGTTTTTCACTGTGGCAGTTTCGACAAATGGGGTCTGTTACTGAGGATACTGCATTATGGGAGCCGGTATTTTGAGCAAAATCTAGAATTTTTTTCCTGCTGGTTGGCCAGTGCAGACATAGTTTTGTCAAGTGTAGCTCGCTCACGTACTCTTCTGGTCCACTTGTGTAGTCTTTGGGGGTTCCTAAATAAAGGTGTTGCATCAATAAAAATTTTTGGGGAAGGAGTGAGAGCAGCGAGTGCTTGGCTTAGTGGGGCTGCACTCTGAAAGAATCCTTTTTAACGCATGCTATCTAAAGCCCTTTGTAATGCATCCATGATCAGATCAGATTCAACACTCTCAAGCATCCTGCAAAGTGATTTGACGAATAATATGGGCCAAGCTCTGTGTGGGACACGGGCACAAAACTAATTTGACAATAAGTTGCTGACTGTTTTATTGTGCTCCCAACAGGCAAACCACGACAAGCCTTTACTGACACCATTGAAGGAAGAGACAGGATGGCTTGGATAAGCTAGGAGAGAACAACCTTTACTCGCGCGTCAAAATGTTCGTCCATCTGCGACAGGACCTGGAAAGGGTACAGTGGACGTCATCCCGTCACGGGAATCTCTTGCATCTTGGCACATCCTCTCGCTGTGTAGCTGCTGCTGTTGCACTTGCACTTCGGTTCTGTTGCTTGTAATAAATGTTCAGCTTCGGTGTTGGGCCTTTTCTTTCTTGTTTTTGCTGCCTTGCGAGTTTCTTTTAATTGCTTTAGTGCCTTCACCCCACCCTGCATGGCTTTCTTGTTATGCTCTTCTGTCAATTGTCTATGCTTCCATTTGTGGTAAGTAGCATTTGCATGTTTTTTGAACTGCTGCCTTGACATTGTCTGCCTGATTATATATATATATATATAGATATATCCACATGCATGCTACAAAGAAGCTACAACATGTTGCTGATGCGTGGTGGTGCTGATGTACACCTTGACACTTTGCTGCTGCTGCTTCATTAGATGGCTCTTTCTAACTTTAGGGCATCACACATGCAAATGGAATGATGGTGAATGTATTGTGAATAGAGATATTGCAAAAACTACTTCGACTTAGATTTAGCAGAAGGCAGAGTTTAGTAATCCTGATCCAAGATAAGCCCGTATCAGCTGTGTGGTTTAGGAAGTGGGTAAATTGCAAAATTATGCACATTTGAAGCCGTTAATCTCGAGCTGGTGGTGGCATCAATACTGTCAATGGTGGGAAGCCTGTGCCAATTGTGCCAACTGGAAATTAATGTGCCATACTGCACCAAAAGGGTCTTTTTTGTCTAATTTGTGCCATTGCTGCACCACAAGGTGGTTTTGGAACTGAAAGCAATGTTGACAGCATGATTTGTGAGTAGGAGGGTCACCATCTTGTACACTTGCCCTTTTGCATTTGTGCTGCTGCAAAAGTACGGGATTGGCTGGTCAATTATTCCGACTTCTGCGCAACATGCGGCACTGCCTTTCACGGTAACCACTGGCAAATAATAAAGACGATGTAGTTCGACTACCGAAAAGGGCAACAGTATGACTTGTCGCCGCCAAAAAGCCTACGTGGTTGCAGCGTTGCGCTGCTCTAAGCTTACTGCAGCAGTAGGCTTTTAATAGCTGACGACCAGCTGAGAGCACTGAAGTGCCGGTCACTGCCGCCTCAATCTTTGTGGGGACCATGTTCAGCATGCCCCGTTTTGCAGAACTAAAAGCAGCTAGCTGTTGCGGAGTTGAGCGTTGTAAATCACAGGCACCAAGACAGCAAGCATAGCTCATGCTTTCAGGATGCGACAGCCCTAGTCTGCTGCCAGGACTTCTAGGGCATCGCTTGCAGAAAGCTTGTGTCATCGCCTTAATGCAACCGGCTGCTCGCCACATCTGTGCACAGTCTGAAGCGCAGTGGGCGCAAGCGGCTCGGCACGGTGTGTACACCAACTAGGCTAAGCGCAGCACACAACTAGCCAGTAGACGATTGTCTCCCTGCGTCTCTAAATGTCAGTGCTTGCCGAGTAGCAGATCGTGGTACACATTTATTGCGGACAGCTGATTATGTCTGTTTGGTCGCTATGTGAGTCGTCGCTATGTTGGCTGCGTATCCCAGACCCCGCAGTAGTTTGAAAATGCTCTTTGTTGTCGCCGCCGCGCGCCATTGGACGGTTGTGCGAGAGTGCGGTCTTTTTTTAACATTGGCTAAAAGAAAGAAATGGCCTTGTGGTGTGCGCTTTAGGCAATATCTTTTGTGGCACTGTATTTATTCCTTCTTGAGCAGTGATGGCGCACGTAAACAAATGCAAATTGGCAGGGTCGTAACAAGGGGTGTGTTGAGGGGGTTCTGACACCCCCTGAAATTTTTTCATGTTTGAACTTTTCAAGTGATACTAATGTACTTGCACGCCATAACATCGATGACCAGTTGTCAAAGTTAGTCGTCCCACATATAAACCCACGCGAGAAAAATTCCTGGGTACGGCCCTGCAAATTTGTACATGGTGATTGGCGTGTGCACGGGAGGATGAGGGGGAGGGCAAAATGCCAGCCCTATCCATTGACATGATGGTGGGGGGGGGGGGGGGCCTCGATAAACTCTTGTTCCCTCTGAAGGAGAACCCTGGGCACACTTTTTGTACTTGGTTAATGCATACTCAGTTTCGTGCGTGTTTTACCGCATTCCCGGCAGGTTCGCAGCATTTACGTACATATTAACGAGGTTTTACTATAATGATCTCTGAATATGCGTGCGCATGTACACGTCTGTGCTCCTATGAACTTCATACTGCAGCTAGCTTGTTGGTGCATATACCCTTCACTATCTGATGACACTGCTTCTGTACGTAATCCTACTTTTGTTTATCTTTTTTTGCTTATTTTGTGGGCTTGCTGGTTCTGTATAAATTATTATGTAATCGGAGGGCCATTTTGCCATTTTGAATGTTTTGGTGGTGCACAGCCATCTATTTTGGAAATTTCAGTACCTCATGTCATCACAACTAGCCAAACTTCTGCGTGGAGGCAGCAAGCAGAATTAGTACGGTACCCTGATGTCAAGCTATTGTTGATGTCTGTTGGTGCATGGGGAAAATAAATTTTCTTATCAAAATAAAATATCTTAACAGCATTCCTTGAACTTCACACTTCCTCAGAGCCACCTGTCTACACAGAAAATTTATGCGGCACAGTAAGCTCTCCTTCAGAAAATGACGGTACCCCTTTTAAATTTTTAAATGTCGAATTGTGACTTATATAGTAAGTTTTTGTTCATTGGCATCTAAGTACAGCTAGCGTATTTAGGCATTATGAAATTCAGCCTTGGAGTGGGTGGCGGCCATTCATTTAGATTGTGTTTTGTTTTGTCGCATGGTTGGCTTTCTTTCTTATTTTTTCCCATGGGCCTGGGCAATCCTTAATTAAAGCATGTATATTTCATAAAAGCATGCAAGCAGAGGCACTATTCATGTTGGATTTGTCTACTAGTAAACTATCTGAGTCAATGTGCCCCTTTGTAATAAAAACTAGTGCGCCACGTGAGCTAACAAAATCCCTGTGCCTGCGACGCTAGATCGCCATTGCCTAATGTGGTTGCAAGGAGCACTTGCTTCATGGCTGTTTTGCTGCTTGCCACGTAAGTGCCATGCTCTTTTTGTTAAATGTGCACTCCTTTGGATTTTATGTTTTGTCTCAGTGCGAAAGTAAAGCAGCTAGAGTGTGATCGTGCACAGCCTGAGTGGCACACGAGGTTTTTAGGCTACAATGAAATTGCCTACTGTTAAAAAGCGGTGTGCCTCTCAGAAAACAGTGCCTATTGGTAGTCCAGGCTCTTGAGAGCATGCGAGGCAGACATTATAGTGCAGCATGTAGCCAGGAATTTGCAATTACTTTCAAAGTCAGTCAGAAATCGCTCTCTCTCTACAAATGATGCCATACACCCAAATTACTATACGATATCTCCTTCAGTGGTGGTGGCTACGTTTGTGCACCAACTTGTTTATGCTGGTTGTGTCCACTTGTTACCAAAAAAAGCGCACAATTTACTGCTCACTGGACGAGTTGAACCTTCTGCATAGTCAATATGTCTTGACTGATCCTCAGTGTGGTGTATATGACCGTAGCGAATTGCTTTGGGGAAGGCACTACGCTGTACGATGGGTTGTTTGACTCTCCATGTTCCAGAACCTACATAAGTTAGGTTTTTTTTTTGTTGTTTTTTTTTTCTCGAAATAATGCAATCAAGAACTAATTGGTCAGATATTTGGAGCCTATGATTTCATTCTTTGTGACAAAATGAAACATAGCTCACTGCAGAATTATGAGGTATTTAATGACATGGTAAGTATAATTATTTGCTGAAGTTCACTGAAAATTGCATCACTTCATTTTCTTTCGTGAAATCTGATGGGGATATACCCAAGTGTATGGTGCTTGGCTTATCTGCTCGCTGTGTGCTCTCATGAACGTTCTAAAATAAACCGTGCATAGGAGAAAAAAAATAAAGAGAAATGCTCAGGGTCATGACACTCACTGTTGAAGGGACAAATCTTCTTGGCCCCATTCCATCCCCATCCTTGCTTATCTTTCAGCTCACTCGCTGAAACGAAAGAAGAAAGTGCTTGAAGTGTGCAACAAATCCTTGTAACTTCTTTCATATTTGACATATTCAAAAAAATTATACGGCAAGTAATTTGTGAAGCGTCGCGCACTGATAGTGAAACTATTCCAGTAAAACTCAGAAAAGTGTTGCAGGACCTCTTTAAGGTTGAGGTGTGCATCAGATTGTTGGAAATTCTTGCTTGGACAAAACATCAGGAAAGTGTCCTTTGTAACTTTGTCAACAACAACAAACCGGAGAAAACCTTTCTTGTTATAGAACTCAAGAGTGTCTGATGTCCAAATATGCGTCCATGTGCAAATAGTTGTGAAAAAATTGGAACACTCTCTTTTGCAATGCTACTAAGACGACTAACCTGTTCTATCCACTCTGGCTCTTGCAGGTGCGGAACCTTTGCTACATGGTGTCGAGGCGAGAAAAGATAGCCAAGTCTTTGCTCAAGACACGAGAGGAAATATTTGAGCAGCAGGTAGCGATGCTTAAACCAGGAGGACCCAAGATGAGCGAGCGTGAGCGGGAAGCTGTCATTCTGGCTGGCCAGAGCGAACACGTTTACGACCGGCTGGTGTCTCCAGACCCGTCGGGCCCCAAGCCGTGCCTGCGACTTCTGCTGGACGCTCTTGAAGGCCGAGAGGTACCGAACCTTTATGGCCTGATAAAGAAACCACCTAGCACGCCAACTAGGCTCCCGAACCCTTACGCCAAACAGTATGTCAATGGACTTCGGTCACGGAGACTGTCTATGATGGGTGGGGCTGGGGAGTCCGAAGGCTGTGTTGCCCAAGACGAAGACAGCCAAGGCACTGCTGATTCTGCAACAACTGTTTCAGGCAAGGGGGGTGTTGCTGCTGATCAGTCGGTGAGAACAGGTTATGTTGCAGCAGCTGCGCTAGAAACACTCTCTGAGGAACAGCTTGACGCTAGTGAAGAAGGTGACCAGACAGCAAATGGAGAGAAGAAATTAAACAAAGATGTTGCAGAGATACAGGTGAGGGCTAGTAGAAGTCATAGGCTGGGAAGTGTGGAAGGCTCCCCCTGTACTTTGTCCAAGAGTGAAATTGGAAATGAGGATCTCCGCGACACTGAAAGCAGAATGTCCACTCGAAGCCGAAATGCCGATGCATTGAATGAAATTAGTGACATCGAAAGCAGGATCTCCGTTCGAAGTCGCAATTTCAGCACTGTGAATGAAAATAGCAATACTGAAGGCAAGATATCCACTCGAAGCCAACATGCTGATACCCTGAATGAAATGAATGACATTGAAGGCCATGTATCGACACGGAGCCAAACTGCTGAAAGTGTAACTCAAAATAGCGACATTGAAGGCAAGCCCACACATAGCCGAAAAGCTGATACTGTGATTGAAATGAGCGACACGGAAAGCAGAACATCCACTCAAAGCCGTAATGTCGAAAGTGCGAATGAAATTAGCGACACCGAAGGCAGAATGTCCACTCAAAGCCGAAATGCCGACGCACTGAATGAAATTAGTGACACCGAAAGCAGGATCTCCATTCGAAGCCGCAATTTCAGCACTGTGAATGAAAATAGCAATACTGAAGGCAAGATGTCCACTCGAAGCCGACATGCTGATACCCTGAATGAAATGAATGACGTTGAGGGCCGTGTATCTACACGGAGCCAAACTGCTGAAAGTGTAACTCAAAATAGCGACATTGAAGGCAAGCCCGCACATAGCCGAAATGCTGATACTGTGAATGAAATGAGCGACACGGAGGGAAGAATATCCACTCGAAGCCGTAATGTCGAGAGTGCAAATGAAATTAGCGACACCGAAGGCAGAATGTTCACTCGAAGCCGAAATGCTGATGCATTGAATGAAATTAGTGACACCGAAAGCAGGATCCCCGTTCGAAACCGCAACTTCAGCACTGTGAATGAAAATAGCAAATCTGAAGGCAAGATGTCCACTCGAAGCCGACATGCTGATACCCTGAATGAAATGAATGATATTGAAGGCCGTGTATGTACACGAAGCCAAACTGCTGAAACTGTAACCGAAAAGAGCGTCATTGAAAGCAAGCCCACACGTAGCCGAAATGCTGATAGTGTGAATGAAACGAGCGACACGGAAGGCAGAATATCCACTCGAAGCCGTAATGTCGAGAGTGCGAATGAAATTAGCGACACCGAAGGCAGAATCTCCACTCGAAGCCGAAATGCTGATGCATTGAATGAAATTAGTGACACCGAAAGCAGGATCCCCGTTCGAAGCCGCAATTTCAGCACTGTAAAGGAAAATAGCAATACTGAAGGCAAGATGTCCACTCGAAGCCGACATGCTGATACCCTGAATGAAATGAATGATATTGAAGGCCGTGTATGTACACGAAGCCAAACTGCTGAAACTGTAACCGAAAAGAGCGTCATTGAAGGCAAGCCCACACGTAGCCGAAATGCTGATAGTGTGAATGAAACGAGCGACACGGAGGGCAAAATATCCACTCGAAGCCGTAATGTCGAGAGTGCGAATGAAATTAGTGGCACCGAAGGCAGAATATTCACTCGGAGTCGAAATGCTAATACTGTGAATGAAATTAGCGATGCTGAAGAAAGGAAGTCCACTAGAAGCAGAACTGCTGAGTTATTGGATGAAATTACTGACATTGAAGTTAGAGTCTCCACATGTAGCCAAAACACTGACACTGTAAATGAAAGTAGCGACAGCGAAGGCAGGATATCTACACGAAGCCGACATGCTGGAAGTGTGAATGAAGTTAGTGACGCTGAAGGCAGGATGTCCACCCATAGCCGAAATGCTGATAGCGGGAATGAAATTAGTGACGCTGAATGCAGCATGTCTACTCAAAGTCAGAATGCTGATACTGTGAATGAAGTCAGTGACACTGAAAGCTGCATGCTCACTCGAAGCCGAAATGCTGATAGTGGAAATGAAATCAGCGATACTGAATGCAGATTGCCCACTCGGAGCCGAAATGTTGAAAATCGGAATGAAATTGGTGAAACTGAAGGCAGGATGGCTACTCGAAGCCGCAACACTGACAGTGTGAACGAACTAAAAAGGGAGGACCTCAGTGACACAGAGAGTAGGATGTCCACTCGAAACCGAAATGTTGATACAGTAATAAATTCCATCAAGGAAGAGAAGAGGGCAGACGGTCCTATTGAGGTTGAGTACAAGGTACAAAGGAGAAGCCGAAGGCTCGGGTCTGTCGATTCTGTGAGAAGCACAACAAAAGGTGAAACTAGAAAAGAAGACATTGGCATTGCAAATAACAGGACTCCAACGCGAAGCCGGTGGCCCGAAACAAATCAATCCGTTAGGAGTCATTCTTCAGTTGAAAATAAGAATGAGACCTCTGATGTAGGGAATAGGACACCGACTCGCTGTAGAAAGCCTGAAACTAGTGACAGTGTGCCGAAAGGTTCACCTCGAGGTGACATTAAGGAAAACGAACAAGGAGAGGCAGGAAGCAAGACTCAAACAAGAAGCCGACGATGCGAGATGTCAGATGATGGCTTACGTAGCTTATTGAAAAGTGAAATGCATCAAACGAGACCGGTGAAGTCAGAATGCAAAGTGTCACACCAAAGTCGAAAACATGAGCAGAAAGCACCTCTCTTACGAAGTGAAGCCAAGAGTGAAGAGTCAGATGTAGGGAGCAGAAGTTCAAGTAGAAGTCGAAGATGTGATGCGAAACTTGAGCAGGACCAAGATGTACTCAAAGCATCTAAGACACCGAAGGGTGAAGCTGATGAAATCAGGAAAGGAGAATGCAAGCCTTCCATGCGAAGCCGTCGGCCGGGAGTCAGAAATGAGGCGGCTGATGGTGGTACAAGAAGTGCTTCCAGGCAAGAGGCAAAAAAAAGTGATACTTCAGAAGAAGATTGCAGAGTGAGCCTGCGATGTAGGCGTACTGATGTGCTCGTTCAAGGTAGTGGCGACCTTTCAAAAGTTGTGCTGAGACAAGAGGCTAAAAAGGATGATAAGATAGAGCAGGCAAACAGGAAGTTTGGCCGCACTGCTCGACTTTCTGAGGCAAGGATTGAGCTAGTGCCATGTGACATGAGGGAGTTCTTGAAAAGTCCGACGGATGAGGTTGAAACAAAAAGCGGCAGCAGAAGTCAGCGGTTGAGGAAACAGACGACGACTACCCCCAATGAAGAGGATCCGCAGCCGCCCACCTTGGCCTCCCTCTGGGAATTTCCTGAAGAACTTAACGACATGGGACGCTGCACACGCAGCAGCACCATGCAGAAGCAGGAGGACACTCGGGGTTTTGAGGAAGCAAGTTCACGCGAGACTGCCGGAAACACGGCCACTGCAGCCAGCAACTATGGAAAACACACATCAGACGAAAACGTGCCCAAGAGGCCCGATCGTCGGGAGAGACGTGTCAGCGTGGCATGCAGCGTGCTGCTTCCCGAGGCCCTATCGCCGCCTCGTGCGTCGTCGCTGAGTGGCTACAGGATTCCGAAGAAGGCCAAGGCCCCCAATGGGTTGCTGGAGGACCGGCGTGGAAGCTCTCCAGTGTCGCCTCTGCACGAGGTGCCTAGCCACTGCTACACGGGCAGTGATGGCTACACTAGAGGGCGATCGCACGTGGTCAATGTTAGGCGGCCCGTGCTGGGACACCACTGCGAGGGCAGGGGGGGAGCATACGTGGAACGATGGAAGCAGGACTTGGGCTTTGGTATTCCCACGGGCAACTCGGTGGTACCCGATTGGACAAGCAAGTTGGAGGTGAAGGAGAATGGGAGCCGTTACCCAATGCGGTATCGGCCCAGATTTGGTGGCAAGGACAGTTAGCCTCTTCTTCATGTAACCTGCAGATTGCACATGTATGATAACATTGTCATATAATGTACATACTCATTGCTCATATGTTGTTACTTTTCTGCATTCCGCCTTCAACTCCACGTTGCTTTTTTTTTTTTTCAACTCTGTAGTGAACGTTCAAAGTGCTGACAAGGGGCTGTGCTCCAGTTCGCCTTTCATTTTTCCACCACTTTTTTCTTAAACCCTACTTTGCTTTAACCATATAAAGAAAGGGAGTGCAAATTAACACTATGCCCGCAGAAAGCCTCCGATTCCTTAAATGAAAATGTATTTTTGCAACGACACCTGATTGGTACTGCTCAGATTTGGCAGCTTTGCAGTGTCAAAATACTATTACTGTACAGTTGAAACTGCACTGAATTTTAGCATTTGTAAATATGCCAAGTGTACAGTGTTCTAGTGTTGTTTAAAAATAAACTGGGCTCTTTTACTCCTTTGTAGGGAGCAATGAGCTTTGGTTCATGACTTGTCATTTTCGCATGTCCTCTGGTTCATTCTGGGTAGCAAACTTCTTGCTCAATTTCGTCTATATTATACACACATAAAAGTACCGCGCAAGGCAAGGGAGTGGCATACCCATAAAACCAAAGAAGACGAAAATTGGATGCGATGATGGCGCCGTCTGGATTCTGTCGGTAATGGTAGAAAGATTGGAATATTACTATTTTACTTATAACTGAAGAAGTTTTTTTTATCCTTTGCTCTCAAATAACTTTTTCGAACAAATGACAACTACGAATATTGTTTGTATAATTTATTGCTGTGCACAAAATGAAATAGTTTTCAAATGTACAAGGGCTTTCCGATTTGGTGGCTAGCCTTCCGCGTAGCAGACGACACCATCGTCGTCTGCTTCTACGTCATGGCGGCCCCCGCTCGCTGAAGAAGCCCCTTCCTCAATTTCTCTCGTTATCATATAGTACGTTGTAGTACTTTAGTAGTACAATGTACTTTAGTAAGTGGTGATGGCGCACACAGATCGAGCGAAATGACAATGCTGATCACACAAGTCCTCAGCAATAAATCGTTTTATTGCGAGTCAATCGATTGATGTTTACATAAAACAAATGCCACCTAAGTAACATTTTAGCATATGCATGTATCAGCGTTCACGCGCAAACAAGGTACGTACTACGCATAGCCCCAACGCAGATGCCCGGAGCACAGAAGCTAACCAGCGCTGGCTGATATGTCCATCGAACTGCACGGAAACACGGCCGCCTGCTTGCCGCCGACGGCGCAGAAAGATCGTTTACGTCACGAGAAGTGGGCGGCTCTGGGGCGGGGGGCGGAGAGCGCGGTGATATGAAATAATCGCCGAACTCTCCTGAAGGGTATATATAGCTCTGGGTACTTGTATAGCAACTGTATATACTCCCTATGGGAGCAGAATAGCGCATAGGTCCGCCATATTGCCTGGTTATCACCTATATATAGTTAGGCGGCGAATTCACGCTGCTTTTGCAGGAGACTCGCTTAAGCCAGTCTCCAATCGACGAAGCGTGTCAACGAGTGGCCAAGAAAGAAGAAACGGCTGCTTTCGGGACTGTGCCATGGTAGTTCAAAAGCATTGTTAGTCTGTCTGGTAACGCAAAGCGCGAATAAGGCGTAGCGTAGCGCCAAATAAAATGCACCGTCGCTGCCGCATGATCAAGTGGCGCCATCTATGTAAGATAAGCAACAACTCGCAAGCACAAAATATGGTTCCTACGATATTCAAGAAGCGCCCAACTCGGCCTACAGCATTGTTTATTTCAGTGTGATTTTCGAAAATCGTGAGAATCCACGCACGTACTTTGCTGTCGAAGCTTACGGACGTGAATCTAAAGCAAATAAAATCGCCAGTACGTAGCTAACGAGCTACACAGCACACCACGGTTCTTGATAAATTCTAGGTGGACAGCAACCGTTTACGGTGGTGCGGCCTGTTTACCAGCTTCTCCGCAGTCCATTGTTATTATGGCGGCGTTGGAAAACAAATGCGCTACACTACTACTTAAAGGTAGCAATACAGTCACTCTAGGCGCTGCAACGTGTGACGCCAGACAAAAGTTGAGCCTTACCATGGGCGATAAAGCCCTAAACGTTTTCGAGTGGTTTTTGACGTGTATTATGGTGAAGCCTATCTATCAGATATATACTTAGCTCACAAGAGGGCACAGAGGTGGTCGAAATTTCCGGAGCCCTCCACTACGGCGTTTCTCATAATCATATGGTGGTTTTGGGACGTTAAACCCCACAAACAAACAACAACACAAGAGGGCACAGAGTGACCGTCGCTGTAATGTGTGACGTCAGACAAAAGTTGGGCCTTATCATGGGTGATAAAGTCCAACTTTTTCGAGTGGTTTTTGACGTGTGTTGTGGTGAAGCCAACCTAGCAGGGGTATACTTAGAGACAGAAGAAGGCACAGAGTGACCATCGCTTCAATGTGTGACGTCAGACAAAAGTTGGGCCTTATCATGGGTGATAAAGTCTTCAACTTTTTCGAGTGGTTTTCGACGTGTGTTGTGGTGAAGCCAACCTAGCAGGGGTATACTTAGAGACAGAAGAAGGCACAGAGTGACCATCGCTCAAGTGTGACGTCAGACAAAAGTGGGCCTTATCATGGGTGATAAAGTCTTCAACTTTTCGAGTGGTTTTCGACGTGTGTTGTGGTGAAGCAACCTAGCAGGGGTATACTTAGAGACAGAAGAAGGCACAGAGTGACCATCGCTTCAATGTGTGACGTCAGAAAAAAGTTGAGCCTTATCATGGGTGATAACGCCTTTAACTTTTTCGAGTGGTTTTCGACGTGTGTTGTGGCGAAGCCAATCTATCAGCGATATACCTAGCTCAGAAAATGGCACAGAGTGACCGTCACTGCAATGTGTGACGTCAGACAAAAGTTAGGCCTTATCATGGGTGATAAAGTCTTCAACTTTTTCGAGTGTTTTTTTTGGGTGATAAAGTCTTCAACTTTTTCGAGTGTTTTTTCGACGTGTGTTGTGGTGAAGCCAACGTAGCAGGGGTGTACTTAGAGACAGAAGAAGGCACAGAGTGACCATCGCTTTAATGTGTGACTTCAAAAAAAGTTGAGCCTTATCATGGGTGATAACGCCTTTAACTTTTTTAAGTGGTTTTCGACGTGTGTTGTGGTGAAGCCAACCTATCAGGGGTATATTTAGCTGGGAAGAGGGCATGGAGTGACCGTCGCTGCAATGTGTGACGTCAGACAAAAGTTGGGCCTTATCATGGGTGATAAAGTCTTCAACTTTTTCGAGTGGTTTTCGACGTGTGTTGTGGTGAAGCCAACCTAGCAGGGGTATACTTAGAGACAGAAGAAGGCACAGAGTGACCATCGCTTCAATGTGTGACGTCAGAAAAAAGTTGAGCCTTATCATGGGTGATAACGCCTTTAACTTTTTCGAGTGGTTTTCGACGTGTGTTGTGGTGAAGCCAACCTATCAGGGGTATATTTAGCTGGGAAGAGGGCATGGAGTGACCGTCGCTGCAATGTGTGACGTCAGACAAAAGTTAGGCCTTATCATGGGTGATAAAGTCTTCAACTTTTTCGAGTGGTTTTTCGACGTGTGTTGTGGTGAAGCCAACCTAGCAGGGGTATACTTAGAGACAGAAGAAGGCACAGAGTGACCATCGCTTCAATGTGTGACGTCAGAAAAAAGTTGAGCCTTATCATGGGTGATAACGCCTTTAACTTTTTCGAGTGGTTTTCGACGTGTGTTGTGGTGAAGCCAACCTATCAGGGGTATATTTAGCTGGGAAGAGGGCATGGAGTGACCGATGCTGCTAGAGTAACTGTATATTCTACCTACAGCAGCAGAGTTAGCGCATAGGACCGCCATATCTTGTCTGGTTAGCAACCATAGTTACACAGAGAAAAAAAAGAGAGAGAGAAATAGTGCTCAAGGGCACGAGGCGCGTGTGACGTATTTCGTTCGCCCGTGCTAATCCTTTCCCTGTGCTTAACTTCCAGTGCTTTCGTCGGGACGAGAGGAGAGAGACGGTAGCGAGCGACAAATCTGTGTACTTCCACTCGTACTGGACAAATTCTAAACTTTTTTCCGGCGATGAAATTGCGAAGCAATAAGCTCTTTTAGTGAATCCTTTCTGTGGCTACTTGGAAAAGTGTTGCAGCACCCCCCCCCCCCCCCCCCCACCACCACCACCCCAAGGTTTATTTGTGGACAAGAAGGCAACACTTAGGAAATCTGGTATTTCTATTTCTGGATGTTTCTTCCAATTTCAATAAAGATCGATTATTACAGGCTAAACAGCAAAACTTATCCTCCCGCACACTCGTCATTGTACAAAGGACACGAGGTGGCGTGCGCCTGGTTCAAGTTCAGACCCATTAACTAGAGTATAAAGTTGGGCATGTTGGTAAGACATAGTAGATCGACGTAGCGCGTTTAGAAACATAGGACAAGGGAAGGGAGCAGAAGCGCTCCCTTCTGTCCCTTCCCTTGTCCTACGTTTCTAAACGCGCTACGTCGATCTACTAGACCCATACGTTCCCTAGTCGACCCATACGTTCCCTAGTCCGATAACAGTGAACCGCTGCGTGCCCGAATATCATTCGGACAGGTGTAAATTTTGCAATAACCGGGCGGACTTGAGGCATATTCTATGGGCATGTCCGCAGGCCCCCATGGGAGGTGAATTCCCAGACGGGAGTGGATGGAATACCGCACTCCTCAGCTCTTACTCGCAATTACAAGCCCGCTCAATACGGCAGGCCGAAGACGCTGCCAAGGCCCATGGGATCATGGCCGTCGTCTACGTTGGGTCTTTCTAGAGAGGCTGGAACTTTCTGTAGTCTTTCCCCCGCGTCTGAGAGGGGAGTAGTATCTTTCTGTTAATTAAATAAAGTTTGTTCATCACCTGGGTACATTTTTCACTAAAGAAAAAAAAACTAGCATTTATTTTTAATTTTATTTTTAGAGTTTCATCCCACTTCAATAAAATTGATTCTGTGTCCACTATGTTTCTTTCACATTTTAATAAAAAAAATCCATTCTGGGTCCATCTGTGACGAAAATGGGTCTTTGTAAACCTAGTATTTTTTTCATATTTGAAGGTTTCTTCCCATTTTATTAATCAGTTCTGGGTTCATTTGTCATTAAAAAGATAAGTCCTGTTATGTCTTGCTGTGTGCTTGGCCCAAAACTGAACGCTGGATAACTTGCATGAGGATAAAAGCCACCAAGAATTGGTCAAGCTGACCAATCCTAGGACAATGCCAGTGCACACAAGTTAAGTGCTTAGAGTGTGCTCAGGGTACACATTGATTTAGCCTGTATTACAGCCTCCAGTGAACTTGTCAAAATGAAAGACTAAAATAAGAACTACAATACATTTTCTTAGCTCCTTCTGGTTCTGTGCATTGCACCAAGATTGCCACACAACAGCTGGTGCAGCAATCTAAATATTATTACATTTGTTCAAAAAGAAAACACTTCAATTGTGGA